ACAGGGGGGCGCCAAGGTCAAAAATTTCCTCAGAGGAGCTTTAATCTTATATTTTCTGCACATTTTACCAAACATTTGTGGATAATTCATGTGAATATGTTGTTAATCCCTTAAGATTGCCAATATTTTTGCCCCTTGGCTAAAATAAATTATCTTATAATGTAGAGGAGGAGTAAGGTTGATGTTTTGCTGTGATGCACGTCCTAGTTGGCTGACCTTGTGGGATTCTTAAGGTACCACACAGTCGGCCTTTTTCAAACTGAAGAAAACTTCATGAAAAAAGGAAATTATCTGATAGAAAATAACAAACACCTTCTCTTTTGCATACATGAACTTAGATAAGCAGCCTTCTCCTGATGTGTGCTGGACTGTGGACAGTGATTTTTTTTAGATTATCTAAAAGTGTGGACGTCGTCTCAGTGAACTAATGTTTCATTTCCCCCTGCAGGATGTCATGACACAACAAGCTAATTAAATCTGTAATCACTTTGTTCTCCTAAAAACACAAAGGCGGAGGATGACGCTGTTGTGAGGTTTGAATGAGAGCCAGAGGACTGATATTTCATAAAGACAGCTAATTGGGTCAGAGATCTGTATCCTCGTGAAGCAATAAGACAGGTCAGTACGGGGCTGAAAGTTTTCCTGAAGGAAGGGAGGACAACAATAAGAGAGAGAAAGAAAGAGGAGAGGACAAGATAAAGTTGAGGCAGGTGTTTTAATGTGTTTGTAGAGGATTAAATCAGAGTTATAATCAAGGAGGGTTCAGTAATGTGGCTGAGAGGGACGGTGCAACTGAAACCTTCAAGCACTTTCATGCTTTTCTATCTTAAGTACAGGCTCAGGCTGCCCTCTAGTGGACAACTGAATAAACTGCAGTTGCATATAACTAGTTCTTTGCACACTGTGATCTCTTTAATCTATCTATAAATTATACCTTATAATTACAGATTACAAGGTTAACTTTATTAACAGATTTGTTGATGTTTATTAGAATAAAGCTAGTCCTAAAAGATGTGTGAAAAAACTAACAATATATTCGTGAGATATACATAAAAAAGTGTACATACTAAATGAGAAAACGTTGATTCTAAACATTCACTTATTGCCTGTAATATATTAAGATTTTAGCAATAGATTTCCCACTTTACTGTGCAGCACATTAAAGACAATTCAGTGCGAAAAGTTTAGCCCTTTAATGCCTGAAACCACAAATTATGGCCAGAAAATTCAATTTCTTTTGAAGCTGAAATGTTCATTTTACTTAGTACTGAAAACCAAAAAAAAATCTGTATGTCCTTAAAATTTAACAGATATATTTATTTTCCTTGTTTGATACATTAGATGTTTTTGGAAACTGATAAACCACAAGAAGACATTTTTATCATTTATAGGACTGTATTCAGGTGTTTTTTTTAGTAGTTTGCTGATCATATTGATTTAATAGAAGTATCATAGAAGTATGTATCAAACATGATACAAAAGGCAATAAAGGGTTAGGTTATTGCTCTGTGAATACAACTTTTTCTTCCAGTATTTATTAGTACGTTTGTTATTATTTTGGATTAACTTGTAGAGTCTACCTTTTCAAGCTGGAGGTCAAGCTAAGGGTCAGACTGATGCAAGAGTCTCTTTCCTGTCACTGAGGTGTACTGGACTCAGTGGTTTGGTTGAACTGGGCTGCAGTAAAGTTGTGTGGAGTGACACCCTGCATGTAGACTTAGTGGAGAAAAAGATCGCCGTAAAGTGAAGGTGTTATTCCTCTAATACTTCAGCACACACATACCCGCTGATTTCCCTCATTAGGAATGAATGTAGTGGATGTGAAACCAAGTAATTACGTTTAATTTCATCAGCAAATAAGACCTTAAATGATCCTTTTGAAGGAAAATGCCATTAAACTGAGAAATATCTGAATATTTTATTCATTTAAAGCTCCTGTAAGAAGTTTTTGACATTTACGAAACAGGCTAAAGTTCATATTTATTCCTTTCTATGATGAATAAGAGCCAACAAGACCACCAGCAACAACATAGCAGTTTGTACACTGTGATTTCTAGTGAGGATTTCTAGAGGACAAGATAAGCAAAGACAGATTTGTCCACAGGGGGGCACTAAAACTGACACAAACTCAAAGTTACTGACAGGAACTTTAATGATGACCTTTTATGTTTGGAGTCTCAGTAAAGCGCTTAAGGGACTTTCATATGCATTTTTCTGCTCTCTGTGGACAGTGCAATATTTCTTCTAGGTTCGCTGGTCTTGTGCTGCACATGTATGAGCTTTCTTTTGACAGCCAATCGTAATTTTTTGTGTGAAAAATGCAAAAACAGGCTGTGTGCTCAACCCCTTCCCATGTTGCATCGATTTAGTGTATTTAAATTGATGATAAAAAGTAGTTTATATAAGAAATAAAAATAGTAAGTGCTGTCACCGATGGTTTATTGTGTTGTTGTAGGTCAAACTGAGATATAACTTCGACTCCTCACCAATCATAACCTTTAAAAACTCCTCGCAGGAGCATCAATATTGGATCCAGATGATCCCACCAAACCATTTGAGTCCTCTTCCTCATTTTTCTTATTGCCGTGTGGGAGTGGATGTTTTTCCTTCAACGGAGCAGCAGGGAAGGTGAAAAGGTGAAGGATTGATTAGTTGGGAGAATCAGGCAGAGTTTTGAGGCATCTGAGGTGACGGAGGTCTCCAATTATTTTCCAGGCTGCATGGAAAGGCCGAGGTCGTGACCCCTGCCTCTCTCAGCAGATTGAGTGATGGGTTGCAGTTTGCCCTTGGCTGCGACTGACGAAGTTGTGGATGAAGTCAAAAATGAAGTTATAACTGTTGAAGACTAGACTATGATTGGAAGTGGACAGTTGATTTTTGTTGAGCAGCGACATCAGATGGAGCAGAGTGGATGAGTTCTAGCACAAAAGGTCAGATGCAAGTTGAGTGTGAAACTTGGATTCAAAAAAGAAGTGTTTCTCATGTGATGTTTGCAGCCTTTGGCATCTGACCCTTAATCTACCAAATTCCTTCCTCTGCATGACTTGTACCAAGAAGAGATTTCTCTGAAAAACACATGGGAGATGTTAAAAAAAAATTGGCTTAAAATAGTGCAACTTTTTTCTTGCATGAAATACTTGATCATGCATATTTTCTAATGAATTTCTACAATCACTCAGATTACAATAATCCACAGATGAGACCACAGGAGGCTCTGAATGGCTCGTTCAAAAAGGTGTATACGAAGTAAGAAATTTGCTGAAATTGTGACATCAATCAATCAATCAATCAAATGTTATTTATATAGCGCCAATTCACAACAGTAGTCATCCCAAGATGCTTTTCGAAGAACAAGAGCAGGTCTAGACCACGCTCATTGTTTGATAAATTATCAAGACCCAACCTCAGATGGGTTTTGGCCCATCTCATCTAACATGAGTAACAGTGGCAAGGAAAAACTTCCTTTTAACAGGCAGAAACCTTGAGCAGGACCAAACTCATGCCAGTCAGCCACCAGGCCGCTGCTGGGTTGGGAAGGAATGTAGAGAGATAGGGGGAGAGAGAGAGAGAGAGATGGAGAGAGAGAGAGAGAGAGAGAGAGAGAGAGAGAGAGAGAGAGAGAGCGGTGACATCTCCAGACAATCCCCTGAAAAGGGCAAACTTGTCGTTTTATATTAAGAAACACAACTTTTAGAATGGCAACAGTGAAGAAGGCTCCCAGAATGTTGTAGGGGGGCTTAAAGGGACACTGATAATTGTTAATTTGTTGAACTGTAAATCATATAAAACTGCTAAAAACTGAGATTAAAGGGGTATGCTGATATTGTAGGTGACCAGTTGTTACCCATCTGTTTTCTGTTTTGTTTTTTTGCATTAGTTTTATTTTATTCTGTTATTACAGTTTTATCATTTCACATTATTGCCCTCATTTGTTTTTGAGTGTTATTGTCCTACTTATCAGTGTATTTAGTTATAAAAAAAAACATGTTATGGAGACGTGAAAAAATGGTTAATATATAGGCTATAATGTGCACATATACAGTAGGCCACGTACACTCTAAATATTAACAGTAAATAGACTCTTACAGATATAAAGGTGAAAAGTAAGCTTAGTTTATATAGACTAAACAAACAGCCAAAAACATGAACTTTTAAGTTATAGGTAACTCTGGTTACTTTTGGAGACAAATCCTTGTTTACAGACTTACCCGGACACATAAATTAATGAAACTAATTAGACATTTGTGTGAAAAACAAACAAACAAAAAAAAAAAACAAACAAAAAACATAATTGAACAGTGGTTTATCAGGCTATTTGGAAGGAAAAATCATCTCAGAAATTTGACAACCAACTCAAATCAAATAAAGTTTATTCAAAACTATACAATTAAGTGTAGTTTTACGCAAGACAGTTTGACAATGCAATGTAAAGCTACACTTTTAGCCGCCAGAAGACATGTTGTGGCTTCTACCAATGTATTTTCTTCAACATTTTCAGCTCTGTTGAATAATGTGTTTTTCTTTTTTTTTTTTTTTTTTGAATCGGTTTAATTGATAATTTCTTTTATCTCTGAATAACTGAAGAGAAAAAAAAACATTTCATTGAAATAAATCCAATGCATTTTTCTGCACTGCAGATGTCAAATTGTGTGTCAATCATCTCCAGGAGGCGGGCTTTTTCACTTTAAGCTGCTTCTCATTGGATGACTTCTGCTCCTGGATACGCCTTACATGTTGTTGTTTCTTGTGATTGGCCGAATTCGACTTAGCAACAAATTACGTGACCAATGCAAATTGGTGACTTCTCCGTCCCTATCAAGCTCTTGAGCTTTTCACCAGCTAGCTAACGCAAACAAGCCAGGCGGGTTGCAGAGGGTTGATGAGTGTAGTTGGTCATCTTTCTGCTTTTCAGCCCACCTGATACCCGTCGCCTATCTCGCATCCATTTCACAAAAGTATTATTTCTTCTTTGGTAGTCACAAAACAATACAAAACTGAAGTTGCTTTGGTGAAGGTAAGACAGTTTTCTCTCCCTTACTGAACCGCACCGGCTCATCCAAAATGGCTTCTGCTAGCTAGCAAGGCTGCAACAGTTCTGTGTAACAACAGCTCTCCGGAGCTAACGGTAGCACGTTAGCTTCGGGACCGGTGTTCTGTCGAAATGTGCTGCTTTGCCGAAAACTGCTACGATAGCTACAATGTTAGATGATTTGCACTACATATTTGTGATTTTATTCTTGAACAGGGGTTTGTGGAGTTAAGTATTAAAGCGAGCACATTTTGACCCCGTATTTTTCTGAGCTTATTGCACTGTTTTAGCGATGTGGACGTACCCGCGCCGGTTAGAAGCGCCCAGAAAAGTGGTTGTGCGCATGCGTAGAGTCGTGAATGAGCACTTCTCGCTAGGGAGCACCGTTTGACGGAACATCAGCAGATAGCCTAGCTCACTGATGGCTCAGCTGATTTACATTCAAGTAGAAAATGGCGTCGTCGCCTGGCTACTTAAACAAGTATTTCTAAGAAAATCAAAACCAGGCATGCATGTTTAGTGAAATATAGCAGTATGAGTCTTTTACTGCTTGGTTTCCGGGCTGCAATGACGCCCTTACTAGTCTTAAATCCTTACGTGGAGTCCCAGATATGATGGGATGTGATAGAAGCACAGTCGAGTGGAAACATTAGCGGCTAACCACGCCGCCCTGCCCCATTTTACTGCATCACACAGCATCGATAAGGTTGATTTGGAGCCTAACATTCCCCCTATTGTATGTGTAAAATGCAAACGCTAGCAGAGAAAGTGACACTTTGTGAATGTGAGGGTCAAATGTCTCTTTTCTCCTGGAGCACAGCATCACATTGACCCTTGTTGCACGTCTTAATTTAAAGTGTACATTGTGATCATGTTACTGACTCTTGTATAAGCTTAGTTTTTGTTTGACATCCCGGCTGATTGATTAGTTTACTCATAGTACGTACAACCTGCTAGCTGTAGCACCTTTTGCTTTGTTATAGCAAAGCACAGATTTTTTGCAGCTCCAGATTTGATCATAACGTGTGAAAACGATCATCATCTCCAGGAAATGCAGTTCCAGTGTTTGACATTTGGTGTATATGAATAGCTGGTGGTTTGCTCTTTCTTTAATAGCCAGGCCCGTAACAAAGACCAGGCTGCAGACATGTTTACCAAGCTTAGTCGGGCTATCTGACATTGGATAACAAACATCATGGTGACCTGTTTCATGTCCATATGAGAGCTTGTAATGGAGCTTGAGTATGTGTTGTTTTGCTCACTCACTAATTGCCCTCCCCCCCTTTTCTCCTCCCCAGCACCGTTTTCCCCATCCCCTCCTATTATTCTTATTCTTTTGAGTATTCTTCATTGTCAAGCCGCCAAAGTGGAGAGTGTGATTGCAGAAGGGGGTGCTTCTCGTTTCAGGTAATAAACCCCAGTCAATACAGGAAATTCTGACTATTATTATCATTTTTCCATGTTTATCCCTCTGCTAGCATTTTTTTTTGTGGGGCAGGGACTTCCGGCCCAAAGAACAAAGCAGGATGTGGGAGGGCTCAAAATGGCAGTGAGACATTTCTCTTTGTGGAACCTTTTGCAAAAGGGGGAGGGGTAGACATAATAAGCCATAAGAGGATTTCTGCCCTGTTGGGTGAATAGTGGTGATGGCAGCAAACTCCAAGTAAACAGGACATCCCTCAGTTTTGAAATGTCAAATAGAGGTTTTAGGGGAGTCTTTAGGGAAGCAGTTTAAAAGCGCAAATTTTCACCGTTATTGTAATTTTCTAACATAAGTTACCAAAAGATGTCCCCAGCTTTCTCTATTTAACTTATTCCAGCTTCAAATGTTGCAAACCTCAAAATCTAAAGTCGAAATTCTCCCAAGAAAGGAGTTAAAACTTAGTCAAACTTAAAACTAGGATTCATGCAATACTGTACGCTTAAAAGTAGTTGAAAGTAGAGGCTCTTCACTGGACCTGAGACAAACACCAGAGCTCTAAATGTCTGTGGTTAAACTAACAGCAGTCACTTCATGTTCAAAATGGCCTCATACTCTGTCCTGAACTTTGATGTCGAGATGGACATGAGTTGACAGAGATGGATTGGTTGTACAAAGCGATGAATTCAACCACCTTCTCTCGAATCTCCTTTAGTCATTTTCGCTCTCTTGATGATCGTTATCCTTCCCTTTTCTATCGAGTTCAGATTGCAGGTTAAGTTTTTCAATACTGTGTGAAATTGGTGGTATTGACCGCTCCCCCCTTGAAATATGATCGTATTGCAAGTGTATGAATCCTTGCGTATGAAACTATTTGAACGACAGATGTATTTGGTCAAAAACTACAGGCATTTCTGCATCTTAAGTTACTGATCGTGATGGTCGCTTAAAAACATGTGGTGATGTTTGTTTATGAAGTTGTCGAGCAGGCGTTTCCACTTTAAATTTTCTTTAGTTTTCTGATTTCGGTTGTTTTTTTCAAACCTCAGTTAGACCGAGCTGGTAGCTCAATCACGTCGACAAGTTTTCTGACTACGCTGTACTTTGTAAATGCGTCTCATTTGCAAGCGAAGGCTCCTGTAGCCCGGCGTCCTTCGTACAAACAAAGGTTGAACGAAGAAATGAGCCGTGGGATTTATCTGGTCGCCTGTGAGGTAAAGATACAGACTCATTCATCTTGTTGAGTGCTGCATGCACTTATGTCTTCTCCTCTCTGTGTTGTCTCAGTGCTTCTTCGGGGGGAGGAGGTGGTAGGGGTGCACCTCAGCACTATCCCAAGACTGTCGGCAACAGGTTTGTCATTTGCCTTTACTCTTATTCTCTTAAAGTTAATTGATTTGATTATTAGTGCTAAAGTAGTTATTTCCTACAGCAAGTAAGAAGTAAACTCTTGAGATCAGAGCCACATATGTGAACGTACAGGAACAGAAGATTAGTGTTTGCAACAGTCAGGAAAAACCCCTTTCAGATGGAGCGAATACTACAATCGACGATAATCATTTAGCAGTAAATGACCTGTATCTTTTCCTCACACTAGCTGGGGCCACGACTAAAAAAAGTAGCTGATCTAAATAACTTTAGGACTGCTGGGGCATCTGTTTACTCAGAAATCTTCATGATATATACAAAAATATCAGCCAAAAATCAGACACTACCAATCAAGGGAGCGGGGATCGTTTTCAGTCGGAGAATACACCTGGTTGTGCTCGAGTTGTTTTGCACGGGTGAAGTCCCTTCAAAATAACGCTTTTGTAAACAGTTCTTCTTTTGTTTTTCTGTATTTCTAAGGCATCAGCTGGGTTTTTTTTTTTTCTTCTCTTTTGGGTCATGAGATTCTGTGGCGCTCAGTCTCGCTCTTTCTCTCTTAACTTTTCAGCGAGTTCCTGGGGAAAACCCCAGGGCAAAGCGTTCAGAGATGGGTTCCTTCACGAAGCACTAGACGAGATGTCAACTCCAGCAACGAAAAAGAGCGACACGATGCAATCTTCAGGAAAGTGAGGGGGTAAGGCTCGCCCTCCTCCACCACTTTGTGTTCACATTCATCCAGAAATAGAGCGGAGATATTCATCTTCTGTGGTTCAGAGTTTATTGGTGCTCAGTTGTTTACAAAGCCCCTCTGTTTTGGAGTTAGACTGTTAAGCTGGCTAGCCCTCTCTTGGAAATGCCAGAGCAGCTCTCCTGCAGAAAAATGCCAGTCAATGTTTGAACAATAGTCTTAAAATTTGGACCAGTGCCTTGGACAAAGGTTACAGGACTTGAGAGACCAGGTTGGACCAAAGACACATGAGTTTTCTGTCAGAAAATCTCCTTTTACATGTCGGTTCAAAGCGATTTTTATCATGGATGCATCTGGAGTTCAGGGAGCTCAACAGTTGTCCTGCAAGATCAGACTGTGGTTTGTTGTTGTTGTTCAGGTGTTGTTGATTTTATGAGTTTGATCTGGACCGGGATCTGCAGTCATTAAGGTGGCATGTGTTTAGCTAAAGGCAGTGAAGTTTTGCTCCACTTTTAGTCAGATGATGTTCAAGTAAAAAACGAAGAAATGGTCGTTTCTCTCAGGGATGTTGGCAACACAATAACTCGGCCAGTAGAAGATGAAGTTAGTTAATGCTGTGGACCTCTTTGACTCGTAGCATGGGATTTGTAATTGCTTTAAAAATCACTCTGAGCTGCAGCCTGTGCAGCTTCCTCATCATTTCCCGATTCATCAGCAGAAATTAAGTTAAACCAAGTGGATTTATAAATCACTCATTCTCTCTTTGTTGCTTAGAGTCTGAAAGTGTTTGTCTTTCCTCAAGGATGAACTCAGCGGGTTTTATGGACTAAAAAAGGACACTTGGTTTGTTTGATACTCCTGTCAGACAGATTCAGGGACCCTGGTGAACATTTGTTTGTAGCTGTCCTCGGACGGGTCTAGAGAGAGAGAGTGTTGCCTTCAGGGACAAAATTTCATACAGGCATTAACATGATTTTATGTTAAAGGGTTATTCTGGGGCTAAATTAAGTTAGGTTCAAACACACTGTAACACCGAGTAAGACACCCCCTCGAGAGATGAACTTTGCCGACTGCTTATTTCTTTAGTTCTTCCAATTTCAGCAACGACCGCACGATAGCAATACACAGCGGTCTACGTCTCCACGCGCAAACTTCAACCAAAACGCCACTCTATAACCACAAATAATCCTCAGAACAGCACCTAACTTCATCAACAGGACATATAGAGTCCTAGGCATCAAACATCTTTTTAACTCTGTCTGGTTTCGTTAGCAAAGAGACTGAAGTTGGTAACATTCATCTCTCGAGGGGGTGTCTAACTTGGTCTTATGGTGTGCTTGACCATGGCTAAAACTTATGCTGGAATATCCCTTTGAGGTAACTGGATAAGCACATAGAAAAAGTGTTTTTGCCTTAAAATTCGAGCTCAGAGCTTCAGATTTGTGTGAATGTCCGCAGTAAACAAGAGAAAACTTCGAAAATGCTGCAAGTTAAAATTTCTGGTGTGTAGCTCTCAAAGAAATGTGAATTATTTTATATTATCTAATATTATTATCTAGGTGCTAATGTTCACAGGGATATTTGTAAAAGCAGGCTGATAGTACAGCTTTGCTCATTCAGCCTAAATACACTCTCAGAACTCTTCCTCTTCTTTAGGCTGCTGCTGTCTAATGCAACTACACAAAGGCACCAAACACTTCTTTTCTGAGTGCAAAACTTGATGACATTTTCAGGGGTTTGGTGCAGGTGTGAACAGACAGAAAAGTCGGGCTGCTCCGGCTGAATAAGGCGAGGAAAGCTGAGAAAATGGTGGTTGATTTGGGCTCTGCTGTGTGAAAATAAGTAGGTTTGATGTGCTGAAGATGCTGTAAACATGCTGAACAACAGGAAGACTTACTCTACTTTGTAGATGACTCGACAGGTTTGCCCCAGTATAAGAAACATTTTTCTAGTCTTTATTTGTTGAGGTTGTTTTCACAGTCGTCCACTTTGTCACACGCAGCAGCTCCTGGACGGGGAAACCCTCCTTATCTCTGTGTAAGCTCTCCTGATCCTGCATCATCATACCCGACTTCCTTATCTCACCGCCTCGCCCTTCCCTCTCTTGTTTTCTATTTCTGCAGCATACTCAACAAACTCACGCCTGAAAAGTTTGACAAGCTATGCCTTGAGCTCCTGAACGTGGGCGTAGATTCAAAACTCGTCCTTAAAGGAATCATCTTGCTGGTGAGTGTACATTTGTTCCTCTTTTAAATGGAAAATGTATTCATGCATTCTTGGCCCGGCTGCTCAGAGTGACTCATACTCATACACTCCACGTTTTAATGACCTGAGTGGTCCCTCTCTCCCTCTCTCTCCTCCCTCCCTGTGGTTTAGATTGTAGACAAAGCCCTAGAAGAGCCGAAGTATAGCTCGCTCTATGCTCAGCTATGTCTGCGCTTGGCAGAGGACGCACCAAACTTTGATGGCCCTTCATCTGAGATCCAAACATCCCAAAAGCAGAGCACAGTAAGTGTAGCTCGGAAACACTGTCAAGCCCAGACTGTTTTTATATCCTGGTGCCACAGTGACGTCATCCCTGATAAAAACGTCAAGGTTTGCTTTAAATATATCGATGATTTTGTCACTTTTATACTGATCTCCTGCATCTCCTGCACTTTTTCGTCTTTGCTTTCGTAGACCTTCAGAAGACTGCTGATTTCCAAACTTCAAGATGAATTTGAAAACCGCACCAGAAATGTTGAAAGTAAGTCAGAGTTAGACTCTCCTGCTGGTCTGGTGTGTCTACGTGCGTCTTTGCTATTTCCCAAACAGCCGCTCCGCCGTGTTAGTCAGCGGTGAGGTTTCTATGGCGCTGTGGTCAGCTTGTTTTTCATGCACTTCAAACAACGGCCACCCGGCAGATCAAGTAGCAGCTGGTAAATGTTGAAAACAGATACTTAGACCGGATCACAACAACAACAACACAGGAAATAGAACAAAGGGATATCTGCCTCTCAGGTAGTAATAGTAGGAAAGAGCAGACGAGAGCGATCATAGAAAGAGAGTGAAAGGAGAACAATCCAGCTTCGAAACCTGTCAAAGCAAATATGGAGACACTTCTTCTCCATTGTCCTCTAAAGAAGCCGGTGTTGATTTCACACATTCAGTGTTTTTTTTCTTCATAAAGAAAACAGCAGACTGTGTCGGCTGTCTGAGTGCAGGCCTCCCTAAAGGACCAGGTTTAATCTCATATTCAGGACAGCGCTGAGGTCAGACTACATGATATGATGGTCAGGGTGTCAGATTAGGTGGACCAATCGTCACAGTTGTTGGGAGGAGGAGGAGGGGCTTGACTGGACATCATTTTTTATCACTTTTTCCCTTTTATTTCCAGTCCGTTAGAGCAGTCGTTGAAGCTCACAGAGCCAACGTCATCTTCCTCCTGTAGCTTTAACATGTCTGACTCTGTGCTCTCATTGGTCCACATCACGAACACAGTTGAACGAATCACAGGCGGCAAAGAGAGGCATCCCTTGATTATTAAAAACACCACGGCACACTAAAGGTGTAAAACCTGAAGTTGTACTCTGTAGTCAAATCACATGTTTAGTAGTAGTCCATCTTTTAGTCAGTCACCACTGTTGTGATGTGTGTTCCTGTTCTAACTCCTGTCCCTCCTTTTCACTCCAGTCTATGACAAGCATGACAACCCTCTTACTTCTGAGGAGGAGGAGCAGCGTGCCATTGCCAAGATCAAGATGCTTGGCAACATTAAATTCATCGGGGAACTTGGCAAACTTGACCTCATCCACGAATCTATCCTTCATAAGTGCATCAAAACAGTACGCTCGCCCTCTTTTCTAAGTGTTTGCAAAACGCACGTCCTCTGAATTGTGAAAGTAGAGTAAATGACATGACCTCTCCCGCTTTCAAACTTTCGCCGTAGCTTCTGGAAAAGAAGAAGAGAGTCCAGCTCAAGGATATGGGGGAGGATCTGGAGTGCCTCTGTCAGATAATGAGAACAGTGGGGCCGAGACTCGACCATGAGAAAGCAAAGGTAACAGCTCCAGACTCTGTGTGGTTGTTTACTCAGGTTACGCTAACAGAAGCTCGGGCATAACCTCTTTTTATAGGTCAGCAAATAATTTCTGCCGTTTCATGCAGAAGTAAAATCTTTTAAAGGCTCTGGGAGGGAAAATAATCAGAGCGGTAAACACAGATCAGGCATTTTTCGTGCAGCCCAGACAGGGTTAACTATGTCATTTCAGGTCCTGGCTAAGCTCTTCATCTGGCTGCACTGAAGCTCACCTAAAGCCCTACTTGGCCCTCAGCCAGAGCTAACACTAAACCTTCAGCTATACTGTAGGTCCCAGGACTCTGCCTGTCCTCACTTCACCCCCTCATGTCTCCCCTCCCCACTCTCTCTCTCTCCACAGTCTTTAATGGATCAGTACTTTGGCCGTATGCGATCCTTAATGAACAACAAGGAGTTGCCTGCTAGGATCCGCTTCCTGCTGCAAGACACAGTGGAACTGCGAGAAAACAACTGGGTCCCCCGCAAGGCTTTCATCGACAACGGACCAAAGACGATTAACCAGATCCGTCAGGATGCAGTGAAAGTGAGTCCAGCGAAAGGGCGGCGCTCGCTTGTCCAAACAGTGCCGGTGTCAAAGGGGGGCCCCATGAATCATTGTTTCGATAATTCTCTGTCCGTTACAAAAATCAGGGTCTGGCCATCATGAGCCATTAAGAGCGGGTTGAATCAGCAGGACGTTGTGTTGGAAACGTGGTCGGCACAGAGTGTGGTCTGGTTTTATAACAATCATGAGGTTCATAATGAAGTGGAAAATTAGTGGAAAAATAAGTTGTAAAACAATTGATATTTTCTGTGATTGCACACCCACTCTCGGCCCAACAAGAAGTGAAAAGTCTTAATTCCCGACTTAATTCTGATATTGTGACTTTTGCTGCATTTCAAGCAAAAATACCATTTGATAGTTGGAGTTAAAAACCTGCGTTTTGTCGAGATAGTTCCTGTTGGACCCATTAAGAGACTGTGAATCTGTAACTGAGATTAAGAGCCTGTATTGATATGGTCTGACAAAGGTGACATTTGACTAGGGCTGGTCGATAAACTGAAAATTTATCGATACCAAAATTTATGACAATAACCAACGTCATTTTACCCATGTTGCTATAATCGATGTTGGTATAACCGGTGCCATTCTCTGCTCTTGGGGAGAATGAAGTAAATTTGAGGTCATGATATATCTCAAATGGGGCACAGTCAAGGTGAATTCCCTCATGCATGCAGACAGAGTGGATTGAAGTGAACTGTTGTGAGGAAATGTCCTCATAAAGATAGCTCTTCTAGGCTTATACTAAACGTATTTAATGAATCCAAAGAGAATGAAAATTACAGAAAACTTCTATTTGATTTTACACCCCTCATCTCTTCTTCTTTCTGCTCCCGGCTTTTCTTTACTTATTCAGTGATCAGCTGATCATTTTGTGTATGTCAGTTATTGACACCAGCTGTGATTTGTTTACTTTCCTGCAGGATTTGGGGGTTTTCATCCCAGCACCCATGTCTCAGGGGATGAGGATGGACTTCTTCCTGGAAAGCCCCTTCATGCCCAACAGAGTGAAGCTGGACAGGGAGACTCTCGGGGGTTTGGCCGATATGTTTGGACAGATGCCAGGTAGGCGTCTGACAACATTATCACATGACTCCCTTTGGTTAAATCTGCTCTTACATGACCTTTTGACCTGTGTCCTCTCAGGCAGTGGGATCGGAACTGGCCCGGGGGTCATTCAGGACAGGTACTCGCCCACTATGGGACGCCATCGCACCAACCCGCTCTTCAACGGCCACAGCGGCCACATCGCCCCACCGCCACAGTCTCAGTTCGACATGGGGCCAAAGTCTTTCGTCAAGTCCAACCAGGTAATCCCGACGTGGGAGTTAAGCTAACGCCGATTGATGCGTTTCTGAGACACCTGAGTCCAGGAGTGTCAGAAAGTAATCCCCCTGTCTCCTTATGTGACTCCGACAGGTTCAGAATCAACATTTCCTCAACCAGAACCAGAACCACATGGCCCAGCAGCAGGTCCAGGCCAAGGACATGCCTCCACGATTCAGCAAGAAAGGACAGCTCAATGCAGACGAGGTAACTGGAACAATCGGAGGCATCAAAGCGTGAAGAGTGCAGACCTAAAGTCTTCATGCCCAGTGATTATAAAAAGACGCGTTATTCTGAGGAACAAAACCTGCTACCAGTTCTTTCTGTGATCTCCTTCTCTGCTCTCCTCCTCCTACTTCTCCTCCTCTTCCTCTTCTTCCTCAAACCTGGTAGCAGGTCCGCTGACTGCGATTATGAGAGATGAGGGCATGAACTCGGCTCGAATGTTGACTCTCTTTCCCAAAAGCACATCAATAACCTCTTTCTCTCTCTTCACGATACTCTGGTCCCGCAGATCAGCCTCAGACCTGCTCAGTCATTCCTCCTCAACAAGAACCAGGTACCCAAGCTCCAGCCCCAGATCCCCAACATGATGCCCCCTAGTGCCCAGCCCCCACGCACTCAAACCCCACCTCTGGGACAGGTAACAGACCCCCAATCTCACATTTTATCCCGTCTCAAAGGACACAAACTAGAGCCTGACCCGATTCAAACGTCGTCTCCTCTCTGTAATAACCACGTGACCTTTGGCCTCAGCCTCCACAGCTTGGCCTGAAGACCAACCCTCCGCCTATTCAAGAGAAACCACAGAAGACGAACAAGAAGCCCCCTCCTGCCAAGGAGGAACTGCTGAAAATGACGGTAAGCAAAACAAAACTCAGACCCGTCCTCCTTAGCTCTGAGTCCAGATCCAGAAACATTTAGAGTCTAAACGGGGGCACAGTCACAGAGCGGGTTCGGCTCATCTCTGTCTGCTCGATTCTTGTCTCCAGGAGGCGATCATGACTGAGTACTTGAACAGCAAGAACCTGACTGAGGCTGTGTGCGGCGTGCGTGACATGAGGGCTCCCAAGCACTTCCTGCCTGAGATGCTGAGTAAGATCATTGTGTGTTCCCTGGACCGCCCCGACGAGGACAAAGAGCACGCCAGTACTCTGATCCACACACTGCGCACCGAGGGCCTCATCTCTGGAGAGAACTTCATGCAGGTGAACACATCAGAGCTGATTCAGTGCTGCGTAAGATCACAGGATCTGCTCATGAAGGGGGAACATAAACCAAATCTCTCCTCCTTGTTTTTCCTTCCACGCAGGCTTTCCTCAACGTCCTGGACCAGTGCCCTAAGATCGAGCTGGACGTGCCCCTGGTGAAGTCGTACCTGGCCCAGTTTGCGGCTCGGGCCATCATCGCAGAGCTGGTGAGCGTGGCGGAGCTGGCTCACCCCCTGGAGAACGGCACCCACTTCCCCCTCTTCCTGCTCTGCCTGCAACAGATGGCCAAGCTGAAGGACCGCGAGTGGCTGACAGACCTCTTCCAGCAGAGCAAAGTCAACATGCAGAAGATGCTCCCAGGTAGGACAGTCCTCTTTACGCTCCACCAGTCCAGCAGTGCAACCACTCGCTCTCTAAAAATCCTCGTCCCTGAATACTTGATGCAGCCGTTCTGTTGCTCAGCACTCGGTGAATAACTGCCTCTTTTCTTCTCGTCTTTTAGAAATCGATCAGAACAAAGACCGCATGCTGGAGATCCTGGAGGGGAAGGGCCTGAGCTTCCTGTTCCCGCTGCTGAAGCTGGAGAAGGAGCTGCTGAAGCAGATTAAGGCAGACCCCTCTCCACAGTCCATCTACAAGTGGATTAAAGACAACATTTCTCCCAAGCTCCACACAGACAAAGGCTTCGTCAACATCCTCATGACCAGGTACAAACACGGCTCATACAGGAGGAGGATACTACAAACACAAAAATCACTCAGCTCTGTCGTCAAAGGTTCTTATTAACCGTCATCTTCTGGTCCTCCCAGTTTCCTCCAGTACATCTCACAGGAGCTGTGCGTGGCGGAGAGCGACGAGCAGCTGGCCGCCCCCTCCAAAGAGCAGCTGGAGCAGGAGAAACAGCTGCTGCTGGCCTTCAAGCCCGTCATGCAGAAGTTCCTGCACGACCATACCGAGCTGCAGGTCAGCGCCCTGTACGCCCTACAGGTGCACTGCAACGCCAGCACCTTCCCCAAAGGTACGGCACGCAGATTTGTAAACATGATGGAGTCACATCACGAAACTCTTCATGTCATTCATCGTTTCATCAATCCAAGAAAGTGTGGGATGATTGACAGACTCCTCTCCTGACCCCTCCTACTAGCCTGGCTCGGCCATCCTGTCGCGTGAATCACTTGTCGTTCCTTCCCACAACAGTCTGGACTTTGGCCCATTGGGAGCGTGTATTCCCGATCAGAAAATAACCGGGCCAATCAGAGACCGTGTTTCCACCGTTACCCTGACAACAGGGAAAGGCAGCCCCTGATTGGTCCATGTGTAGATGGTGACGTCAAATTCATGCTGCGGGACTTCTCGAAGCCCCGTTCATTCAAAACGCCGTTAATTCTGCAATTGACTCTGCAGAGTCGGCAGAAATCGTTTATATCCGACATCTTCTGTGGATATAAGCGATTTCTGCCGACTCTGCAAAGTCAACTGCAGAATTTACGGCGTTCTGAATGAACGGGCCTTTGAAAAGTCCCGCAGCATGTGTTAGACGTCACCATCTACACATGGACCAATCAGGGGCTGCCTTTCCCTGTTGTCCTGTTAACAGTGGAAACACATTCTCTGATTGGCCCGGTTATTTTCTGATCGGGAATACACGTTCCCAATGGGCCGAAGTCCAGAATGTTGTGGGAAGGAACGACAAGTGATTCACGCAACAGGATGGCCCAGCCAGGCTACCCTCCTACAGAGTCTTGCACAGACTTCCTTATCTGGTTCTCTACTGTCAATGCATCATGCAACTGATCTCTGAACCCACTGTTGTTATTGGTCGAACACTTTTGCATTGATGTCGTGTAAGTTTAGTTTTAAAATGATTGAAAAGAAAATGATTCTGTATATCAGGATATCCGCAGGCTGATGAGAGGCAGTAAGAGGTCGTCGATTCAACTCAAGGATCCTGGTATAAACCCAGTCAGGGCTTGACACTAACTTTTTTCACGCCTCTGATCATGACTTTTTTCTTCTTTTTTTTCTCTTCACTTACACTGATCCAGATTAGTTCATTCCACCTCTTCTGCAGCTCCATCATCACACGCTCAGAGACGGTTGTCATAGTTTCCTGCGCACAATTAACAAGATCGTTGAGGAAGTGGGAACTGGCAATATAACAAACTTGAGAACTGCACTGCCAGTGAAGTGATCACAATGGTTTAGCTACCAAATATAGTCAACACAGAAGAATAAACCAGGCGTCAAACCGCACTAACAGACTGAATCAGACTCATTGTGGTGCTTTTAGAGTAAGACTTCAAAGAGGTTTTGACATGCAGTGAATTTAGATCAGTTTATAAAGGCCTGTGGTGGATTACAGGAACTTTTTTGTAACTCTTAACTTGGGCCTGACCGATATGGCTTTTTTGGGGCCGATACCGATTGTGTGTGTGTGTGTGGGGGGGTCCAATTACCGAGCAATCATCCGATTTTTAATTAAGTTATAAAAAATATGTATATTGTAGATATCTACAGTAAACTATATACTGTAGGCTACTGCTGTTCTCGCCGACAGGAAGACCGACTGATCAAACTCGGACCAGAGAAGCGTTTTCAACTACTACCCCCTCTGCGCCTTAACTTACGTTACACTAGTCCGGTCTCATCTGGAGACATGCAGCTGCCTCAGTAAGACAAGTAGCTCGACCCCCGTGTTTACTGTTGTTTATTCTACCGTTACTGGCACAGCTAACAGTGTAGCAAGGCTAATAGCAGGTGGATAATTCGTATGACATGGTGAAGTGGGTTGAACTGAAACTTGTTGACTTATCGTGTATTTAACAAACTGGTTTATTTCCCGATGAGGTGGACCACTCTCCTCTGTGCGTCCCTGAGCTGCCTGCTTCAGCTCTGTCACTCTGCTGTGCTGTGAGGTAGTTAGTGGATGAAGATTATCATGAGGTCGCTGCGCCATCTACAGGATAAGTCGGGGAACTTTTCAAATGGCGGAACATTTTCAAAGTGAAACCGAATCTTATACTCCACATTTTATTTCTGAAAATATCAGCAACAATTGGCGAGTTTTGGCCGATTACCGATTAGTCTCAAACGGGCTAAATTTGGCCGATTTAATTGGCTCGCTGATAAATCAGTTGGGCCCTACTCTTAACACTTTTTTATTTGCAGCATCCATTCATGGTTTTTTAACCTCTTTCCGTTTAGGCATGCTGCTGCGCTACTTTGTCAACTTCTACGACATGGAGATCATTGAAGAAGAAGCCTTCCTTGCATGGAAAGAAGACATAACCCAAGAATTCCCTGGAAAAGGAAAAGCTTTATTCCAGGTACGGATATTTCCTATTTTATTATCACCGTGTTAAAATGCAAATATCAGATCGAGCAGTTCGACTGACATGAGGAAATGTTCGTTTCCCTCAGGTCAACCAGTGGCTCACCTGGCTGGAGACTGCAGAGGAGGAGGAGTCTGAGGACGAAGCAGACTGAGAGAGCGGAGCAGAAGCATCATGTTGTAGAAGATCGACCTCATCTTTATTATTACAGTCGCCTTTCCTTTATTAAACTCCATGCTTAATTTAACCACTACCACGTGGCACTCGGCTGCTTCTGGCTTGCAAATCTAAAAAGCTCGTACCCGTAGAAGGCCTCATGTGTTACCATGACGATACGCTTCAGAAGCATCATTCGATCTGTTGCCTGATGGATGTTTGATTTTGGATCTGTGTTCTGATCAGTGGCTCGACCATGTGTTTTACTTTTTTCTTCTTCTTTTGTTGAGTTTGTAACTTTTTTTTTTCACGGTTTTGCATGTTTTTCAGTTCCGATTGATTTTTACTGATTTGAACCCCCCACCTCCTAGTAGGAAAACAGCTTTGTTTAAGGATATACAGGACCCCCCCCAGCCCTTTCCTACCCTAAATTAGTCATCCTCCTCTTTGCAAACGCTAGCTAAAGACTATTAACAAAGGTTTCATCATCAGTGACCTGCTTTGTGATCTTCCGTGAGGGTCCCGTCAGCGCACTCACATGTCATCTTTCAGAAACTGCGGTGGATCTGAAAGCAGATTAAACAAAATGACATGAGCAGCATTCAGCCTTTAACTCTGAAAGCGTGACGATCAGAGGCGGCCCGGTGAAGGGAGAGCGAAGCATAAAGCTGGCAGACGTTTCAGATGAAATAAGGATGCATGTAAGTCGGCTCGAAAAGGAATCCCTCTTGATTTGATCGTTTTCTCCACTCCTGTAAGCTCTCCGTCTTTGTCGTCTTGAACTACACGAGTGGTTGCAATACTCAACATCCTCCAAATGTTACAATATTTACAAGAGAAGTTGTAATCATTGGTGTGCCGCTGTAACGTTTTCAAAGTTGCCTGTGTTTCTACCTCTTAGTTAGATGGGCTTTCTGTTCGTTTTTTCGTTTGTGCTGGGAGATAAAAATCTACTAAGACGACCGGAAACCCCCCAAGCACACGCTGAAGTATTTGATTTAGTCCTGGCCTATAATTGCACAATGAAATACATGAAGCAGACTCTCCCTGCGGAGCAACAAATGGTTTACAAGTATTACTGTTAAAGAATAAGGAAGTAAAGTTTGTTTTTAAAAAAAATTGACAGCCGAGCGTCCCGTTTGGAAAGTTTGGAGTGGCCTGTTTATTTAGAAACATAAAAAAAAGGAGAATAATAGGACGAGTGAGTTTTTAATGTTTTTCTTCTATTGGAAAAAAAAACAAAGGAAACCCTCTTGGTTGTAATCGACCCTTCCTCACTAAAATAAGTCTAATAGCTAAATAATAATGATGAACTTTTACCCAAGAATCGTGCTCATAAGCCGTGTTTATGTAGAAGGCGATAGATTTGGATCATATTGTATGGAATTCAAAATTATTGTGCACCTCTATTGCTTTAATGTCAATAAAGTTCAGTACATGAGCACCACACTGATTTCTCACTTTTATTTGCACAACTTTGCACTCTTATCACACGGCTGCATATCTGAGGTGATCACTCTCGGTCAGGGTCTGCAGGTCTGGGTGTCATATCTTCAAAATTCAGTCCCTAGCATGTCTGTCAGGTTCATCAGTTCAGACTTATTTGACTACTCCTGGTCTGTAGGGATCCAGAAATATTCCACCACCTTCCTGCTCCTGCGGTGAGGAGCCGAGTCGGGCCGCTCTCCTCCCAAGGCGGGCAGCTCATCAAAGTGACTTGGCCCCAATTCCCTCCCTGTGTGAGGGGCAGAGACCCTCAACATGGTCCTGACAGGAGAGATTAATAATGAGTTAGAGATGTAGATCCAGGATTTTCCCACTTCTGTTCTTGGAAAAATCACTTTTTTCCTCTTACATGAACCAAATATTTCCACCACTGGTCTTAGTTTTGATGGCTAACCAAACTTTAAATTATGTGAAGATAAAGAATTTCTAATATGAACAATGAAGTTTCAGTCCTAACAATTTTAAAATATAATAACTGTATGCATACGTATAATTTTTCAGTTACTGAGGGTATTGGATGTTCAGAACAAGCCAATAGTACATTTTGTGTGGGATAAACGGTATCTGCCTTTAGGAATGAACAAAATGTTCTTGCTGTAAATACTGCCATCTAGTGGCTGCTCGGTTACCTGGATGAACTCCTCTCTGGCTCCTCAGGACTGGTCTCAGGGGTGGAGATGTACACAGGGTCTCCTTCCTGAACAAAATCAAACCATGTAAGTAGGATACTTATCACTTTTTAACATTCACTGATCTATTAGAACAGTTCGCCAAAACTGATCTGAACTTTTTATTCTTTCTGTGAAGAAGAATTTTCACTTGTGTGTGTAAAAACGTAACTGCTTTTTTTTTATTGTGCCAGTGTGAGTTAAAATGAGTGATCTCTCGAATCTTCCTTAAGATGTAGAGTGAAGTAAAATAAAGTTAAGCACAGTAAAGTAAAGTACATTACAATAAAGTCAAGTATAGTGAAGAATGGTAAATTACAGTAAAATATAGATAAGTAAAGTATAGTAGACTACAGTAAAGTGTAGTAAAGAACAGAATAGTAAAGTACAGTAAAGAACATTACAGTAAAGTATAGTAAAGTAAAGAATGGTAAATTACAGTAAAGTATAGTCAAAGTAAAGTTTAGTAAAGTACATTACAGTTAACTTTAGTGTAGTAAAGTAAAGTACAGTTTAGTAAAGTTATCTTACGGTGAAATTCCTAGGGGTGCCGTCTTGATTTTTGAGGATTTTCACCCTCTGGTCACTCTCTGTCATGCAGAGGAAATAACTCTTGATGTTGGCCTGACACTGTCGGAAAATAAACAATAAAAAAACTCAATATTAAACACAAACTTGAATGATGGATGAAGGATTTTAGAGTTATGATGATGTGTGTCATTCAGTCAAGATGTGGAACCATCAGTTCAGCTGTAACCAGACTCTTTCTGTACTCAGGAGAACCAGTGTATGATATTTTTGTTAAATGTAGGTGAGGTGTGATGGGATGGAGCCTCCTCTCACAGATTTGTTCTGCCTCAGAGCCTTTAGATCCTCCTGAGCTCTGAACCTCTCTGCTAACTCCTGGTGTTTCTCCCTCCAGCTCAGACTCTCGGCCGTCCTCTCCTGTCTCTCCTTCTCAGCCAGCCGCCTCTCCGCCTCGGCCTCCTGCAGGGCCTGGTTGGCCTTTTTGCTCTCCTCTTCAGACACCATCGCTCTGCGCCTCGAATTCATCTCACTGGAAACACAAGGATAAGTCACAAACCAGAAAAACACATGTTTGGTTTAATTCCCACAAAGACCTCCAGAAATCACCCAGAGGGGCACAGAAATAACTCAAATTCAACATAGTTAGCTGCTGATTTATTGCTTCCTATGGTGGAGTAAAATCCGGCTGTATTTCTTTGTCGATAAGAAGTTAAAATCAGGTTTGACGTTGACCCTTTCTGTTAAGCTCCTCTTATCTTTAAAAAAAAAAAAAAGTACAGCATCGTGGAGCTTAAACTTCCTCCCTCTGGCGTCCCTGACATTGTTCCAACTTCCCTCCTAAAGGAAATATTCTGCACTATCAGCCATACGGTCCTCTATCAGCTGTCAACAGTTCACTGTGTTCTGATTGTGAGTCTGTTTAAATAATAATAACAAAAAGATTTGTCACTTTTAAGTGCACACCATGGAATAAAAGTTCCTTTAAGGTAGAGCAGACACAAACTGTTTTTGTAAAGGTAACAGCAGGATTTCACAGCTGAGGAAAACTCACATTCAAAATGGATATTTGGCGTTCCCCAGGGCTCTGTCTTTGATCCTTTTTAGTTTTCTTTATGCACTGAAAACTGCTGATTGTGGCAGTTTTACATACAGCTAAAACGTCTCGCTTTTAACACGCCTGATGACGCCCAGATATGGTGGTCAGTTTACTGGAAATGCTGACCCAACCCAAGTTTTTGTGAGCCTAGAAACCAGTAAAGAAGTCGAGCTGGAGCAGGACTTCAGCTCTCGATGTAACATGTGTTCACACCTTCTGCAGGGTGTAGGGATAAATGAAACAGCTTTGTAGACCACAACTATTTCCTGCAACAGTCTGATAAGTGTGTTCTTCTGCTATAAAGGGAGTAGACTGACCGTTGAACTAAATGGGAATGACTTTGTTTTTGCAGTCAGATCATAGACTGTATACAGAACGGACGCTCTCTGCCTCCTCACTGGGTGAAGCCACTCCGAGAACAGCACCCTCTGTTGACGGGCTGCAGTATAGGTCATAAATCCCGCCTCCTCCAGCAATCTCTATGGAGCTGTGGACAAACTTTAGAACTTTATTACACAGAATATAATTTGTAAGTCCTCTTTTTTCTGTGCAGCTCAGTTTTTGAAAGTTATTAGGGAGTTCATGTTTTCTATGACTGACACTTGATACAGCCTATGGGCGTACGAAGTTTACGTAGCTCACCCGGGGGGATACGCTGTTTGAGCCGAGCGTCATCACAGCGACTCTCCTGCCGAATGCGTACAACGCTGCTGCGCAATGTTGGTTTCAGGAAGTGGAGAAAAATCGTGGAAATACTGAGAGCTTTTTGGCTTCAAATCTGTATACTGACAGGAGGCGGAACCAAGTTGTCCATAGTATATACAGTCTATGAGCCAGCCTCAAGTGGACACTCAAGGAACTGCAGTTTTAGTTTTCTGCATTAACTCTACTTGATCAGACATGAATCTGTGAACAACCCATCGCAGATTAGGAGACTCTTTTTAAACAAGAACCTTTCTGTTAGGACCAAACCTACAGGTAGAATAATGTACATCTCCTCCACCTAATGTGATAATGTCTTTTTATTTGTTCTGTTTTCTGTTCTTGATATTAAAAATTCTTGTTCATCTCAGTTTTACAGTCATAAAAACGCCCTCTTGGTCACCCCTGAACCTCACCCACCTCCCTTTGAGTTGTACGTTTTCCTCGGTGATTTGTCTCAGCTTGTGTCGGAGGTCATCTCTGTCCCCTTCCAGACTCTTGTTCTCCTGCAGCAGAGCCTGTTTCTCCCCAGACACCCGCTCCAGCTTCAGCTTGGTTTCAAAGTAGCTCTTCTCTGTTTGGGCCTGTGAAAGCTGCAGTTTGGTGTGCTGCAAGACGAAAATACCAAATAACCATGACTTACATGATGATTTATAGACGTAGATCAGGTCTTTCCTTTCATCCAAAGATCTGGAGAAAGTGATTTGTTCTTAAGTAGCTCCAGAAAACGAGACTTAATCATTCCTGTCTTTTTCAGGCAGGTAGAAGTCATTTCTGGTCAAATGTTCTAACTCACTTTTGGGGATGAAGCTGCATTTTTCATGAACAACAAAAGCCTGACTTTGAATTCCTTTTAACTTTCCTTCCATGTCAGAAAACATGTAAATTCTCATCTAATTACGATCATTTTAAAATCAGATCACAGAGATTCTTCATGGATAAGCTGCAAACAGCAGGAGCTGGCTAAAGGGAACGAACACATACATGCAGCAGGAAGTGGTCTGTTTGTTCTGGACTCCTTTCAGTGACTCATTTAGTTTTCATGTTAAATTTAAAGCAGTTTTACTATTTAAACAAGATCCACTCCAACAAAAACATGCCGCACATCATCATAATGAAGGAACATGTCGTTTATTGCACTAATGTGGCTCATTAATGTGGTTTTATTGGTGTTTTAGATCTTTAGATCAGTGGAATGAAATGTAGGCGGCTGCAGGGCAAAACTTCATGTGCCGTTTTATTAATAATTTGGGTCTTTTTAATGAATTTATGAAATATTAAAGAAATATTTAAACGACAAACAAGCTTCCCCTTCATATGCACTCTATAAATAACAGAGTGACTGTGCATTATTAATGGTTTCCCTATAAACTGAGGCATTTAATCTAGTATTTCCAGTGTGTTAAAATTGCAGTTACTTTTACTGAGAGTGAGTTTAAAGTTAACCATGTGTGAAAAAGACCTTGATAAACTTTTCAGCATGTTTTCCTCTTTGTTATAATAAATGTGATAAAGTTTATTGATAGGCTGCAGGTTCGGTCATAAAGCCCGCCTCCTCCATGTCAGCAGATGGATCATAAGTCAAACTAAAATATCTAAACTCATGTTGAATCAGTTTTTCTTAAACGTAGTTTCCGTCAGTGTCGTCAGATTCTATCCTAATTACATGTTTACCTCTTTTTTCAGCTGCTGCAGCTCCTCACTCATACACCTCCTGTCTGCCTCTGCAGCTTCCTTGTCCCTCAGACACCCGAGGGCCCGAGCCTCCGCCTGGGCCCTGCACTTCTCCGCCTCCCCTCTGGACTCCTCGGCCTCGCCTGCGGCCCGGGAGCACAGCGTCGCCCTCTGCTGGCTGTGATACAGCTTCTGCTTCAGCTGATGGGGGGGGTCAGAGAGAAGGAGGTCGAGGAGGTGGGTGTGAGCGCTGTACTGACTCAGTCAGGAAACAGTAGAGGCCTGTCTTTGTTTCTAGACGTAACACAACTCCAAGCACTCAGAGTCAGGGCGAGGGTCAGCAGCAGTGTGGACAGAATGGATACGAGTTAATGGTATTACATGAAATTCATTTACACATTACTGCAGGATCATCAACTTTTGATCTCACAGCTGATCTCTAAGCTAAGACCTGAGTGATTTATATAAAGTTTCAAGTGGGAAAAATGGTCGATACTTGCTTAAAGATCCACTCCGATGAAAATCACGTTTTTTCTTGTTGTCTACATGTTCATATGGAGTTTTTCTGATGCTACAGGACATATCATGAGAAAACTAAGTGTGGAGATGCATTTCTGAGTATTTCTGCAGTGAGATTTCCTATGTCACAACTGCAAGCTCCGCCCCCAGAGCCCCGCTATGCAGGCCAGACTCAGAGAAGTAGAGAGGACGATCGCGGAACAAGCGTGTAAGTTGGAATGCTTTTAAGAAAGCTAATTATGACATTAACTTTCATCATGTCCATTAGCTGAATAGCTCCTATGTTACCTGCCACTTCTACTACAACAGCAATGTTAGGCCGCAAACTAGCGTGAAGACGAGTGTGCAGAGCAGCGCTGTCTCCGCCCATGACTCAGAGGTGAATTACTAATGAGCGACTGGAGCTCTGCAGAAGAAAAGCTCTCTAAAATGACACAGGTAATGTGATTTTGGCTAAAAACTTCATCATCACAGTTTAAAGACCACTGAGAACACTTTAAGTAAAAAGACAAACGATCGGAGTGGGACTTTAAAGACACTGTGATGAACTTCTTTGTTGGACAAACTTGGCAGCGTTTTTCTGGGATTGGTGGCGTTGCAAACTGGTTCCAGTGGTTTGATTTTTACCTCTTTGACCTGAGCCTGCAGCTCCTGGTTCAAGTTCCTCAGGTTCCTCATGGTCAGCTCGTTCTCGGTGCGCATCATGATCCTTTCCATGTGGATCTCGTTTGATAAGTACTTGTTCTCTTTTCTTAGATCCTCACATTCCTGGAGGACATATGAAGTATGGATGATGTATGATTTGGCATGACAAGAGAGATTCATAAATGGATCAAATATGAGGATGATCATCGATAAAAGTGCTCAGAAACTGAATATCTTCAGGATATCAAAAGGCTTAAACTGGAAACAGACTGGTTATGGAATCATCTACCTCAGGAATCATCAGAAAGTTTTAGAAAATCATTTTGTGTATGTGAAATGGTCAAAGTTTGATATTTCACAGGTTTCCTCATCGTTACTGGACAGGTGCTGGACGATGTATGATGTAAAAATGCTCTTCACCTCTTCGACTTCACTCTCTGCACCTCCTACCTTCCTCTTTCTGACCAGCTCTCCCTGCAGGTGGTTGATCTGGAGGAACGAGCCGTTAGAGCTGATGGCGCTGACCGGCCTCACCACACGTACAGGCCTCCTGGACGGTCTGCAGAGACCTTTCACCTCCTCCACCGTCCCATTCCCAAAGCGACTACCTCTGTTTACATTACTACTGCTCATGGAGAGAGACGAGAACGGGCTGTCGTCCAGCGAGGACTTCCCAACCGTCTGCAGGTCCGTGTGGGATTTGGCTCTGAGTGACATTTCAAAGCCAGATCAGCGATGTAAAAACACAGCCTCACTGTGTCTGCGAGGATAATCTCTGACTTAACAATGCTGCGAGTTTGTGTTGAGAATGCAGAAGCAGGATGTGTAGGAAGTTCTCAGTTTCACGTCGAGTTCACCGGGTGGATCACTGACAGAGAAACATTCATTATTCATGGGGCAACATGATAGGACAAGCCTGCATGGGACAACAAACTGCTCCTGTGTTTTGGTATCAGGACTTATTTTCACCTTCAAAGTGTGAACTTAGATTCAGATCATTCAGAGATATTTTAGCGGAAGTCATGTTATCATCAGGCCTTTGAACGGGGCAGATAAAGATTCTTAGAGTAACCTGATCACTGTACAAAAAAAAACAACACTTTGGTTTGTGTGTGCATCTCAAGTGCATGAGTAATAAAGTCATGTGACACATCAGGTCATGTGATTAATATCCCTTTAGGGTTGTAGATGGGGAAAAGTAAAGCATGACTTTTACAAAAAAAAAAAAACTGGTCTTAAAGGGATATTCCGGCGTAAAATTATTTTGGGGTCAGACACACCGTAACACCAAGTTAGACACCCCGTCGAGAGATGAATGTTGCCGACTGTTGACTAAATACAACTCACCTACTCTCTTCCAACAGCCGCTTGTTTTTACGGAGACCTCTGGACGACTGCAGTGGGGTGACACAGCTCAAAGAAGAACATTTATGATCATTTCTTCATGGAAATGCAATCAGACCGAGACACTAAGACAGAAGAACTACCGCGTCTGCAGAGCAAAATGATTAATATGGTGATTATTACTTCAAGGAAATGATAAAGTAATGATCATAAATGTTCTTCCTTGAGCTGCGTCACCCCGCTGTAGTTGATGGACTCGCCCAGAGGTCTCAGAACAAACAAGCGGCTGCTGGTAGAGAGTGGGTGAGTTGTGTTTAGTCAATTTGCTAAAGAAATCAGGCAAAGTTAAAAGATGTTTGGTGGCTAGTTCTATGGCTAGGACCCTATATGTCCTGTTGATGAAGTTAGGTGCTGTTCTGAGCATTATTTGTGGCTATAGAGTGGTGTTTTGGTTAAGAGTGTGGCTCTCTATTTTGCTGTCTGCGGTCATTGCTAAAGTTGGTATAACTAGAGAAGCAAGCGGTCGGCAACATTCATCTCTCGACTGGGTGTCTAACTCGATTTTACAGTGTGTTTGACCCTAAATTAATACCCCTTTAAGCCAAATCACAGTGTCCTCTCAAAAATAATGTATGCAAGGGACCGTGTACACTGACAACTTTTCTCTGGACTGAATGCAAAACTGCAAAGACCTTCAGTGTTAGCTTGGTTTGGTTGCTGCTCTCTCTATCAAAAACTGGATTTCTACTTTGAACCTCATCAATACAAATGCAAGAGCTTGTACTGAGGAAGGGCTTATCACACTTACATCTCCAGGATTAGAGCTGCTGCTGAAGCCAGAACACAATTTAAACACTATAATTGTTCCTACATTTTCTTTTAAAGCAGCATAGAATGAAAGCAAATATGAAGTAAACAGCACACTTTCATACAGATTTCAGGAAAGCAGTAGTGCCCAGTGTGAATGCAGGTCATAAGAGCGAGTGGAAACAGGCCCTAATCCAACATCTGATACCTCTAATAGATGAGAGCAATCCATCTCCTTTTGGGTAAAAGCAGTCAGTCTGAATTGGTTGGAGGTAAATGGCAAATTAAGAGTTTAAAATGAGAAAAACAAATCTAAAGGCCAGTAAAGCGAACACTTTATGACTTTTTTGATCAATTGGCAGCTTAATATTTACTGAAAAATTACATTATGATGAGACATAGGAGCTGAAGTAGACTTATAAGCAAGAAAGATGAATTAACAGTGCTGACCCGGCTCAGGTGTCACAGTTAAAAAACACTCATGAATTACTTGACTTCATATCACAAGATGAGGATGTTAGTCCTGTTTGATGACTGAGAAGATTAATTAACTTCTCTGTTAGAAATCTAGTGAACACATAAATTCAAGAACATCATTCACGCTGCAAAAATCCTCACTCTGAATTGTGCTTTTCTGCCCCTGGTGGATGAAATGAGACTCTCACTCCTCCTGTGTTACAGCTCTGTATCCATGACAGAGTCGCTCCAGGCTCCACAGAACACATGCTGCGAGCTCCATTACTCATTATATTTACTGACTCCTGAATGAAAGACATACCGATCTCTCTTACTCTGTCATTTTGTTCCATTTAGACATCATAACTTTCAGCAGGTGAGTGTAAATATGTCTTTAACCAGCAGGGAGGAACACTAAGAGGCCTGTATTACTCCTTTTCTCAGGGGTAAAGAGGCATGAAGACTTTTGATTTATAATTTCGTACTGTTCGCTCTAAAATGTGAAATATATGGGGCATGTGTTGACCAGAGCATGACGATACTGGATCATATTAGGATGAAGCAATACATCAAGAATCAACGCTACAAATCTGAGGCGAATGTTGCTTTTATCCTGCAAGAAATAAAATGAATCATCTGCAAAAGTTGAGTCAGAGTGACAGATTTCACCTCTTTAGTTCAAGATTTACACAACGAAGTCTTAAGATATACATATCACATGTGTTCTTTGGGCAAAACCTGTTTCCAGTCTTTGTTTTATGATAGGCTCATTACTCACTAGCTGTAACACATCATTCATCAAAACAAAAGTCCAGCCACCGGCAAAAAGGTTTCTCATACTCCACAAATGTATGCTTTTTTTCACATATGGAAGAAAAGAATGGGAGCCTGTTTTCTCCTGTTAAAAAATAAATAAATAAAAATAAATTATGAGATACTAAGTCATTGATAGTATCTTATAATTATGAGATACCAAGTTATAATTATGAAATACTGAGTAATAATTATAAAATACTAAGTTAAAATTAATGAAGACCTAGTCATAATTACAAAACAATGAGTCATAACTAGGAGATACTATCTTATAATTATGAGATACTAAGTCATAAATATAAAATAGTATCTCATAATGAAATGCTATCTATGACTGAGTATCTCATGATTTTGACTAAGTATGTTATAATTATGAGATAGTTTCTCATAGACTTAGTATCTCGTAATTATGAGATAGTATCTCACAGTTATGACTTTGTATCTCATAATTATGACTTAGTCTTCCATATATTATGAGATAGTGTCTTATAACTACGACTTATTATCTCATAATTATGACCAAGTATCTCATAATTTTGACTTAGTATTTCATTATTATGAGATAGTATGGCATAATGATGACTTAGTTTCTCGTAATTATGAGATAGTATCTCACAGTTATGACTTAGTATCTCATAATTATGACTTAGTATCTCATTATTATGAGATACTATCTCTGACTTAGTATCTCATAATTTTGACTTAGTATCTCGTTATTATGAGATAGTTTCTCATGATAGTTTCTCATTTCTTATGACGTAGTCTGTCACAATTTTGACCTAACATTTTTTAAAATCTTTTTTTTACTTTTTCAACTTTTTCTTCTTAACTGGCGGAAACGGTCTTCCACAGAAAAGGCTCTAAAATAAGGGGGAAGAAATTTTTTTTTTTGATTAATTGTTTTAGTAATTGCTGTTATATAACACAATTCTGAGCTGTAAAAAGACTTGGTAAAGAAATTAAAGGATGGTACATCTCTATGGTGGACTCTATGGTCTATGCTATACTGACTGTAAGATCTTATTGTCTCTGCTTTCCTATTAAAAATCATTTAAATGTCACTGGGGCTAAAAGGTAATGACTGTGTCGGGTAGAAAATTATATAACTCAGTGCTGCAGGGTCGGAGGTTTGATCCTTCCTGTGCCCCCTTTCAGCTATTATGTTTCTGACTTTTATTTAAATGTGTGTCAGAAACATGTGTCAGCTTAATAGGAGAGCAAAATGGGGTCATACAGAAAAAAAAAAAGAAAAGACGTGAGCTGTGGAGATATGTGGAGGAAGTTCCATTTCCGACAGGCCTGACAGAGCAAACATACCTCTGCAGGGTGACTGCTGGCTAAGCAGAAAATCTCCAGAACGTGGAAAACCTTAAAAAAACAGCTCTATAATACGACTCTGTATGTGTAACTCTGAAACAACTCCAACAGGGTTATCCTTTAGAACTGATATCTCCCTGAACGCCATTTAGAGCTAATGTTTCCTGCTTCAATATTTCCGGGAAATCCTCAATTTGTTTTTATTCTTGAGTTTTCATTAAGTCACATATTCACGTTTCAGCAGCCAAAACAACCGAGTCTGAAAACCCCCTGTGTGTGTGTGTGTGGTGTGTGTGTGTTCGTGTGTGTGTGTGTGTGTGTTATCTCAGTCAGGGCCATCAGGCAGATTTGACCTCGGCTTCCCTTTTCCTCGTCTCTTTGACATCACGTTTGTTCTGAGTTTGTTCCCTCTGCGGTCTCTGGATTTGGTTCTTCACTTTCACCCACTTCACTCTCGAAGATTTCATTCAGAAGAAAACATGGCGGGACTTTTGGTTTTCACTCTTTTCCTCTTTTGGTCTTTTACAGATTTGTTATCGGCCTCTGATTCTCACTTACTCAGAGGTAAGATGATTTTTAAAGTCATGTCAGCATTCAGCTTAAAAACACTAATATTTGTGTTTCTTTTATTGATTGTTTCTTTTGCTGATTTGAATATTTTAAATATATTATTTATCAATTTGATGTTAATTAAAACTTGATTTTATCATTCGCGCAAAGCTTGACCTCTCTACACCGTTATGTTGTCCATTTTTAATTTATGCTGATTATTTTCCTAATTGATTTGTTTTAATCGACACAAAAGTATTTTGCTAATACAAGAAACTTTTGTTAAAATTCATCTTTTTATCTTTTTCATTTTCTTTTGATCAGACAAATTCATGATACAAAAGAAAAACACTAAATCTTCCAATTTATTGAAATTTATTGAGCTTAATGTGACGATTAAAGATAACGTTTATGTTTTTCCTTTTTAAAAAGAAAAGAAAATTCACTGAGATATGGTGAATAAATCTTGAGGGTGTGGCAGCAGCACATCTGCAAAGGCTGAATCAAATGAAGCGCAGTCATACAGACAAATACAACAACAGAAATGACTATAATACACTGAGAAAACTATAAGAAGTAAACAGTTCAACATCACTCATGGGTGTATTTTTAAAATTTAGATTGTTGTGAAAATGTTGATTTTTTTTGGTTCTTAAACACAAAAAGATGAATTTTTATGTTCTTCATGGTCATGAAATGTGAAAAAAGCTTGTTTTAGTTGAAATTGATGATTTTGGCTCAAAGCTTAAGACAATCAGAAATGTAGTGTCTCATTTAGAGTTTAAAAATACTGAAGAGTTTGTTTATCTAATTCAGCACGTCACTATGAATCACTGCGTCAGTGTGGCGTAGAGGAAACCAGTCTGCACCGTGGCCTTTAGCTGGTCTGGTCAAACCTGAAGTTGAACTTTGACATGTTATTCCAGTTTACAGAGATACTCCTGTCCTGATGAGGTATTTATATGCACACAAAGTAAAGTGAGTAGTGACTTGATTTGAACCCAGCATTAACCTAAATTAACCACCGGAGGCGAAAGGAGAACTAGTTCCAGATAAGCACAGTACTGTTTGTTTGTAGATCATGTTGTATGCTGACATGGTCAAGATCTGATCTGCACTCTTTGTCCCGGTCACTTGGAGACTCGGTCCACGATAATCCAAGTCTGAGTGTGAAGTTTAGTTTCCTTTAAAAATGTGTTTATTCTAAATCTTCCCCCCAAGCCGTCCACCAGAGTCACAGAGCAGCCGGAGTCTTCCTGCTCATCGAAGGCGGGGCTTACACCTTCAACTTCACGGCTGCCAGAGATGCCTGCCTATTTCTGAACGTCACCATGGCAACCAGAGACCAGATGGAGCGAGCGTTGCAGCGTGGACTGGAGACGTGCAAGTAGGCTCGAAAGCATTTGGGGACACTTCTGGTAGTAATGTAACACCTGTCATGAGGCGTGATGGCGAATTGAAAACACAGGCTGAAGTCTTTGTGAACAATCCGGTCGTTCTGTATCTGCTCGGTCTGAACACGCCGTACCCTCACGACTAAACACAGAGAGGAGGACGACAGCAGTGACACAAAACAGGCCGACAAAAGGCTGTAGTGATTCAGTATTATCAGACTCACAGCTGACAGTTTTATACGGAGATAAAACTGATGCAGCAAAATCAGAGCGGTTGGTTTTTCATTCCTCGCATGTTTCTCTTGAGATTAGATTATTCTGACCTGAACTCTGCTTTATGTCTTCATTTCCCTCAGAGCTTACAGACAGTACTTCAGCAACAGTCCTCTGCTGGCCTTAGAAGATCTTAAGCTTCAAACTTCACTGTTACAGAGGACATTATTGGTTTGTTGAAGTTGTCAGGACTCTGTCAAATCATAGTAAGGGGAATTATGTACGGTGGCCCCAAGGTGCAAAACACAACAGCAAATCAGAAAACACCACAGCAAATTAAAAAAAAACACGACATTAACAATTGTGTTTTCCCTTTTTGTGTTGTGTTTTCTGATTTGCTGTTGTGTTTTGCACCTTAAGGCCACCGTAATTATTTGCCATTATTTTGTTAATTTCCGTTCTTTAAAGGTCCCGTTAAATGTCGTTCAGCTTTTTAGCCTTGTACCTTAAAGTAAAGGATTTCTTTGGCCCATAGAAGAGTCGTCTTTAGGTCTAGTTTATAGGTCTAAAAAACAAAATCTGAAGCTTTGTCTGTGTGGTTGCAAATATATTTTGATTTTTCAATAAGGGCCTGGCTGGTGAACCCACAGGACTGAATTTAACTCACCAATAAAAACACCTATGATTCCTTGGGTTCACAGCAGAGCAGATCCTTGTTTTGGTGAAGCAAACACTCAATGTAAAGTTTCAAAGCTTTTGCATCAGGATATGACACGTTTTCTCTCCCTAATCCTTTTCTGTTTTCCTGTTTTACGGAGCAGAATGGTAACAGGCCCCTTTCTTTCAACAGAGCTGTCAAATAAATGTCTTTTCAAAATAAAACAACCAAATAAAACCAGAAAAATGAATACTGACACACAAAAAAATATTACTTCTATTGGAGGAGGTGGCGTTTATGATTCACACTGTAGCCAGCCAGCAGGGGGAGCTCTAAATCTTTCAGCCTCACAGTCTATGAACACCTAATGTGTCTATTTTAATCAGTTTAAATCTGCTGTTCTCGCCTCTTTCTAACTCAAAGTCAGTGCAGCTCCTTCCACACTATCAATTATAATGACTTAATTTCTACTTTGAAAGGAAAAAAGAATATATTTACCTTTTGTTGCAGGTTCGGCTGGATAGCTGAGCAGGTGGCGGTCGTCCCAAGACTCACAGGGGATGAAAAATGTGGACAGGGTAAAACTGGAGTGGTTTCCTGGGCCGCAAGCACAGCCAGACAGTTTGGTGCCTTTTGCTTCAACTCGTCAGGTAGGGTGAATTAAAATAACTATCAATGATAACTAATAAAACTTAGATAAGCTCACTTTTTGAGCATATAAATTCAGATTTTGCAAAACCTTAAAAGGACTTCAGTCTACAGTTTTTGATATCAACAGTAACATGTAAGTGATGAAACAAAAACAGGCTGATCATCTCTCTTTCCTAGTTTTATGATTGTGTAACAAACATGCAAAGATGAAGATTTTCAGGGGAACACGGGGGACAAATACCCCTCTACAGAGACGGGTCTGGAGGGCTGCTAGATGCATTTGCACACAGCAGCGTATCTGTAATATTTGTAGTTTAAGTAAACATTTGGATGCTTGCAACCTTTGCATTTTGTCAGACACTACTGTTCAAAAGACTCTGCACACATCTCTTTCTTCTGTATATAAAAAAGGACTGAAACAGTGCTTTTATTTTGAAGAGAAAGGGCAAAATGCTGCTGATTACTGATAACCAGCATTGTTTATAATTACTTATGTTTTTTTGTCACTGCTTGCAGCCTTATGGGAAACTCAAAATGCATCAACACCCAGCCCTCAAAGCTCCACACCCTCCAACAAACAGACTGCAGGGACCTGGACCCCTGCACCTCCTGCAGCTGAGTCTTCTCCAACCACACCAACCTCTGAGGGGACATCTTTTACTCCAGCTCCACATGCAAACACCAAACCTCCAACCAGGGTCCTCTCAGCCTCAACCACCCGTGAACCTCCTCCTCTCCCATCAGAGCCCTCAGTCATCAGTTTGGCCTTTACTACCACTGCTTATGCCTCCTTTACTTCAGAGTCAGTGACACACCCACCTGTGAGCTCTGAAGACGCTCCTCTAGGAGGTAATTTTTACGCACTACTTGTGTTTTAAAAACTTAGCCTTCTCTCTCACATCTGCCATTTAAGACTTCTGACAGTGTGTCATCAGTCAGAGATGAAACGTGTTAGACTTCTTTCAGGATCAATTTGACGTGAGTGATCAGGTCGTCCCTGGTAAGAACTAATCACATGGTTATGGCCAATCAGAATCAAGTGTTCAAAACAGGTCAGAAGTCAAACTAATGCAGCAGCTTGAGTCAGTAATCTCCACTCTATCATAGCGTTAAAGCTGCAGTGCTGACATTTAGACCACCAGAGGGCAGAAAAACACTGATAAAAGCAGATCGTCCCAGTTATTCAAGAACAAACCCTTTCATTTAAAAAATAAGTTTGGATTAATTTGAGAAAATCTCCAAAACTTAACGACAAAAAAAGAGAGAGTATAACACTAAAAAGAAGCAGATACGCACCATTTGAAGAGGGTGTTTTATCAAAATGTTAAATTGAATTCATGATGGATGACGGAGAGGCTTTTAAAATTCTGTTTATAATTTGTGTTTATGATATTTTTATGAATCCACTTTAAAATTAAGTGGATATATGAGCCGATTTTACAGGATCCAGATTGAGTTCAAAGTTGTCATATCTCTTGATTTGTCTTTTTGTGTGTTTGTTTAATGTTTTCCAGATGTTTCCACGGCTCTCATCGTTCTTGGCGTCATTGCTCTGCTCGTGAGCGCAGCAGGCGTTGTTTGGTACAACAAACTGTGAGTCTGGTGTCAGTTCAGAAGTTATCGTAGCATCTGCTCTGTTCACTAAACACATGGTCAATGATTGTAAAACAGGAAAAATCAACCCACACAGTCTAATAGAAGCAGAAAAGTCATTTGTTCTGTTACAGAGAGTGACCACAAACAGCTTCACTGCCCTGAGAAAGTTTGACTTACATTCATATTGAGACAAAAAGTCGACACCACTAAACTCAAACTTATGAACGTTTCTGTTCAGTTCAGATTGTAAGTAAACTTGTCTTGTGTTTTTTTAAAAAGGAATATTTTCACCTTTTGGACTCAAGTTCAGCGGAAAGAAGATGTAGAGACAGAAATGTGGAAACACACGGACAGTGAGATGGACCTGCACAGTCAGCATGAAGAAGGAGAAGAAGAAGAAACAGAGAGGAAGTACTCCAGTGATATAACTCTGTGTGTGAATCCAGATATCAAAACAAACTCTTCAGAGTAGCTTCATGATGGTCCTTTGGGTTTATTTGTTGTGAGAAAAGTCAACAGGAAATAGAAACATGTGTTAACTTGATATGCTTTCTTGTTGTCATGTAAATAGACAGTAACTTTTTGCATCTTTTTCTTTTGTACGTAGATTAAAAACAGCGATTTTCCTTTCTTTTGATTGTGAGTTTTGTATGATTTTGTTTTTCTAATTTTATTTTGAAACTAAAGTTTGTCAAAATCCTCATTCTTCATTTTTACTGACTGGTTATAATCATTACAAACCTGTTTTAATACATTAGAGCAGACGTGGGGAGTTTGGAACTAGTTATAAAAACTGACATAAATGAATATTGATGCCTCTGAGTGAGATTCAAAGACAGACTAAACCATCAGCACAGAGAGAACTTATTTCTAGGAGGTTAGATGTAATGCCTTAAAGTGGTTGCCAGGTGGTAGGTGATCAGAAACAGCCATTTACAACATTTCCCATGGCAAATGTGAACAAAAAAGGATACATTTGACATGTAAAAGGAAGCATATTTTTTGTTTAAAACACTGCTTTAACATTTAGAAATGATTTAGATTTTGGCGCCCCCGAAAGGGGCGCCAAAATCACCACAAACATAAAAATCGCCACAGGAGCGTCAAGAAAAGATTATAAAACATAAAATTTTAGCAACAATTATATTATTGTAGATTCTTTTTGTTTGAAATTAAAATGTTAATTTAATGAGCTATTCTGTTTATTTGGCATTTAAAGATAGACACTTTTAAGAAATGTGGAAAAGACATTGTACATTGTTTAGAAACGGAAAATCACAGCTTTTAATATGTATCTCCATCGTTTACAATTAAACTTAACAGAGTAAACTTAATGAAATAAAGGACACTATCATTAATATCAAGTTTAACAAAAGAGTATGAGGGCCAAATTAAGAAAAAAAGGTAAGACTAAGAGATTAAAATGTTTAACTTATGAAAACAAAGTCACTACTAACGAGAATGAAGTCCTAATATAGAGTAATTACTTATGAGAACTAGTCCGTAATAAAGTTATTACTAAAAAGAATAAAGTCGTACTAAAGTAATTACTTACCAGAATAAAGTCGTAATAAAATCATTACTTACAAGAAAAAAGTTGTAAGAAAATCATTTCTTATGAGAATATAGTTGTAATAAAGTAATTACTTACAAGAACAAAGTCATTACAAACGAGAATAAAGTCGTAATAAAGTAATTACTTACGAGATAAAAGTCGTACTAAAATCCTTACTTATAAGAATAAAGTTGTAATAAAATCATTTCTTACGGGAATAAAGTGGTAAAAGAGTAATTACTTTCGCAAACAAAGTCATTACTAACGAAAATAAAGTCATAATAAAGTAATTACTTACCAGAATAAAGTTGTAATAAAATCATTTCTTACGTGAATAAAGTTGTAATAAAGTAATTACTTATGAGAATAAAGTCATAGTAACATAATTACCTACAAGAATAAAGTCGTTATACAAAGTAATTACTTGCGAGAATAAAGTCGTAATAAAATCGTTATGATACTTACAATAATGTGGTGCCAATTTGGCAAAAGATTGAGTATCTCCTTGTTTGAGAGACCGATATTGAAGTATATCTTTCACGAACTGCTCCATGGCTTTCATTTCAACAACTGTCATCTTAAACAGCAGCTTAGAATATAAGGACTTTATTATGGCTTTACTGTCCTAATTAATTACTTTACTACGACTTTATTCTCATAAGTTTGATTATATTACGACTTTATTCTCGTAAGTTAAACGTAATTATCAATTAAAATCTAGTTTTGAGACGCTTGTTCTTGATTATCTGTGTTTTTTGTTTTCCCGCTTTTTCTGTTTATAAGGCAAAGCTCACCGCACGGTGGCGCTAATGAGCGAGGACAGCGTTTTAGCGAACAAAACCAGGAAAGAAGAAGAAGAAGATCGTCACGTGATCACCCGTCAACATCCATGCGCATGCTGAAAAATCACCGTAAACACTACTTTACTCAGCATTAGAAATCAACCCTAACTGTGAACCTGAGCTGGAGGTAAAAATCACCTAAAATGAGACGTTTGGGCTCCGTGCAGCAGAAGATAGCGTGTGTTTTTCTGACGGAGGTGAAGGAAGAAGAGTCGAGGAAACGGGACTATCAGGTGAGTGAAGAGCAGACGTGGATGCTGCTGCTGATGACTTAGAGACAACTGATGGACTTTTAGTCTCTGTAGAGGATTTTAATCAAAGAAACAACTCCATTTTATCCTGGTTTTAAGGATTTAGATGAATCTTAGTGAGCGCTATTTCCTCACAGGCCTGTAATGATGAGCCATCCTCCCTCTGTACTGCTGTTTGACAGACTGTCATGTGTTCACTTTCACTCTTTCATTCAGAGACAGATCAGAAAAACATTAAAACAAGTACTGAGTATAAATATGTATAGAATAGAGTATCAGAGTATAACAGATGATTAATGTTTAGTTTAATAAAACTGGACTGTGTAAAGAAACTCTGGTACGGATGGAGCTGTGAGCTAAAGGGAGAAAAAGTGCCTATAAATAAAAACAGAGGAGTTTCATGGAGTGAAGGGAAAATGTGAGATTTAAAGAGCAAAAATATATCACCTTATTGAATCAGAGAGGGACCTAGGGCTGGGACGATATGCTTTCTTACCGACTCGATTCTTCTACGATTTTTTGGATGCCGATTCGATTTAAATTACGATTTTACGATATTGTCGATTTTCTCGATTTGAGTTGAGAATGTTTATGATTGTCCACTGACTATTACAGGAACCATATTTCCCCCAAAAATACACATCACATGTAAGTCAGATTTAAGGTCCTTACACACGCAAATATACAACGTGAAATTACAAAATATTCAGACAACAACACGCAATCTGATTGGTCAGAAGTGGACACACAGTATGCGAAACTTTAGAAAAATCGACAGTGATGCGAAAAAATAGATGCCGCAATATCGCAGGACGGGAAAACGTCGCTGATGTGAACGCTTGTATTGACAGGATACGGGTTCAAAAAAAATATTGACGCCCGAAATAATCGCACGAAAAAAAGGCTCCTGGTGTGAAAGGATTTGAAAAAAAAAATCAATTTTTGAACATAAAGCTCGATTTAAAAATTGTAAAACAAAAAATAGCGACGCTTACGTGAACAGATTTTTTTCTCCCACCCCTAAAAGAAACAGAGGAACTTTACAAGACATACATTATACCACAATAAACACACATGGCTCATCAATGCAGTAAACCAGCAGCGGTGTTGAAAAAGATTGATATGAGAGTGATGTCTGTCATGTTTTATAGAAAGATCTTTGTCCCTTTTCAGCCGTTTCAGGTTGTTGCCACGGAAACTGTGAACCCAATTGCTCTAGAGGCCAACATCGACTGTGCGCTGGCCACAGAAAAACTCGACGGCACTTGCTGTTATGTTACACTTTACAAAGGTGGGTTAAAACTACCGTAGACTCCCTCTGAAATCGAAGGATTAACATGATACTGTTTCATACCACTCTGTAGGCCAAGAATAGAAGATTTGAATGGTTTAGGTTTATGTTTATTATCTGTTTCCTGTAGGCCAAGAATAGAAATTTGAATGGTTTAGGTTTATGTTTATTTTCTGTTTCCTGTAGGCCAACCTTACCTCTGGGCTCGATTGGACAGAAAACCAAACAAGCAGGCAGAAAAGAGGTTCAAAAAGTACCAGCACATGCACAGGAGCTGCAAAGGTACCTCAGCCCTTGTGATCTTTGCTTGTAGACTGTTAAACATTTGTTCCTTCTCTTCAGAGATGGACGTGTTATCTTATATCCTTCTTGCCTTGGTTTCCAGGTTTCTCGTGGAACATAGAAGATTTTAAGACGGTACCAGAGCCGTGGATTCCTGCGCACAAAGTCAAACACCAAAACGGTCACCCGGTGCCTGATGAGCACGGACACATCCCAGGTCTTTTTAAACCTCATTGAAGATCATAATGTTTATCTCTGATCATGTGGATGTACAACAGGAGACGTGTCATTCCTCGAGCATAAATTCAAGGCTCCATTTTGTCTGAGTTTATGATAAAGTGAACATGCTGTTGCACCAGGACAGCAGGTCACCCTCATGTACATAGGCTCATACTTGTTTAAAATAGTTAGATTACATTCTCAGACCTTGCGCCTATGTTGGAAACACACTGAGTAAATACAGCAGTTATGTAAATAAACAAAACAGACACATGAACTCTGTGTTCTCAGTGTTCCTGTAAAAGAAACACTTCTCAGTTTTTGCGGAGAACTTGAGTAAGAACCTGTGGTCAAACGAGTAAAATTACGGAAAAATCCCACGTATCCTGCATCGTTATTTTACCGTTAGCCACAGTTTTAATTGGATGATTGAAACAGGTCTCACCACTCACGACTGCTTGTAAGATTCCTCACTCATGTTGGTTTCAACTCCGTCTCCCTGTGGATAACACCGCCTGCACAGGTTTTGATTTACTCCTTTGTGAATGTCCAGGCTGGGTTCCGGTGGAGAAGGACAATAAACAGTACTGCTGGCACTCCTCTGTTGTGGACTATGAAGTCGGGACAGCTGTTGTTCTCAGGCCCAGCGCTGACGATAAAGAAGTGTTAGAAATCGTGGCGGCCCCTTTGGCGGATCTGATGGAACAAACACTTGAGCTCATTGGAACAAACGTCAATGGAAACCCTTATGGTAACAAGCTGTGACGGCGCTTTCCTTAACCTGTTTAAGACTGAATGTGGTGACAGGGAGAGTGGGGAGTTGAGGAAGTGGCTGTTGAAGCTTAGCAGAACATCTTGATCTTCAAAAGACGAATAATTAAAGAAATACCTGAAACAATCTTTCATCGTTCCTCGCAGGACTTGGTAGTAAGAAGCAGCCGGTCCACTTCCTGGTGTCTCATGGGAGCGTTCGAATCAGAAACCCTCCCCCTGTGGACTTCCAGCAGCTGTGCGCCTGGTTTCAGGAGAGTCCAGAGGGTCGGGTGGAGGGCATCGTCTGGCACTGTGATAATGGCACGCTTATCAAGGTAAGAAAAAATCACCAACTTTGCTCCCATCACGCTACAACTCTAATTCTCGTACCATGACGACTTTTCTATGACGTTATTATCTCATCCTTATTTGGCTTTAATACTCTGACGTACCTCTCAAAGTGAGTTTTCCTGCATGATGACAGATTTTAAAGACAAACTTATAAATTGTCAGTCCAGCAGCTTTGAGTTCAGCGTTCTCTCTCTCTCTCTCTCTCTCCCTCTCTCTCTGTCTAGATCCATCGTCATCACCTGGGGCTGAGGTGGCCTGATGGCGAAACCTCCCTCAGCGAGAAGCCAGCAGTCGTCCACGTTGACGGGACGGTGGATGAATACAACAACAGCAAGGACTTGTTTGCATCCCTCTCTGCGTTAAACGGACAATGTTTCAGCCGGCTGCAGGACGTTCGGTTCGACCTGTGAGCAGACTCTGCAGACTCAGCGAGGGTTTCTTCATTCGTAATTCCAGTCAACTTGGTTACAGTTTGATGTTTACTTTGCAGAAATGTGTAAAAATGACCAACAGGAAGTTTTGAACAACTGAAGTTACTTAAAAGTGTTAAGAAATTTACTGTAAATACCGACACTACGGCACTTTCACAGCTGAGCAGAGTTTTCTAGTCAGTTTGGAAACAGCTTTATTGAAAAATACACGAACACTTTGCCACAACTGTACAAATATAGAGAAAATAACCTAATTACATTTAATTATATCACATATTAAGAGAAAACAGCTGCCTGAGGAGCAATTTCACCTCACTGCTCAAATGTAAACGTCTGTTTTAATTTTTTTGCTTTTTTGGGGGGATTGGACCAAGATATGAAACTGTTATAACTTAAAAACCATAAAGCGTACAGTGCTGCTGTAAAAGTATTTCACAGAAATAGTGCTAAAGGTGAATTTTTCTTTCACTCAGAGTGGGAGTTTCTGTAAAAAATGATTATTTATGTAGCAAATTAGACCAAAGCCCTTTAATCCTGAGTACCGTTAAAGTAAAAGCAGGATGAATAAAGAAATAATGCTTCACATCAGGAGCTGAGAATGACTGCAAATGAAAAAAAACATGCCTGCTGCATGCTGGGTAAAATAAAAACAGAGGTATTAATGAGTCTACATATTGTCAGACAAATAAGCCGAGGTTATTCCAACTGAGTTTACAGTAATTTAACGTATTACTTATTCCAGATTAAGTGTAAAATCTGCTCATATTTGTTGTGTTGGGAAAATAAAGAGTCAATCTTAAATTAAATATTGGTCCCTGTCACTTTTTTTGTATTTGTCTGATAAATATTCTCCATTAGCCACAAAAAAACCCTGAATTTCTCTGAGACTTCCTGATTCATTTGGTGTCAAACAGATTCAGAATGATCAGATTTTTTGAGACCATTTCAGGCGTGGTCTGAACTGTCTGAGTTTTTTAAAGGCACGCTTTAACCCTGAGTTAGCTGATGGACACGCTGGGTAGTTCTGCCTTCACGCCAAACTGATCGCACACCTTCCTCAGCTCCTCCTCCAGCAGAACGTTCTTCTTCACCTCCACGTTGTAGTTATATTTCAGGTCCTCGATCTCCTCGAAGAAAGCCGGGTCGAAGCTCTCCAGTTCCTTCTTCAGTTTTGTAACCTCGGTCTGGAGTTGGCTTTTCTCTTTCTCGGCTGCCTGCAGAAGATGTCTGAGCTTCGCGTGGTCTGAGAGAACGAGGAAGAAAGAGGAAAACTCTAAAGATGAAGTTAAAGCTCCTGTGAGGAGTTTTTGATTGTTTACAAAACACACTGAAATGAACAGTAACGCGTCTCTGTGTCATACAAATGCAAATGCAACCACTGCTGAGAAGACTGACAGTTGTTAAAATGTAATTTTTAATGCCTGTGTTTGCTGTGAGGGGGTAGGTGCGCTGAAGAAACAGCCTTTTTACTTTTTACAGTGGGTGATTGATTTCACTCGTAAAAGACACCAGGAGGAGTTTTTTTTGTCAGTTTACACCACTTTCCGGGAGAGTCGTTAAAATCAGCGTTAATAAAAGGTTCCAACTTTGTCCACAGGGGGCGCCAAAATCAACACACACAGAAAATTCCCTACAGGAGCTTAAAGCCACATACACACAAGCGTATGGGATAACGTTCGTTATCTCACACAACTCCTGTTTCCGAGCGCTGAGTCTCACCTAGTTTGGAGGACGTCTCGCCGTGTTTCTCGCGGTTTTCACTCAGCCTCTGTTTCAGCTCGGCGTTCTCCTTCTGCAGCTCACTGTTCACCAGTCTGAAGACGAGAAAGGTAGACTTTTCATGTCTGTTAAGTTTCCTTTTCCTGCTGTTCATTTATTAGTTAAATGTCCTTTATTTTTGCACATTTATGTTTTGTTCATGTCTTGCATTTCCTGTTTTATTTTGTAGTTCACTAACTCTTGTTTCTGTCCTCTAGATTTGTTCCTGTCTGGTCTGTCCTGCCCCTGTCTCGTCACACCTGTTGCCTGATTGCGTCTCTCCTGTTTCCCATCACCCTCATTACCTCTTGTATTTAACCTCATGTGTTTCACAGTCTTGTGTCTCATTCCAGCATTTTTTTCACAGTGATAGTCTAGTTGTTGTTTACCTTTGCCTGTCTTTTTGGAACTTGCCTTTTTGCCTCACGTTTTTGGATACTTCTGCCTGACCTGACCGCCTTTTTGTGTACCGACCTCTGCTTGTGTCCAAGTCTGAATCTTGGATGTGAGGTATATTCTGTTTAAAAGTATAAACTATTACGATGTTTGCTTTGTTTTTAGACAATTTCCTGTAAGTCAAATAATTAAAGGCAGACGCTGGGTGATGAATTGATATAAAGGCTTTCTTTTCATGTTTATACCTTTGAAGCGTGTCTGGCAAATCAGGATCAAGGGGATGTGAACTGTTAGCTCGTTATTTCATGGCGTAAATAAATCAAAAAGTTGAGGAAACGTCCAGGAAATGTTCTCAGTAGAGGACTCCACCCGTTTTTAGACAAACCTCATTGCCTGGAACTCCTTCATGAGTCCTCCTTCTGTCTTTGCAGCAGGATAACTTCTTAACAAATCAACCTAAAAAAGACAAAAATGATCGTTTTAATACTCTTTCAGATACTACACCTGTACAGGTAAGAGAAGCTGCAAATATCCGCAAAAATCCAACAAAATGCATCCCTGGTAAAAACTGAAATATGCTCGGCTATAATTCAGTTCTGGATATTGATCCGTCAGTACCTGATCTTCAAGTTGCCTGATGCTGATCTGAGCTCTGTCCTCTCGCTCCGTCACGTCTTTTAGTCGATCTTTGAGCTCAGACAGACTGGAGGTCTTCTGGGCGAGCTCCTTCTCCAGCTCCTTCATTTTGTTCTCAAACATCCTGAAGAAAAAAAAAAAAAACACTTAAACATTTAACCCCAAACCTGGACAGACTATGGAACTCTGGTGGAGTCTGACCTTGTTACCACTGAAGCCTTCCAGGTCTTACTGTCCGCTCCCTCTGCGATGGGTTTGGATAAAGCTGCTCTCAGTCTCTGCTTGGTTTCCTCCAGCTCTGCCTCCAGCTTCTCGTTGGTCACTTCCACACTCGTCTTGGTCACTCTCAGCCTCTCTGCAGTTTCCATTTCCTGCAACAATATCAAATCAATACAAAGAGGTGTCCCTGAAAAGAGCTTTTTACCGCTGGCCTTTAATCCTCAAACAAAAAAAACAACACGAGAAGAGTTACCTACCCTTTTGATCTCTCTGCGTAGACGCTCGTTCTCCATGACGATTTTCTCCAGGCCTTTGGTTTTAGACTCCAGTTTTGAATTCAGCTCAGCTTCACTTTGACTCTTCAGTTTGTCGAAATCATCCTGGGAAAAAGGAACACCTGATGTCAATTTAAGAGACTTTTTTTAAACAAGACAACGTTGGACATGATGTAGTCTGACACCTTTAGTTTCTGGTTTTCTTGCTCCAGGGCAGCGATCTTCTCCTGATTGGCAGGTGCGCTCGATTTCTTCAGTGTTTCATTCTCTCTCTGCACCCGCTCCACCACCTTCTTCATCAGACCGATGGTTTTCTCGAGTTCAGGCACCGTTTTCCCGCTGTGACCGGCCTGATGAAGAACGTCGTATAAATACTGTTAATTGTAGACCGTCAAGAGGAAGCTGGGTAACTAGATTTTAGTGAACCAAAGAGCAGCTCCTCTACTGTCTGCATTCTTGTCTGACTTGCTCTTCTCAAACTTATTCACTTACATAAAGAAGAGAAACAGAACACAGATGACTTCAGTTGAACATACCCCACGTATATGTGCCAGCTTTTTCTCCACATCTGCCTTCTCCTTTTTCAGCACGCTGTACATCTCCTTCAGGTCAGACACTTGATTCTATCAAATGAAAAAAAAATTAACAATTAACATCTGCTCCAAAGTAACCACGTCTACATGAGAGTGCAGGGAACTGATGAACACTGCCATTCACTTAGGAGTGGTAGGTTCATCTGTGACGGCATCACCATAGGAAATTGAAATTAAAGGGATATTCCGTTGTAAAATTAATTTAGGATCAAACACACCATAACACTGAGTTAGATAGCCGCTCGAGAGATGAATGTTGCTGACTGCTTGCTTCTCTAGTAATACCAACTTAAAAAACGACCGCAATATGCAGCGGTACAAACCTCAACCAAAACGCCGCTCTATCGCCACAAATAATGCTCAGAACAGCACCTAACTTCATCAACAGTACATATAGGGTCCTCGCCACCGAACATCTTTTTAACTTTGCCTGTTTTTTTTAAAACACAACTCACCCACTCTCTTCCAGCAGCCGCTTGTTTGTAGGAGGAACCCTGATAAGTCGATTACCGAGTGCAGGGAGTTTCGCAGCTCAAGGAAGAACATTTATGATCAGTTCTTCATGGAAATGCAATCAGACCGAGACGCTAAGGCAGAAGAACTACCGCGTCTGCAGAGGAAAATGATTAATATGTTGATTATTACTTCAAGGAAATGATAAAGAAATGATCATCGTTTTGGTTGAGGTTTGTTTATGGCTCCTCAGACCGCTGTGTATTGCTATGATGCGGTCATAACTAAAGTTGGTATAACAAGAGAAGCAAGCGGTCGGCAACATTCATCTCTCGAGGGAGTGTCTAACTCGGTGTTACGGTGTGTTTGACCCTTAATTTTACGCTGGAGTATCCCTTTAAGCTGTTTGGAAGTTGTATTTAAAAAAGAAAGAAAGATGTTTTCTTGTTGCCCAGTTAACGATTCCCTGTAACATCAGGTGGTATAATTATTAGTATAAAGCTAAGGTTATATAAGGGAGGCAAGATGTGCATGTGGGGGAAGCGTAAGGAAAAGCCTCGGACTGTCTTGCTGCCTGAAAATGAGTAACTTAAAAAGAATAAACCGTTGGGAAAAGGACACTGGATAAGCCGTGGTTGCGGGCTTGCACTGCTGCTGGTTCTCTGCAGTTTTGCCAGCAGCCTGACGTGGGGGAGAACAAAGGAGCCACGCTTCAGATCCATGCCTTCCTCCTTGGACCTGGTAAGATTTTTGCGAGTCGTTTTCTTCTTTTTTGACAACCTGGTATACCAGAGATTTTTGGAGATCGATCAATCCTTTTTTTTAACCATTTTTGCTATCTTGGGGATTACGTTTATGTGGACATTCGATGATTGCGCCCCAGATTTGGACGTAAATATTAAAACTCTTTGGCCCAGAGGACATTTTTGTTTCTTTTGGGGGAATTATTTGGTGTATGATGTTAAAGAGGCATTTATGAGTTGTGTTTTTTGGAGATTTGATCAAATTGGTTCAGAAATATCAAGGTGTTGAATAATTACATCTCACATATTTGGCCTTTTAATTTGCTTGTTCTTCATTTCAGACTTTTGTTCAAGGTGGATCAAATTTGAGTTGGTATCTTTTAACAATTTGAACGTTTGATTTCCCTTTCAGAACCCCTTTATTTGTTGGTAATGCAGGACAAATGTCACAGTGTTACACATCCATTTGTGGTAGGTTTCAATTTCAATGTAAACAAGGAGAAACACAGAACTCAGTTACTTAGAGGCGCAATCTATTATTTCAGATGTGCCATCAAGGTTGACTGCTTCTGATTTATTCAGGGGAGGATGAAATCTAAACACAGACTTGATGTAGTGATGCAGCTTTGAGCAAATTTGGTGCTTACTGAGGCTTTCCTGCTTCAATAAAATTCAAATAACTGAAGAATAAATAAATCTGTGCATGGAGATAAATAAAGCAGCTGGTCCAGTCGGGTCCAGATGTTTGGCAGATGTCTGTTAATGTGCGCTGCTTTGTGATTAGTCAATGCTGATTGGAGAACAAACAGAACTGCAAACACAAACCAGGGCACCTCTGTGAAATATTTCCCTCGTCCACATACCTTGAGTCTCGGTAAGTCTTTGTTGGCCTGCTCCAGCTGAAAACGCAGCTCCAGGTTCTCAGAGGCCAGCTTGAGGTTTTCTTTTTGCAGGTCCTGATCTCTCTGTGAAGGGGTGCCAGTTCCTCGCCCTGAGGTCTATGAGAAGAAAGAGACACAAATGAGCTGCAGGCAATGAAAAAAAAACCACATGACTGTATAGAGGTACGTCACCTTCTTGAGACTCTAGGGGGTTTGGAAACAGCTTTATTCACACACCGTCGGGACACACTGACAAACACACACATCTACTGCACCGCTATGACAGCACTAAGACCTCAGCAGGTGACCTCAGTACCTTCAGATGTCTAACAGATCTGCTGTGCTCGTGTTTTTGTGTGTGATCATCTTCTTCTTCACTGATCAACATCTCTGGCCGTTGGCTCGGTATGAGACTCAGATCTGGTTCTGGTTCTGGTGATGGATTATCTTCTTTTGAAGCTTCCTTTGCACCGTCACCATCAACTGGTTGTTCTCCATCGTGTCTCACCTCATCAGCAGCATCTCGGTTGTCATCTTTTCCAACGCACTCCTCCATCTTTGCTTCACAAGTATCAGTGTCAGTTTCTGCTTCGGCAGGCACAGGGGACGACATAACTGATCTGTCTTCTGATGGATCACCAGGGTCTGGGTCGCTTCCTTTTCCCTCTTGTTGGTCTTCCTGCTCTTCTCCCACAAACGGCTCATAATCACCTTGGACGTTCTGCACACCGTCTAAAACATCTGCTTCTGCCTCCGCTTCATCTTGCACATGATTTGTGTTATCACCTTCTCCGCTAACATCGGATCTGTCCGTGGTTGTGTTTTCTGCCAGGTGAGGACTCAATCCCTCTTGTTCAGTGAGAACATCCTCTGCACCCACAAAGCCAGTTTGAGCTCCTCCGGCCACCTGGCTTCGCTCTGGCTCCCCCTTCTGGTCAGCATCTGCGGTGCTAACAGAGTGATGGCAGGATTCAGCCGGACTCGGTGTTGCGTTCCCTCCTGCTGACCCCTCGTCAACATCAAAAGTAAGAGAACAAATCCCCCTCAAACCCTGGGAAGAGGAGCTTTTTTCCTTCACAGGCAATAAATCAGATAAAATCCAGTGCCAGGGATGGTGGGACACATAAAAAAGAGAGTAAAGGATGATAAATGAGGAGTGAAAAACAAAAACATATGGAATATGCTGAGGTGAAAACGTCACGTACACCTCATACACGTACACGTACATACAGTGATTTACAAAGTGAACTCAGAATGACAGCGATGTTTATGGCGCACAGAATCGAGTTTAAACCTTAAATGAATTTCTTTAAAGTCAATCAACACCGCCAAGACAAAATCAGCACCAACGTACTGTAGGTTCCGAGTTTCTCTACAGCACAGAGCTGGAGATATGGCCTCAAATCAATATCATGATATATCGAGCAATTCACCTCGATAACGATAAATTAACTACTCCACAAGCTGCTCACCCCCTCCCACATTAACTTCGTCTACTTCAGCCACTACAACTTTTGAACCGTCCTCCATCTCCTCACCTGTCTTTCCCTCTTTGTTACGGACTGGATGGGGTGGAGTCACGACTCTGACGTAGAACAGCGTCTTAAAGGAACATGAGACCATAGCCTACCTACACACATCCAAAACCAACTTTTATTTATTCATTTTTTTGACACCGAATATGTTGAAGTGGGCAAAATGACGTCGGTTATTGTCGTAAATTTTAGTATCGGTAAATTTTCAGTTTATCGCCCAGCCCTACTTTAAATGTCTGGATGTCAGACATGTTGAGTTTTCCTACAAAACCTATAAGGAATTAAGACTTCCAAGAATTAAGTCTCATACCCTAGTGAATTCAATTTGGTTTTGCAGCTAGCGTGCGTGTGGAGATGAGCTCGGATAAACTCGTTGAACTCCACACAAACTTTGACGGGTCAATCAGCAAAGGGAACTGAAGAAACGCGAGAAGTGATGAGCGATGAAATCGTGGAAAACACACAGCTGGCATCTAAGAAAACTTTCTATGGAAATCAAGCTTGTGTTATCATTATCTATGTGAGAAATTGTACCATCCGAGATATCGACTTGCTGCTGATTTCAACGCTTTAAGAAGCATCTTGGATGTCAGTGGAATATTTAGACAGACACGCAATTATCTTATTTCATACAAATTGAATGACTTGTGGAAAGACGTGCTGCCGGGCATAAACAGTGATTATAACACGAGTCATAGGGTCTAAAAGATAAGGGGTGTTAAAAAACAAGCATTCTTTATCGGGGCTGAAATATCTGCCGACAATCAGAAGATGAGATTTATTTTTTGACACCGCATATATTGACATGGGAAAAATGACATCCATTATTGTCGTACATTTCAGTATCTGTACATTTTTGCTGTACCGCCCAGCCCTACTACAGCAGGTGACGGAAAAATCCTCACAGGAGCTTTAAACAGCTCTGTGTCACGCTTATTTTTTAGTGTGTGTGTGTTTTCATTATCATCATAATCCTGATTCTTTTCCAAACTCTGCTGTTAATATGCAGAAAAAAAAGTCAAAGTGAAAAAAAAAAATCATTCCTGCCGGTGGCAAAACTGACGTCAAAGAAAGTAAGAGTTTCCTTATGTGTCTGCACAGGAGTCGGTTTCTCGGTTTCTTTAGTGAAAGTAATCGAATTTATCTTTCATAAGCTTAAATCAAACAGAAGAAGCTGGTGTTAAAACCACAAAACCACCACAGCGCGAGGCATTACAGAGATCTTGTTGTTTTTTCAGGTTTAAAGGTGGTCAGAGTGTGCTTGACTTAACACCAAAGTAATCTCTTCAACATATTTTCCTTTTTTACTAGACGTGTTTCAAGATCTAATCTTATCGACTCTGAACTTTTGCCAAAAAACACGAAAGATCCTTTATTATCAAAATCTTGTCGGCTCATCCTTGAATCAAAGACACACCCGCCAAGTTAAAGACTGACCTCTTCAGGCTTTTAGGGGACTCTGTGATACTACATGGAGCAGGGCTCGCTGACAGATTTGTAGACGGAGGCCTGTGTAAAAGCCCTCTAAAACCCCCAGGTTTGTTTCTGTACAACCTTCTAGCTTATTTGGATATTCCTAATAAAATCCAGCCAATTTGTGATGCTCATGGTGTTCTGCAGGCTGATGAGCACTTACGGAGGGTCTTGAAGGGGGCTCCTTGGATAACTGATTCTCCAACGACTGCAGCCTTTCCTCCAGGAAGCGGTTTCTGAGGGTCAGGTTCTCCATGGCGTCATCCCGAGGTAACGCCTGCTGCTCTCTGCAAGTTCAGGATTTCGTTTTAATCACGGTTTCTTACAAACTCAATATTCATAAAGACAGGGACACTGACTCTTCACTGAAAAAAGTGACTTTTTTGTGCAGTAAAATCTATTAGAGCGACTGTCATAATTTCTACCTTGTATTTTTAAGATTCTACAAGAATGAGAGCTTCTTAAGTAAAATTAAACATTTTTTTAAACATAATACATGAATAATGGAGAAGAAGAGTAAGTTTTACTTAGGTTTCCTTATACTATTTAAATCTTTATTGGTTGTACAAATACTACATAAACTTCACTCTGAAAGTGTAGTGTTTTGAAACGAATGCACACTGTAGCCTACGACAGGACTGGCTCTGCTCCGAGCCCGGACGTTACAGGATCACAGAGCAAGGTGGGGGGCAGCAGTAGCTCAGGAGGTAGAGCGGTTGTCCAATAACTGGAAGGTTAGTGGTTCGAAGTCCCACTCTGATCTTTTTTTTTACCACCAGTGGTCATGAAGTTGTGATTATGAAGTTTTTAGCCAAAATCGCGTTATCTGTGTTATTTTCAAGGGCTTTTCTTCTGCAGAGCTCATTAGCAATTAGTAATTCACCTCTAAGTCGTGGGCAGAGACAGCGCTGCTCTGTACACTCCTCTTCATGCTAGCTTGATGCCTAACATTGCCGGTGTAGTAGAAGTAGCAGGTAACATAGGAGCTATTCAGCTCTTAGACACTAATGTTTTCAGGGACATGATGAAAGTTCATATCATAATTAGTTTTCTTACGAACATTGCAATCCACTAGCGCACACGCTTGTTTCATGATCGTCCTCTCTACTTCTCTGAGTCTGGCCTGCATAGTGGGGCTCAGGGGGCGGAGCTTGGATTTGTGACATAGGAAATCTCACTGTGTCTGAGCCTGGCGTTTGGGTCTGCTAGAGATTCACAGAGATTTGAATGCAGAAATACTCGGAATTGCAATTTTGCACTTAGCTCTCTCATGATATGTCCTGTAGCATCAGAAAAACTCCATATGAACACGTAGACAACAAAAAAAAACTGATTTTCATCAGAGTGGGTCTTTAAAACTTGAATGTAATTAAGTAAATGTTACTTAATATCTTCACAACTGTTTTGTTTTATGTAAAGTAAAATTTACTTAATACTGGCAAGTGAGTGTCACTTGATATCGCTGCATTAAAATTGACAAATCATTTTTCGTGCAAATACTTACAATACATTTTTTAAATCAATCTTATGAGTTATTTCTTTCAGTGTTCACTGGGAAACAGGTAAACAAGTCAAACCCACTTCAAAGCTGCTCACTGCAGGATTTGAGCGTCCTGCTTCAGTCACAGCGCTAAGACATCTGCAGGGTGACTCCAGAGGCCCCCCCAAGTACCTCCAGATATCTGAGAGATGTGCTTTCATGTTTCTGAGCACCATCATCTCTTTCTAGACTGATAACCATCTCTAGCTCTATGAGCTGTCTGAAATCTACATCTGCTTCTGCTAAATACGGCTTAACTGAGTTTTCTCTTCTCTGGGAATTTTTTGATATCAAAGGCCAGGAGACGCTTAACCGGCTTAACAAGTCTTCCACAAAGCAGCAGTTCTATGATATCAGTACCATCTAACACCTGAATGGCCATTACCTCCTGCTCCTAAGTCGAAGCTAAAGCTCCCGCTTCAAAAACTCTGGATGTCCTTTGATCAAAAATGTCAAATCTTCCTGGTTTTTATCTTTCTCTTACATATGCGCCACATCCTATCAGATCCTTCATCATGTGCTTGTCAATTTTTTCCAAAAGGCCAAAGGTCCAGATGCTTTTCAACACTAAGATTCACACGATTTTCAAGGACGTTTAGTTACTTGATGGTGAGGATCTCCTTCTCCAGCTCTGAGTTCTTCTTCTGCAGCTCCTCCACCTCTTTCTCCATTTCAGTCGACCGCACCCCCACCACCTGATCGGCAGTCACACCTCGAGCCTTCAGCTTTTTCTGCAGCGCGCTCTTTTCCTGCTCCAGTCTGCGCAAACAAGGAAACACAGAAAATACGCATGCAGATTTACACCCCTGAACTGCAGACAGTACAGAAAGTACCCTAGTCCAAATAAGAGCATCCTTGATTTTTGTTGCGGTATCTCTTTTAGCGTCCAAAATCTCTTCTTACTTTATCGAAACGACAGACTGAAACTAAGAAGAAAGGTGAATAGGGTTGATAGAACACAGATGGCAGAGAGTCGATCTAAATCTATGCTAAAATGAATGACTTTAAATGAAGATAAGACCAATAACATGGTTGTTTCTCTTATGAGGGATTTAATATTAACATTTTTACCCTCCAGGGAGTTTAGCTCTGATAAATCTTTAAGCCAAAGATTTAAAGTTATCATCACTACAGCTGGACTTTGTTATTCATCGTTCAGCCATGATGAAATGAGAGATTTCATCCTTGTTAAGTATGAGATATGAGACAGATTAAAGCTTTTGAGAACTCTTTCAGGAGAGATAAGCTCCTGTAAAGAGCTTGAACTGGTTATTAAACTGACTCACGTTGACAATGCTGAGACAAACAGCCTAAAGGCGGACGGAGTTCTTTTTAACGTCTGAAACTGCAGACGAAACTGACAGAAACTCACTAAGGGCTGTGACCAGATTTTTAGACTTTGTTTCCTTGACTAGACCTGCATGAAACAGCATCGTCTGTAAACACCACGGCAACACGCTCACCTCTGTCCATCTCTCTCTAAACCTAAAGTATGCTGTCTAACATGAGTCTGGTTCTGCTCGAGGTTTCTGCCTGTTAAAGGAGGTTTTATCCTCTCCTCTGTAACTTGATGAGAGTGGGTCCGATCTTAGCATTGGACGAGACCGAACTATGTAAACAGGTCAGGTATATGATTTATAGGGATATTCCGGCGTAAATTTAAGTTATGGTCAAACACACCTTAACACCGAGTTAGACGCCCCCGAGAGAGATGAATGTTGTCGACCGCTTGCTTCTCTAGTTATACCAGCTTTAATAACGACTGCACGATAGCAATACACAGTGGTCTACGTCTTCACACAAACCTCAACCAAAAAGCCACTCTATAGCCACTAATAATGCTCAGAACAGCACCTAACTCGGTGTTACGGTGTGTGTGACCCTAAATTAGTTTTACGCCGGAATATCCCTTTAACATCCTGTGGTAGACAGCATTTGATTTACTCCCAACTTATTTGTTGATCACAGAACTTAAGATTTGTGGTGTATAGCTGATTAAAGGCAGAAATAAAAAGGATGGAAACAGCCCAGGAAACAGCACCGGATCTCGAAACACACGAGAATCTGAGTAGGATACATTAACCGCAAACTTCTGTTACTCACGCCATTAGCAGGAAATTCCAAAATGCTCATTAGAGTTTGCTTAAAAGTTGTTGTGTCATGTAGACGATGAGCAGAGACATCTGTGTAAATGGTTTTTATGTGAGGCAGCGTTTACCGAGCATAAAGGTCTTTGAGCATGATGAGCTGTTTGGACAGGGCTTCACTCTCTCGTTCCTTCTCCTTGAGTGAATTCTTCAGCTTCTCCATCTTGGCCTGCCACTTCTTACCCTCCTCCCAGCGCACTATGTCATCCTTGAAAAACAAAAAACAGTAAAGGAATGTGCAAAAAAGGATACTATGGACTATGGAAAATGCCTGTTTTGTACACCCAAACCTTTCCATGATTATCCTTCAGGTTTTTTCTCTCCCCTCTTTTCTCCAGTTCAGACTCCAGCCTGCGTATTTTCTTCTGCAGATTCTCGATGCTGTGCCCCTTCCCATCTGCTTCTGGTTGGTTCTAATGAGCAAACACAGACAGAAAGGCTCTCATTACAGAGAACATTTTAAGAAGTATCGTTCCCTGTCAGGGCCAATGCAAGATACAGGGTGCTTAAATAAACAATGCATAACGACCTGTCACCAACCAGAGGTTCGCCAATGACACAGCCATTTATTAAGGATGACAGAAAGGAGGAGTACAGGGAGTCACAGGAACCATCTGCACCTCAACACCTAAAAGACCAAGGGGATGGTCATTGACTTTGGGAGGTCCAAACCAAAGATATCCAAGAAGGACACATCCAGGCTGGAAAAACAGCTCTGAGGTTGGCATGAAGCTGGACTCTCTGATGATGGTGGCAGAGAAGAAGGCGATGGACAAACTACTGGACATTATGGACTATACCATTCATCCTCTGCTCACCGGTGCGTAACATGCCAACGCGGCCATTTTGACAGACGTAACAACACTAAGCGCATTGGAATGAATGAAATTAGGATGACGTTCAGTTTTAAAAACCAACTATTTATTATTTGACTACACAGTAACGGTGAACGGAATGGAGAGAGCAAAACTTGGACTCAACAAACTATACAGGGACACGCTGAACAATGATGAAAGAGAGCGTTACCTAAGCAAAATTGCGGACATTGCTGGACTCGATCCATATGAACACACTGTATGGTCAGAAGATGAATTCGAGATGCTACCACCACTTAACTGAGTGCATTTGATGCAGTACCTCAACAAAGGAACGAGCCATTAAACACTTAATTCCTTCCATAATGAAAAGTCTCTCTTGGCCCACGTTTTTTTCACATCTGGGTGGGTACACAAACTGCAGATGCACAGTGTCAACAACAAAACCGTTGTTCGCACAATGGTAGGTGATCACACACAAACACGTCTGCCTTTCTCTCTCTCTCTCTCACACACACACGCGCACACCCCTGAACAAATTATCATGTACTGAGGTACTACATCAAATGCACTTGCTTAAGTTAAATTAACCACAGACTGTAGATTGACGCAAAAATAAAATCGAGTCGACCAATCGGAATTTTGTAAATAAATAAATAATCAATTCATCTGAAGTGTCTATGATTTCTTTATTGCATTTTCATTTCTTACTTATTTGACCATTCTGCTTTTTCTCTGCACATACTGATGTTGCTGGAATTTTAATTTGCTTGAGAGACCCTCCCCAAGAGGACCAATAAAGTCCTCCTAATCTAATCTCAAAGATTAGGTTTGAATCCTGGGATAAAGATGGAGATAAATATCATGAAATGTCCATGCTCTTTTAACTAGTCCATAAAAAACCTGAATTAAAACAACTCTGAGGAACCAGTCAGAGAAAAATGTGGATTTTTATTTTTTATTTTTTGCTGCATTCCTCAATCTTTTGCGGAGGGGCCGGACCTGGCAGGGTTTGATCCTGAATACACGTTAGGGTCTTTTTGGAGTCAGGGGGTGCCAGTTGTTTGACCACATGGCGCTCTGCTATTAGTGTTGTCATGAGGCTATCTTTGAGTTTATCACCCGAATGCTGATGTAAAATTTTGGGGAAAAACAAACTTCATACTTCATGATGAATCAGCTACTTTTGTGCTGCTTTTATACACACTTCCATGTCAGCTCCTCTTGTGTGTGTGTGTGTGTGTGTGTGTGTTCTCCTGAAGCTGAATGTGGTGTTTGCTGGTTTGATAGCGACAGCAGAGGTTCTTGGCAGATCGTAAAATCATGTCCACATGTTGATTGTATTTTTATCTATAACTCAGAGGTAGGAGCTTTAACTAATACAATACATTTGATTTACTGCAGTGATGTAATAAATGTCTTTACAATCCATGTGCACCCAATTAATTCGCATAGTAGGGGGCAGCTGCTGCTAACACAGTCAAGAGTCACCCTGCGATACATTACAGATGTGCAAGCAAATCAACACAAGTACTGCACTAGATAACTCAGTAAACTCTGTTAACATATGGATGAACTGATCTCAGAGGAAATGGGGCCAAAACTAAGGCAGCAAATCTCCTCCTCTTCATTATGTCAGAGGCATAGAAACTGTACACAGCCTGCACTGGTCCAAAGTGAGGCTTTTAGAAAACAAAGATGGCATCGATGCATAAGACCTCTGTGACGACTCAGATCCACAAACTTACAGGGACAGTATCTCCAGTCTGAGCTAAATGAGGAGTTTTGGGAGCTACAAATCATACAAAACTGATGAAAAGGCTTCATATATACTGTACATATATTGTAAATATAAAATATATACATATGATATGCTACCTTTGTGCTAGTCAAACCGTTTCAAAGAAGGTAGTGACGTATTTCACATCCCTGGAGAGCCTCACCTGCAGGGCGTTGCTGAGTCTCTTAATTTGCTGTCTGAGCTCCTGGATTTCATGCTCGTTCTCGTCTTTTTCAGCCTGCAGACGTCTCAGGGTTTTCTGAGTCCTCTGGAGGTCGTGGTTCAGACTGTCCACTTCTTCTTTCAGGGTGCTCTCTCGGCCCCTGGCTGCTTTGACGGACTCCTTCGCAGCTTGGAGTTCTTCGTTGAGCTCTTGGACTCGCACCTTTAGAGAGGATGAAGTAAAAAGAGATGTCTGATGGAGTTACTCTGGTTTCTCTCGACCTTAATTATTCACCTGTGCACCAGATGAGTAACAGTCTGCAGCTAAAAAAGGGTCCCACGACAGTGCACAAACCATCCACTCATGTAAGAGCAAAGCAAAACTGCAATTCCTGAATTTTTTTATAGCCACCGTATAACTGTCAATTTCTTTGCCTTCAAATAAGACATGGGATTTATTGACAAACATAATAATTCTATTCACCAATTTATAATAAATACTTTGATATTGTAACGGCCTGTTATTTCAAATATCGATACCTGCCAAAAACCTTCTCTGTTGCAGTTCATTTGCCCTCATGATAAAGGGAAATACCTTCAAATCCTTGGTGTGTTTATCCACCAGCGTCTGCACATTGAGACTCTCCTCTCTCTGCGCGGCGCTGGCGATGACTTGCTGCTCTGCGGCTGATGTCATCTCTGCCCGCAGCTCCAGCAGAGCCTTGCTGAGAGCCTAAGAACATGGAGAGAGAGAGAGAGAGAGCAGATATTTGGGTTATGAAAGATTAGGTGAGCGCTGTGTCTGAAGCGCAGTGCTCAGTCCAATCAGCACCATCAGTTACTCCTGCTTCTTCTGACCTTTGATTTCCCATGGCATAACTTTGGCTATTAACAACTACTATATTATCTGCATGATGGGAAGGTTAAGTAGTTTTTTTTACCCATAAATACAGTTTATGTAACAGTGAGATACATGCACATCAGTTCTTAAACACATATCATACACATATTGAATTAAAGTTTGAAATACAGTTTGTCTTATCTTGTCTTACTTTAAGCTGCTTCTCTTTCTGTGCCAGCTGAGCTTTTAGTCGCTCCACCAGGTTCTTCATGGTCTGGCTGGGGGAGCGAACATTGGCCTCCTTCTGGGCTGCCAGCTCAGTCTGAAGGTAGCTCATCTCTTTCTCCATTTGGGCAATCTGACTCCGCTGGTCTTCGTTTTCTCCATTCAGAGCTTTCACCTGAGCAGCGTGATGCCCCTCCAACCTGAAACGAAAACCCTCTGATGGTCAGTGCTGCTTATAAAATATGACACAGTGAAAAGAAAAGAAAAGAAGAGGACAGAAAAGGATCAAATAAAACAGAGAAAAGGGGAACAGAGTCAAATACCACGGATTGGAGTCTGAGAGAATAGAATAGAATCAAATAGAAAAGAAGAAACTAGATAAAATTAAGAAAACAGAAAAGAATATAATGGAATAAAACAGAATAGAAAAGAAATGAAGAAAATAGATAAAAACTAATAAAACAGAAAACAATAGAATAGAATAGAATAGAATAGAATAGAATAGAAAGGAAAAGAACAGCAAGTTAAAAAAAGAAAAGAGTAGAAAAGAAAAGAATAGAAAAGGTTGAAATAAAACAGAGAAAATGGGAACAGAGTAGAATAAAGTCGAATAACACAGAATGGAGTCTGGGAGAATAGAGCATAATAGAATAGAAAAGACTAGAACACAACAAAATAGAACAGAATAGAAAAGGAAAGAATAGATCAGAACAAAATAGAGAAGAATATAATAAAAAACAATAGAAAGAATTAAAAGCAATGTAACAGAATAGAACAGATTAGAATAAAATCAAATAGAAAAGAAAAGAAGAATAGAGAGAGTAGTATTAAACCAACTGAAAAAGAACATTTGATTAAAAATACACCAAGAACACGTGTTCAGATCACACTAAACAAACAAGGATATAAGAAAATAAAACAGAAAAAGGAGACAAACAAAAATGAACAGACAAAGAAGTGGGGATCAAATTAAATCAAACTGAACTGACTGACTGATGTGAAACAGAACGGAAAATAGCGAAATGGGACAGAGTGAGGGAGAAAATGAACTAGTGAAAGCAGATAGAACTGACCTGATCAGAATGAAGTGAAATAAAACAGAAACAAAAGTTGAATAGTTCGAATAGAATAAAAAATATAAAATTTCCTCCAGTTAAATAGAAGAAAAAAAAACAGACTAAAACCTGAATAAAGCAGCTGTCTGAGAATAGAACAGAAAAGATCAGAAAAGAAAAAAGAATAGAATAAAATAGAGAAAAGAAGGGAATCTAAGAATAGAACGATATAGAACTGGATAGAATAGAAAATAGAATATAGATAAGAAAAGAGCAGAATGAAATTGAACAGAATCAAAAAGAATAGAAAGATATAGAGTGGAGTAGAAAAGTATAGATGTTTATTTTGCACAGGTACAGGACAGTGAAGGTCCACCAGCATCGGTGTGCATGTCCACTAAAGTCAGCTTTATAAAATACAGAGCAGCAACACAAAAGATGCTGAAAACGTTTAAAATACCTAAAGATTTGTCAGGGGAATATTGCACTTTTACTATTTTTACTTTTGAGTAAATGCAATGAAATTTATACACTTACATTATTGCACAGCAGATCTATGCTTTAATCATCACTTTAATGCTCTATATCTGGGAGGTTTTGGTGAAGTCGTCAGCTTTAACCTTTTTAAACTGTGAAACTGAATTGATTGAGAAATTGCTTTGTTTTTTCCCCCAAGTGTTTTCGAACATCCCAGTCATCCCGGTCACTGGGTTTGTCACCATGTCCCAGTGAACTATTGAACTCTTCGAAGCCCTGTACAATCTGCTTTGCTGGAGCTTCTTTTTTATTAAACTTTTAAACCCATTACATCCAGTTTCCTTTAATTACCCCCTAAGTGGCTTTAAGGATGTTGAAACCAACTTATTCCACTCTGTCAGATGGTATCAACCCAGCTCATTTTATAGTCATGCAAAAGTACAGAAATGATCAGATCCCAATCCACAAAATCCCTTAGAAAACTGCATGAATGTTGCATGTTTTTGTTTTGTGAATTTCAAATCAGGAACTTGCCCAGGCTTTGCACCTGCAGCCCAAGTCTAACCTGACAATGACATTGACCTGAGCTCTCTGACCTGGACATTGTATAGGGCTTTTCACACATAAGGTGTAATCCTGGCTGAGATCCCCATTAACCAACTGCTCCACAGTTGCATTAGGTCTGTACATTTAACACCCCGCATTTATCTTGGGATTACAGCTGGGGTGGGTCAGTTAGAGACACCTATGTACATGAACGTGCTCTGATCAGCTGGTGTGGCAGCGTGAATCCACAGGAGAGCGCAGTTTCACAAGTCTCCAGATCGGCCACCTATAGAGAGTTAATGTGGGTAGATCTGGGAGGACAGTTTGTACGTATTTGTCAGGAGAAGCTGAACAGCAATTGGCGAAGAAGTTGGGCTCAAACTGGGACTATTTGTAAAAGGTGGGATGTTAGAAGTAGCAGTTAAAAAACAAAGTGATGAAGAGAAATGAGCCTAGTTGAGGCCAAAGAGAAGGTCAGAGTATTTTCTTTTACGGTGGATATATGATCTGCAAAGTTGCAATCATTGAAATAGGTTCTGCATGTGGACTGTGAAAATGAGCCTGGAGGAGGGTGGCTCTGTGATGCCAGAGCCAACTGTCAAGCCTCCTCAGGATGAAATGGGCCCAGGCTGACAAAACACAGGTGAAGGGAGGTGCTCACTTGATAACCCTTGTGATGGGGTGGCTCATCTCTCACCTCGTTTATGGGGCCATTAGGGGTGAAAAAGGGGGGTAGTATTAGCATCCTCAGTGCTGAGAACTAAGAAGACCAGAACCTGAGACTGCTGAAGTTGTTGCTGCTGGAGTTTTGGGATCACTTTGTTCAGTGTTTGCTTCTTTTTGGATGAAATGGTTAGACTGGCTTATTAACAGGCCTGTAAAAGCCTAAAGGGAGTCTTTCCTATCACATCCTTGAGGAACATAGAGAAAGTCTACCAAAGTCGTCAGTTTGATCAAGCCTTCAAATCTGAAAAAGCATGAAAAACACACGAGGAGAAACAGCTCACAGAATCAGTAAACGCTTTCTAATTACCCCTAAAATTTCATTTTTATCGACTTGTTTTTATGTGGTGTGATCCGGATCTGTCCTGCCTTTTATTGCTATATCCGGCTATCATTTTACCATCTTTTATGTTTTGATTTATTTCATACAAAGTGGGTCCGTAGTGTTCTTTGCGATATGTTTCCTTTATCGCCTTTTTATTGCTTCAACTTTATCAAATTTTTTTCCGATTGGTTTTTATCTCCTTTAGCTTTTTTTTTTGTCCTGTGTTTTTTTTCTTGTTTTGTTTTTTTGCCACATCCTGACTTTTTTACCTTTGATTTCACACCAGACTGTGCTGTTTGGACCATTTTTTGTGGGGTTTGCAAGTCAGTCTATGCTCTCCTTTTTGGAGATGCTAGATGCATAAAATCACATTAATCCTAATTACAGCTGATCTATAATAGAATCAAGTCAGCTCTCAGCTGGTCTCACCTGGAAGTCAAGGGGGAAAAAATAAATTCAAGCTGTTAGGATTTAGGGTTGCACTGAAATACACTGACAAAAAAAGTTGTCAATTGTAATATTTGCATTATCTTTATACTGATGAGTAGGGCTGAGCGATTAATCGATTTTAAATCATAATCTGATTATTTAATTATGACGACTAAAATCATCAAATCGATTTTCCTCTCTATCATGTCTCACGCCTCCAGGCCACATTAGGCTCTTCCTTCCTGTGGGAACGCCCCCCAGTTCCCACACACACCAGTGTAAACAAACATGGTGTTTGCAAAAAAAAGGTGATAATTGCGTGGCTAAATAGGGCAAGAGCAAGTCAGTCATGTGGAAACAGCAGTTTCGGGTGAAGAGCAAACCGCTACCCACTGCAAAGTATGTCTGAAGGCCGTATCAACCCGTCAACATGGAATCGAATTCAGGAGGGAACACAAAAGTTTTTGTCGTATCGGCGTTTCATCTACATGGAAATGGTGTTACGGGTGACTGTAGTGCATAAATCCATAAACAACGACCATTTCATCTCTGTGCTCTGTACTCTTTGTCTTCTGTCTTTCGTGCATTTCCTCGGCAGCGTTACAGTGCCACTTACTGGTTTGGCGTATGCACTATATTGTTTTCAGAGGTTTTGTTTTTGGAGATCATATAAAAAGTTATTAAAGTGAAGTCTGGTGAAATTGAACTGAAATTGAAAATTTAGTCGTCAGAGAAAAAAAACGGCCATAATCGTGCAGCCCTGCTGATGAGTTACTTTAACAAGTCAATAAAGGGACATAAAAGGATTAGCTCCTCTTATTATCCTCTTATCTTCTCTTTAAAGGGGACTGCAGGGTCAAACTCAGAAAAACAAACAATGGGGAATCTGGTCTAATAAAGGTTTAATCACTTTGAAATCTCCTCAGTGTATCTCTTAGCCTGTGTTTCCATGGCGATCATCTGTCGCTCCAGCTCCGAGGTGGCCCGACGCAGCTTCTCTGTGACGGAGGAGAGCGAGACGTCCTGATCGGCCACCGCCTGCTCCAGCTCCGCCACACGCTCCAGGTGCTTGGAGGTCGGTATCTGGAGGGTGGGCTTCTGCAGCAAACTCTGGATCAAAGAAAAGGAGCAGGCATCAAAAAAACGTGTTGGAAATGGCTTTTTTTTTGTCATATAATATGTGATATGTACTTTCACAAACAGCCTATGAAACATTCAAAACATAAAAATGATTTCATGACCAAAATTCAAAGAACAGACAAAAATCTGTTCACAGAGACAGACATCCATGCATGCATACCTTTGCTGTCTCTCTGAATGTGTTCAAAGATTTGTCCGTGTACAAGTCCAACTTCTGGTGCAGCGTTTTCATCTCTTCCTGGTGTCTCTTTATCATCCCCTCTTGCTCCTTCAGAACAAAAAAAACACGAATTTAAACAAAAAAAAAAAGAAACATCAATGTTGTATGTCTCAAATATCCAGTCAAGTCATTGATTTTATCCAACTGTGCAACTAACATGGAAAAACAGAGGTCATATTAGCATTAATCAGGAGGATGACGCTGATATTTAAGTATTCTCTCTTTTCTCTGCATTTCTTGGCAGAGCAAGTGAGAAAACAGGTTCTTAAGGAAGAACGAAAAAGGATACTGAACTTTTGATTGATTGAAATCCACAAACCCCATCAAACAAAAAGTCCAAATGGCTTAAGATGCTCCCTCTACATGTTTAGTGGATAAGTTGTTGGAATGAATTTTTTGTCATTTCAAAAACAATTTTCTCATTTAGATATTCATTATACACCAGCTCAGGTTGAAGCACGTACAATATCACCATAAATGCTTACATTATACTACCACTCCACCCACGTTGTTTTCCAGGACGTTATGTTCCATGACCTATGACTTTGGGAAACAAATATTATCCCATCCAATCTTAGGAGCCAAAAATGACTGAGGGATTATGACTATCCTTCCCTTTCGAGAGATACACCCAAATCCTCGGGCTTGATACTTTCCAGGCATTCTTGAGAAAGACAGAAAAATGACCTCTGGCCCGAGCTGTCAGTGGCAAGTCTAAAATCCCCTTTCAAGCTTTGTCATTTATTTTCATGTCCTCGCCTGTTTTTTAAATACAAGTCTAGTTCAAACAGAGTTGCAACACCTTGTAAAATATTCAGTTGAACAGGATTTGATGGTTTAAAAAATCATATTTGACTGAATACGATGCAAAGACAACGTATTAAATGTAGAAACAGAATTTGGACAGTTTTATTAACGATATGGACTGAATCTAAATTTGAAGGCAGACAGTTGTTTCAAAACAGGCGCCTGTTTAAAAGTTAAAACATTCACTTCAGTCATGTGCAAACACACGGATCTACTATCTATGTTTGCAAATGTAGGGCAATATTGAATACTGTATGTAAACACATCTTTGTATGCTACCCTTGTCCAGTGGTACAAGCAATAATAAGTCTGTTGGTGCTAATTTTGTGCAGTAAGGCTATAGTGCAATCACATAATATATAAATAAAAGTATTATTATTATTATATTACATTAGCATGTTACATTAGAAGGCCTGGGGCAAATGTGCAGTCCACATTGCACTTTTTCCATCATGTGCAATACATCAGCACTTTGACACACTTTTATTATTACCTCCTTTTGCACCAGTTTGTCTTGAACATACCTGCACAGCCACCATCTGTACTGTTATAATGGGTCTCAGTTAAGTCATGTCGTCCATGTTGTTTGGTCTCGGCTTGTGATTTGGTTGTATGTATATTTTTATTGATCTGTTTTTTCTGTGCATATGCTTGATGATACGTATGTGTACCACCAATCAGTGCTCAGTCAGTTCGTAAGTAAATATGTTGTCAGACATTAAATGTGCAAGCTACATATGCCATGGGTATGTGATGTATCCTAATACAATCAGGGATACCTTTGAAAGCTGAGCGACCCTGCACTTTGAATAAAGGATCCAAAAGGACAGTTTTTAACTGTGCATAATTCAAAGTTTGTATTGTACATTTGCAGATGCAGCGATGAAATGTGGTCACAGACAATGGGTTTTGAATGTGATTTTGAGTCCATGTAGTGATTACCACTACAAAGTCATAACTGTTTTAATACAGTTCCCCCGGGGAGCTTGAACATTAGAGCCACTTGGTATCCGTTAGCTGCTCGGCCTTGCTGTGCAGAGATTTCTCTGGATTTGATGTGCTGTAGATGATGAAATCTGTGACATTGACAAACATTATTCTAAACTTTTTGCTCACTCAGGCTCACAGATTTATGGCATTCGTTGATAGATGTTCCTCCAAGTGTTTTTCAATTTCATCAATTGCATCAAATTTCAAAGAGACGTAAAATTTTCATAAAACAGAAACATTTTAAACTTCCACTTTGACATGTTGGCTTTGCACTTAATGATTTGCATTCCAGTCAAAGTGGAGTAACAGCACTTCCCTGAGAGTCAAACAGAGTATTTTTCCGTGTATCACTGTACCTGTCTGGCCTGAGACAACTGATTCTGGTATTTCTTCACCATCTCTTCTTTTCTGTCGAGCCGACACTGGAGATCTTTGATGGTCTGATGAGCCAGCTTCAGGGCCGGCTTGATGTCCGAGTACGCCTCATCGTCTTTGGAAACGACAGCTAGCAGGCGTTCTCTGCTGGCAGCCGCTGGGAGCCGGAGACGCAGCTCATTGATCACCTTGTCTCTGGACAGGATGTTCTGTTCTGCCTTCCACAGAGCTTCTTCTTTCTCTTTCAACTTCTGCATATGAAGAGATTTAAATCAATATGCTTTGCATTTGTTTGATGAGAAATGAATGTTTGAACTGAACATTATACCTCGTCCAAGTGTTTGCTGGTAGCCTGTATGTTCAAGATGGTTCGGACATGCTGTTTGATTTTACCCAGAGCAAACTCTAACTGATGAGCAACAGGAAGACTCGGGTCTGGTAGAGACCCGGTACCATCATCAAACTGAAAATCAGATGGTAGTTTGTAAGTCAAGCATTTTTTTTAGAGTTAAAAAACAGATGTTTAAACTGGGGTTACTGTCTATTATGTATACAGTTTCATCCTTAATGGTTTCAGAGACTTTCACCTTCTCAGCACTGCTCAGAATCTCGTTCTGGTGCTTCTCGTACTGATCCAGTTGGCGCTCCAGTTCCACCTCTCGTTGATCCCACGCCAGCTGGCGTTCGTCTTGAAGCTTGTGGAGAAAAAGAGAGACAATACCATAGCCGTCACCTCAAAGGATGTACCCTTGTCAAAATTAGGGTTTGCTCTTTTGCATCAAGTTTTTGTTTATTCATTTGAAACCAAAGAAACAGAAATTGTTCATTTGTGTTTCCAAGAATTTTCCCGTACCGTGTTTTGCTGCACACTCTCCTCCTCCAGAAAGCGGATGGCTCTCTCCTGCTCCTCCACTAAGTTCTTGAGGTACCTGATCTCCTCTTTCTGGACATTCAGCTCCCTGCCTTTCCTCAGCTCCTGCAGACGTGCCTCCTCCATCCTCTTGTGCCACTCGGTGACCTGTTTGAAGAAGTAAAACTTTGCAGTTCATGAATGATGATACATTTTTTCTAATGAAGATGAGTCATTCTACTTCTTTAAATGTTTTTGAGTAAACAGGAACAACCTTCTGAGCCCCTTTTGCATCTTTCAGTGTTGATATGAGCTCCTCCAGCCCTCGAAGTCTCAGTTCCAGTTCTTCCGCCTTGCCCTCTGCCGTCCTCCTCTCCTCCACTGCCTTCTTCTTCTCCTCCTGAGCTTTTGCCTTGTCCTCCAGGAGACTCATCATAGTCACAGAGAACTTTTCCTGCTGGGGAAGAGGCAGCGCTCCTGCAAACTGCCTGCGTAGAGACTGGATTGTCTGCCGTAGGTGCTTAGAGCGGTTCCTGCCCTCCTGGCGAGTGAGGAACAGGGCGGACTCGCTGGCATCCAGCCGCTGCTCAGCGCGAAGCTTGTAAGCATCCAGCTGGTGAATGCGAGAGGTGGCGTTCTCCAGTTTGGATAAGGCGGTGGCCTCGCTGATCTGCAGAGCCACGATGTGCTGGTGGAGCTTTGCAATGAGGGCCTTCTCCTCGGACTGAGACTAAAGGAAAGAAATGAGAGTGTGAGGAAAATACTGTTTACAAATGTAACCCAGGTCACAAAATGAACAGATTAATATTTTTTCCAAGTATTTTGTTTCAGGGCAATTTTTGCATTTTATTGATAGGATAGGGTGAAATGTGAGGAGACAGAGAGAAGGGGGTGGACATGCAGCACATGGTTGGGGCTGGACTCAAACCCGTGAACGCTGTGTGGTCCATGGTCCCCATACATGGGGCGCGCAAACCCGCTCGGCCATCTGCGCGCCCCTCGTTGACTTTCTTTTGAGAACAAAAGCACTCCTTGTCATATTTGGTTGTTGTGATTATTTAATTTGTGTGTTTTAATTTTCTAATACAATAATTTTGAAACTCTTTATCTGAGTCTCCTGAATTTGAATCTTGACATCAGTTCATTTCTTTCTCTTCCGGAGTTTGGATTCCTCTGAGTTTATTCAGCATTACTATACCTCATGCCGCTCGAATGTTACAGATTAACTTGTGTTACTCAATCCAGTTAATCTCTGAACACATACTCACTTGTAAAAACTTATTTTAAACAGATTTTGCCCCGTGATTGACTTGTAATGCGTAACAGAAGTGAAACACGATTGCAGCACAGGTACCAGTTTACGCACTCCGACTCAAAAATGAAAATACTTCATGCTTGTGATGTAATTAAACTACAGTAATCCAGTTCAGAGTGCACGGGTAAGCCTAAAGTTGACTGATAGAGATAATCTGGGAGGCAGAGAGGAGAAGTGTGTATGAAAGGAGACAGACCACAAGAAGATGGAAGAAAACAACAAAGACCCAAACTTTTAACTCTTTCCCCGCCAGCGTTGAGTAAAAAATTTGCCACTTTTTGACCTCATCTAGGGAATTTTCAAGCCCTCAAAAAATTTTGGCTAATGTAAATGTTCTCAATAAAGGTTTCAAAGAAAAGTAAAAGGCTTCAGTTTTCATAAGAAGGAACTCATTTTATTCTAACTTGTTCCATTCATTTTTTATCAGTATTTAAATAGAGGTTGTTTTCCTCAAAATCACAGTATTTCAAGTTCAGTTCAGTTCAGTTTGGGGCTTTTATCGTCCCTTCAGGGGAGGTTTGATTTGTAGTGGCAGTAGAATTAACATGACAGCAACAATAAATAAATGTAGGCACAGAACAACATTGCAGTGAACAAGACAAACCAACTTGACAGGGACAACCCCAGACCAAATAAAAATGGAGACAAGAGAGTGAAAGAATTGAGAAAAATATCGAGTATAGGAATGGAAGTGAAGGAGAGTAAGAACTGTCATTAACTTATAATGTACCACCAGAGCAGGGCGGTTACGAAAGTTGCAAATTGATTGCATTGATTGCACACGGGGTATAAGAGATAAATGAGTGAGGAATAAATCCCTCTCACAGAGGGTGATCGGAGCTGGACAGAATTGACCGTGTCTTCTCTTCTGTCAAAGACGTCTGAGAGAGAGAGCTGCGCATGCTGATTATCCTTTAGGACAGATAAGTCTTGTTTTCGACAGACAAGTTTCCGTAATATACAATTAAGCAAAAGGTTAAAACTGACTCAATAAAAGATCTTTGGAATAAAAACATTAAGGTCTTATCAACACTGAGAGATTTTAGTCCGTCTTTGCAGGCCCCTCTAGCAGGTTGTTGAGGTCATGAGTCAGGTTTTTATCAATCACTGACCTCAAGTACTTGTAGGAGTCGACCATCTCCACTGCGCCAATGCTCTGTTACTGTTAGTGAACACACCTCTCATTCTAATAATGGCTCAAACTGACAAAACATGGGTCTGAGTACGATGACACTGTGAAGTAATACAGAAGATCTTGGAATTGAAAGTGGAGATGAGAGCATGAATGTCGTTCGTAAATTTAGAGTTCAGAGAAAAGGGAAACAGTTAACCCCTAATTATGTATCAGTACTATTAAAAACCTTATTACCTGAAAGTCCATTAGTTGTCTCCTCAAAGCCTCAAACTCCTTCTCTTTAGACTGTTGTCTAGCCTGCAGAGCCGTCACCTGCATAATGGCCACATCGGAGACCTCTTGAAGCCTGAGCACAAACACAGAAGTGTATAAGCAAATGTAAAAAATACATCTACTAATCTCTGAAATCACATTTTAAGAGTAAAATGGACTTTTATGCTTCTATAAGAAAATAATAAGCATCAATGCATCAGTGTGTTTCACCGCTCACAAGCAGCAGAGAAAATCAAAGCAGAATCTTGTGCATAACAGAGACGGATTTTCACTCCAGGATTATAATTTGAGTTTCATCAAGACTTGGATACTTTTATCTAAGGCTAATAAAAAGTATGCGTACATATACACACATACCTGGAAACCTCAAAGCGGAGCTCAGCCTCGGCTCTCTCCAGCTCTCTGATCCTGGCTCTGTCAGCATCACTCACAGCTTTACTGACGCTATCTGCCAACTCGTCTCTCAGCTCCCTCTCCATCTTCTGGGCCTCCACATTCATTTTGGTGAGCTGAAGGAAAACACAGGTTTAACCACTTAAATGGATTCTTTGGATACAAGTCCTCTAGAGAAACAGTGAGAATCAGCAAAAGAAGCCGACCCTTGATCCATGGTTCTGAATAATTACTGACCCATTTTGATATTGCCGCTGATGAAAATCAGTCTTTTATCAGTGACTGTCATTCCTTGAAGACTATACTGTCATGGACAATTTTCAGTCTGGTTTCAGGGCACGTCACAGCACAGATTCAGCTCTGCTTGAATGCTTCAATGACCTCCCGTTATTCCTCGACCCTGGTTATTATTAATCTTGATAGTTTAATTCTCTTAAACTATCGCAAACATCATGTTGCTCTTACGTCGTACTAAACAGACAGAGGCTTTTGTGTCTGCCTCCATTACATGTGGTGTGCCTTAAGGCCCCGTTTTAGGCCCTGTACATGCTCCCTCCATGGTTGTCAAAATCACAGTATTTGATGATACCCAATTAATTCTTCCTCAGTTGCCTCCTCGATGTCAAACAGTGGATGGTGTATAACTCACTTCAGCTCAAAGACAGTAAAACAGAGGGTCCTTTTGTTTGTTTTGTAAGCTTTACATGGCCTCTCCCCACACTTTATCTCTGAACTTCTCCATCCTCTTCCCAGAGCTCTCAGATCATCTGATCAGCTGTGACTGGCTGTTTCTCAGATGATGCCAAAGGGGCTGTGTGTTCGCTGTAGCCACCCTAAATTTAAGTCGATTATGGTCTCTCCTTCTGCAGCCATTCTTAAAGGGATATTCCGGCGAAAAATTAAGTTAGGGTCAAACACACCATAACACAGAGTTAGACACTCCCCCGAGAGATGAATGTTGCCTATCTCTTGCTTCTCTAGCTATACCAACCTTAGTAACGACCGTACGATAGCAATACAACCTCAACCCAACCTCAAGATGTTTGGTGGCTCGTAATGTGGCTGGGACCCATAGTCTGTTGATGAAGTTAGGTGCTGTTCTGAACATTATTTGTGACTATGGAGTGGCTGTCTAACTAGGTGTTCAAGTGTGTTTGACCCTAACTTAATTCTACATCAGAATATTCCTTTAAATTCCCGGGATTGGGATTTGAAAAAGACATAAGAATGTCGGTTGTGTTCATTAGTAAAGTTTATGAAGTAAAGTGTTGCCTTTCCTCACACTGACTGAAAGCACTGATTTTGACATAATATTGCAACAGTAGCATCATGGATTATTATGTGAGGCGAAAATCTGATAATGTGGCAGCTGCAATAAATTTACATTCATATCGTATGTTAAAGGAAATAGTTACATTCCTATCATGTGGCCGTCAAATACTGTATAAAAAAGGTCTTACTGTTTCCCTGGCTGGTGAGTGATTAAGCTTTACAACTGGGACACCACTAAAAACAAACAACCACCATGAGTGCCACGAGCGATGGCAAACGTCTGCGGCATCGAAGAAAAACCTCACCCACTGCTTTCCTTGGCTTCCTACCTCTGCAAACTTGGACTCCAGTTCTGCGTTGCGATCCTCCACCTGCCTGAGGGAGTTCTTCATTTGTTCATACATTCTGTGAGCGTGCTCGGCTCTCTGCCTCTCGTTCAGCTCCTTCATCTCCAGAGTCGTGATGCGCCTGGCAGCTGACACCATCTCGTTGTTGGCCAAAGCCTTGTCCGCCTTGTCCATGCTGTTCTCACCTCCTTTTATGAACACAGAATGAGATGGCGATATTGATGTACGGAGAAGAGGTTATAAATGAGGATTAACCCTTTGAGCTCAATCACGACCAGACATATCTTCAGTTCATCCTCTAGATTTTGCAATTTGATTTATCATGTTGTTATTGAACTGTCAGTATTACACTGTATTACAAAACTGCATGGAACCAGCTCAAGACAGTAAATCCATCAGAGGAAAAGCGTTTAGTATAAAAGCTAGAAACAATAAGGTTGATAATGGAAGCCATAACTTCAATTTGAAAGTGACTTTGTGGGAAATTCCCAGATTTTTTTAAACATGAACCCTATATCTTCCAGGAGTACTACAATACTCCACTCAAGCAAAAACTACCAGCATGAAAATCTACTCAAGTTCAAGTAACGCTGTTTGATATGAAACATACTGAGCACTGACTGAGTTTTTTGGCAGCGTAGACATCGTTTAACAAGTTGGCTGTTATGAAGTCGATGGAGAGTTTGTAGCTTGGTGTCCCACAAGGGTCAACTTTGGGTCCCATTTTATTTATAGTGTTTAATTATGTTATAAACCTACGCATGGAAAAGGTTCATTTTTATGCAGACGATTTGATTCTATCCACCTTGTGGTCATCCGCTGCTTTTTAATCTTTGTCAATTAATGCAGGTTTTAAATGTCTATTAGGCTGAAATGATGCACTTCTCAAGGTCAAAGAGGACAGTAAAAGATGAATGTCAGATTATAATAATAAAAACAGAGGGTGATTGTATCTGTCCTGACTTATATGTCGTGAATCTAACATATAAACTTCAAATAGATGCTGTTTTTTATTCCTTAACCTGTCCAGGCAACCTTTTTTTCAGTAATTGACTATGACGATAGGCTTTACATGCATGCTACCTCATCCCCTCTGAAAATACTGGACTCAGTTATCATGCTGCACTGTGATTAGTCTTTGTGTTCGTACTGTCACTGTAGTCTAGTATGAGAAAGTTAACAGAAGACTTTAGCCAGGAGCTGAGACATCCAGAGGGAACAGAGGGCAGCGGTTATCCCTTCAAATTGAAAGAAGCCAGATTAGGTGGTTGCGGTACCTGATCAGGTTACCCCCTTGCACCCCACTTCAGAGGTTTCTGGGAGGGGAGTCTGGGGTATAACTAGTTTGTGATCTGGGGAGGACATATTCCCAGTAGGAGCTGAGGAGAGGGATATGCGGGGCAGCTTGCTTAGCCTATTGCCACCACAGACCGACCCCATGGAAGAAAACAGACTGATGGCTTCACCTGTGGTTGCCTTCAGAGGGACAAATCGCATACAAAACGATTCCTCAGGTAGAACATCCTTTTTTTTTTTGCAAATGTAGGATTACTTGGATTATAAAAAATGTGTGGAACAAACTTTGGCATAAAGAAGCTTCAGGAACATTAAGTCAGCGATACTTTAAGTCCTCTCTCCTGCAAAATGAAATTGCTTTTTTGGTCGATACAGTCTTAAAAGAAAGCATTGTAGTGGCTTGTTGTTGTTGCTCACCATTAGTGTTGATGTTGTCCCATGCTTGCTCTAAAGTGTTCAGTTTCTCCTTTGCGATTTCCAGTTCTTTATTCAAGGCAGAAATTTGCTCACGCAGAGACTCATTCTCGTTCTGAAACAGAGGGAACAATAAGGAAGTTACTATATGTTTCGTCAAACATGATAAAAAAAGCGCTGCTCCTGGAGGTTAAGTGAGATAGATTTGGATGGCTGATGTGTCTTCATACCTCCAGATGTTCAAGGTTGGTGGTTCTTTGAATCAGGCGGCTGTCTCTTTGCAGCATGTCCCTGTACTTGACTGTGAGCTCGGTGTACTGTTTGTTGGCCTTCTCCAGGTCTGATGAAGGCACGCTGTCATCCAGGGCCTTCTGCAGTGCTGCCACCTTATATGCAGCCATGTCCTTGGGACAGAGCAAAAACTAATGTCACCAAAAGGCCACAAATTTACCAGAACTGAGAGTTTAGATGAGGTTCAGGGCAAACATTTCTATTTGGCTGATCCTTGATTCATCAGGAATTGTGAAAGACAATCTATGGTGCTCTGGGATAAAAGGCAATATTTCATGTCGTAACATCGTATTTCAAAACTCATGAACTGTTGTAAAATAACAGCTGAAGTTGGCATTCTAATAACAGTTTTACTTTGAACTTTGCCAAACAATGGAAAGCTGGAGGCAGATATTTTGTGAGAGACTTTACAACCATGCGCTGTGAGAGTGCTAAATAAATCTTACTTTAGAATAGGAAATAAAAATGAGTCAGCCAAGAAACACTATTCTTTGGTGCTCTAAAGTCATAGCTGAATGGTCGACTTGTTGGTCGGTAGGTGCTGAGTTGACCAAAATTCTGATTGGTCGACTCGATTTTTTCCGCATCAACTTACAGTCTATGGTTAATTTCATCGGCAGGAACGTACCAAGTGCTAATCGGAGTGTTTTCAGAGCATCCCTGTTTCACAGGTAACAGCCTGTCTCAGAACACCCCCCTTGTTTTCACCAATTTGGATTCGCCAAACCCACTGGAGACCGGCTGGATATGGGAAGATTGAAGAGCGTCCACGTTAATCAACGTCCGGTGATTAACTGAATATTTTTATTTTAGCCTTTTGTGTTTTATTTCCTTCTTGTGCTGATATCTGTATTTTTTTGCCACGTCGAGCCGCGTTGTCCCCTGCTGCAGAAGTGTTTTCCGTCAGGTTCAGAAAATCCCCGACTCGACCAATATTAGTCGATTTTTGGTCGAAAGTTTCAGGGTTTTAGTCGACCGAGAATTTCTTTGGTTGATTCTTTCCAGGCTGATCTTTTTCAGGTAGACTGTCACTGGTACTTCATATTTGACTTCTGATAAGGCTTTTTTTTTTTTTTTTCATTTTTAACATCCTCAAGAGCATAAAATCAAAAGTGTTAGCTTTAAGTAATGCTGTTTTCCCATAATGCATCATTATTTTTTAGTGTAACCTTAACATTTCTACTCAAAAAGACGAAAATGAACTTCCTGTTTCGTTACCTTGAATCTCTGCAGGTATCCCATCCTCTGAGTGACAGAGGCTTGCATTTGGCTGCTCTCATCCCGTAGCTTGTTGTTCTCTTTGCGGAGGAGATGTTCCTGCTCCTGCAGGGTGATGTAGCGGCGTGTCAGCTTCTTCTCATTGACCTTCAGCACTGTCAGTACACGCAAGGCCTCACTCAGTTGCCTCTTCATTTCCTCCGGGTCCTTCTGGAGGGTTGCAAGCAGTTCCTTACAAGAATGTGGAAGATGGTAAAGATTAAATAAAACTTTTAAGAGAATAAAACTCAACAGGAGATGAAATGCGAGGGAGAAGCAAAGGCGGATTTCATTTGAATTGTGACTTGTTGTTTTGTGACTAATGCTCTGTTCTTCGCTCAGCCATTTTAAAAAGCACAACAGAGGCAGATGTTGGACCTCACAAAACATGTGTGGACACAAACGTTAAACAGCAGGGCTTTCTGGCTTCGAGACAGTCTGCGTTTAATATACAGGAGAGTCTCAATCATATTTTAAACAGCCGGACAGAGTGAGAAGTCTGTTTTCCTCATGTGTGCGCAACATTTAATGATACCGAGAATATTTCACAGACATAAAAAAAAACAGGGAGTTTTTGTGAGATTTATTTTGTGGCTAATCTAGTCAGACATGGCTGGTTCTGATCATCCAACCATGTCAGAGCCCTGACGTGTCTGCGTGTGTGGGGTTGAGTGTTGAGTGCGTTGTAAAGTACAACTTTATGCTGCAGCATTTAAGAAGAAATAACTTATAAAATCTTACTTTAAATTCTTGGATTTGAACAGCGTCCACCACCTGTTGCTCCTCCAGCTTGTTGTTTTTTTCTGCTAATGTCTCCTTCGTCTTCTGCCACTCCTCCTTCTCACTGAGAGAGAAGAAAGAAAACCAAGCCAGTTATAAATTATAAACGGCTATCAAATAAAATCCACAGAAAATAAACTCCCTCAGAAACCAACCTGAGGTATTCCTTATAGAGGAGTCCTTGTTGGTGGCTAATGACAGAAAACTTCTCTTTGTACTCCTCCAGTGTTACTACCAGTTTCTTGCTTTGTTCCTCCTTCATTTTCAGCTCCTGTAAATTAAAGGATTAAAAGAGTTAAGTCTTCTTTTAAGAGATAATGTAGATTTTTCAGCAGTTCTGAAGCGGACAGAGGCACTGACCTGAAGAAGTCGGACACAGTACTCATTCAGAGAGCTGATGACCTCAGTGCTGCTGGGCTCCAGGCCCTCAGGGAGGGTCAGAGGTCTGAAGACCACTCCACCGCTGCTGGATTTCCTCAACAGCTCCAGCTCACCTTCCAGTTGGCTCACCTGTCAGGCGAAGAAAAACAGAAAAGCATTAAAATCCAATTTCGCCCGCTGGTTTTGGAGCCTCTGATGATTCTGCTTCAAAAAAAACAACACTAGCACCCAGAGTTTATTCAGAGTTTATTAAGTCAGCATCCATTTTTACATTTGGGATAGCAGTGTTCATATCTGCAGGTTTTGGAGCAACATTTAGAGCTGCCGTAGTGACCTTGCATATTTCAGCGAGACAATGCCAAACCACATTCAGCAAATGTTACAACAGTTGTGGCTCTGCGGTCGAAGTATTTGGGTGCTAAACTGGCCTGCCGACAGTCTTAATTTGTCACAGAGTGAGAACATTCTGTTTATCACGAGATAAACAAACAAGTTGGGCAGCTGAAATGTATATATCGGTAAAGAATGGGGCAACATTTAGCTGTCAAAAGTCCAAAACTGGTCCCCTTGTTTCCCAAACGTTTGCAGTGTTGTTGGAAGGATAGGTGATGCAACACAAAGATGAATGTGTCCAAGTCCAACAAGTTTTGAAATGAAAGTTTTCAGTTTCAGAGGTTGATATTTACTTATTTGCACATTTTCAATGAAAGACAAGGCTTTAATGAACAGCAAATCGTCAAAATCTGTTTATCAACCTTTCGCACGACTCCATCTTTTTTGGAGGTCTGGCTCCAAGCTGCAGCAGATAGCTCAAAATGATAGGAAAGATGTTTGCGGCAGCAGATCCATTTCCCTTTTAGATTCAAGGCTGTAATCAAGAGCTCATTCTTTTGTCATCACAGTCCTTCATTTTGGGACAATAAATCAGAGGATGTGGGTCCTCAGACCTGCTGAGTTATTCAACTAAATTCAATGATTGTATTTTCTTTTCATCTCTGCCAGTTAAAATGTATCCCCTGGGTTATTTTTCTGTTCTTTGACAGGACAATTTAGAGAGACAGGAAATGTTGGGAGGGGAGAGACCTGATGACATGCTGAAAAGGGCCATGGTCTGTATCAAAACCAAGACCACCACAGTGAAGTCTCAAGTCTCGGTACATGGAGCTCATTTTTATTCATTTATATCAACTTTTGGTGCACTCTTAACCTTTTTGTCTCTCATCATATTTCATCATCAGTGTCCTCTGCATACAGCAAAACAAGTATATCATTTAGCTGAATTTCTTGGCCTATGAAATCCAGCAGCATATGTGAGTTTTAGTGTAAATGTTTTTTGTCATGCAACGAAATCTTAACTTTCCAAGATCTAAAGCTCCTGTGAGGAAGTTTATTAGACTGAAAATTATATTAATGCTTTTCTATGGTATCAAAAAGCAAACAAGACCACCAACGACATGATTGAAGATGCTTAAAGGGATATTCTGGCGTAAATTTAAGTTATGGTCAAACACACCGTAACACCGAGTTAGACCCCCGAGAGAGATGAATGTTGCCAACTGCTTGCTTCTCTAGTTATACCAACTTTAGTAACGACCGCACGATAGCAATACACAGCGGTCTATGTCTCCACACGCAAACCTCAACCAAAAAGCCACTCTATAGCCACAAATAATGCTCAGAACAGCACCTAACTTCATCAACAGTACATAAAGGGTACCAGCCATAGTACTTGCCACCAAACATCTTCAGCTTTGCCTGATTTCTTTAGCAAAGAGACTAAACACAACTCACCTACTCTCCTCCAGCAGCCACTTGTTTGTGGGGGAGCCCTGATGAGTCCATCACTGAGTGCAGCGGAGTTTCGCAGCTCAAGGAAGAACACTTATGATTTTTACTTCATGGAAATGCAATCAGACCGAGATGCTAAAGCAGACGAACTACCGCGTCTGCAGTGCGAAATGATTATTGTAATGATAATTACTTCAAGGAAATGATCCCCTACACTTGGTGATCGACTCGTCAGGGCTCCACCACAAATAAGCCCCTGCTGGAGGAGAGTGGGTGAGTTGTGTTTAGTCTCTTTGCTAAAGAAATCAGGCAAAGCTAAAAAGATGTTTGATGACTAGCACTATGGCTGGGACCCTTTATGTACTGTTGATGAAGTTAGGTGCTGTTCTGAGCATTATTTGTGGCTGTGTATTGTTATTGTGCGGTTGTTACAAAAGTTGGTATAACGAGAGAAGCAAGTGGTCTGCAACATTCATCTCTTGAGGGAGTCTCTAACTCAGTGTTAAGACGTGTTTGACCATAACTTGATTTTAGCCACAATATCCCTTTCAGTTCCCCTTTTCCTTTCCTTCTGTATCATGTCTGTTTATTTCCTGTTTTATTTTGAAATGTCTAATTCTTCTTCTTTGTCTTCTAGATTTACGTCCGGTCCCCACCCTTGTATGTGCTCCTCTCAGGCTGAAGCCCATCTCCCACCTGTTTACCATTAAGTCTCTGTCCTTGTGTATTTATACTCCTCTCACCACTCAGTCTGTTGGAGATCATCTCATTATCCTGTGTGTGTTACTTTCAAGTGTTTATTCCTCGTGTTCCTGACCTGTGATTTAGTTTATTGGATTCTGAGTTTTTGCCTCCCGTTTTTGTCCCTCTGCCTAATTCTGACTGACCCCCTGTTACTGACTTTGGACCGATTAAAAACTTGTAAACTGTTACCTGGCTCTACTTTCTGGGTCTATCTGACTGTGATTGTGTTAATGACAAATGACCAGATAGATAAAAATGGACAAATGAGGACACTAGGAGGATTTAAAATGTGTGGTGAGGCTTTTCTCCTTTTCAAAAAATAGGTCAAAGACACAAAGTTACGAGCCGTATCACCGGAAGACTTTGGTTTCTCTTTAACATTTTATTGCAAATTTTTTTTTAAGCACAAAAGTGAAAAGAATTTTGTTTGAAGAAATGCTCCAGTCATTCTTATTTTCATGAGAACCTGAGAAAATTCAGGCTGTGTTTCTTCCTCCATAAAAACAGGTCTAGTGAAAACTTGGTATTTTAAGTTCACTGAAAAAAGTGAGAAAGTTGACACAAAGCCGTCCCTGAATAACCAAAAATGTGACTTCACACTTTTCCAGTTAAAAATCAATTCATGTTGGTATTTAGAAGTAGTAAAGAGACGTCCCCCATCCACCCCTCTGTCCTCGCGCTGCCTCTGCAAGCAGCTCAAACTGATTGGCTCTGGACCACTTTGGTTTTGCCTTACAGACTCAGGGGGATAAAAAATCTAATTCAAATTGCCCTTCCTGTCGCTAAAGTTTAATTGCTGCTTCTGGGGTAATTACTCGCACTTAAAGATGAAAGCTAAACTAAGCTATTCAGCACACGGATGTCTGAGCGGGCGTGTGCATGTAAGCTGCTGAGGTTTAAGGGGTGAGTGGGTGATTGGGCGTTTCCCCTCCTGTCCTCCCTGCCAGCTCTATCCAAAGGCTAACAGGGATACAATCCAGAGATCTGGTCTTGAGAAACCCCACTGTGGACCCACCTTCTCTTTGGCTGCGGCGAGCTGACTGAAGCTGCTGGTGGCCTCCTCTCGTGCAGATTTCAGTTCCAGCCTCAGCTCTTCATTTCTCCCCACCAGCTGGTGGATTTGGGTCTTCAGGTGCAGAGCTGACTCGGACTGCCCACTCATGACGTCGATATCTGTGACCTGAATTAGGGAGGTCAAATCTCAGTTCCAGAACTTCCACATTAAAATAATTATCCTTTGTTTTCTGAGTAAACTTTAAATGCAATGTGGTTTGCACCTGTTACTCACTGTCACTTCCTCAACACCCTGCAGTGTGACATCAAAGCTGAACACAAATGGACCTCATCTGCCTTCAGTTCAAATATTAAACATCTGACGCAAGTGCAGCAGGATCAACCAAAAGTTCTGTTACTATCAGCTGGTTTTTTTTCTCTGTTGCTATGTGGTGAACCCTCTGACTCTCACAAGCTTCCAAACACCATCAAAATACCTGGGAGGTGTGTGTGTCTATTGTTTCCAGCCAAGCAGATGGCATAACCCTGAGTTACAGCATCCAAACAAATGCTGTAACTCTCTAGGAAACTCAACAATCATGTTGCAACGAAGAGCTCGAGTACGTCAGGATCATTCATGAGTGTGTATTTACCTGCAGGATTTTTTTTGAGATAGGAATCTCTTTAACATGGGCGTGATAGCCAAGGAGGCAGAACTCTACAGATTCTCACGGAGCAAAAAACAGATTGCAGGATCAGATATCATTAAAAAAAAAAACAATTATCTCAGTTCAGAAACGGAACAAGTGAAGTCAGTGGTCACATATTTCTTGATCTTCTTTCGTAATGCATCATGCTTATGAAAAAATCTACGTTAAGTTCACCCTGCAGACTCTTCAAAATGAAGAGTAGGCAGATTTAAAATTCCCCTTTAATGGGAAACAGAGCAGCATTATAGACTAACAGACAGCACAGCATACGTTTTCTGCACAGCTGGATGTCCCATCTACTAAAAGTTTTAGAATTCAGCAGAACATTAATAAGAGAATTCTTGAAGCATGGCCAAAAAAGGGATAACATTCAAGTGTGTGTTTTCAAGTGAAGATGAAGAACCAGCTGACTCACCTAAGCTCTAATAATGTGTAAAGAGGTCAAGGAGTCAAATAAAACCACAAATATTGAGGACGTGGTTAGTTCTGTTTACACTGATAAATAACCTGCCACTTTTATATCATTAACGTGTCTGCTCTATTTTTGTCTCTGTGCAACATGAGGCTACAGTGTTCCAGTCTGTGAATTTCACACCATGGTTTATAAAAATCAGACAGAAAAACAGAAATCCAAACTGGCGCCACAGCTTCCAGGGGCCTTAAGGTACTTCTTCTCCATTACGACAGATGGAACATGAGTCAAACTAGAACACTAAAAAATGAGCCCAGTGGTTTTTCTTCAGACACCCTCTCAGTCGTTTAAGTTGTTTTTGATCATGCTTAGAGCCTTTTGAAACCCATGACGCTGAGAACATAGACAGACTCACAAAAACATGCAAAATGCGGGTGTGATTTATAAGAAATCTTGGTTTTCTGCGGCACCTGAGCCAAGCCAACCCATAAAAACTGTTCTGAGTGTCTTGCCTGTAATTTTGTTGGTGTTTCTACCTTGGACGGGGGTCAAGTCTTTACCACTTAAAGACCCACTCCGATGAAAATAATGTTTTTCTTGTTTTCTACATGTTCATACGGCATTTTCCTGATGCTACAGGTTCATCAGGTTCAGACACAGTGAGATTTCCTACGTAGCAAATCCAAGCTTCGCCCCCGGGGCCCCTGCTATACAGGCCAGACTCAGAAAAGTAAAGAGGACAATTGCGGAACAAGCCTGTGCATTAGCGGATTGCAATGCTCGTAAGAAAGCTAATTATGATATTAACTTACATCATGTCCCCGAAGACATTAGTGTCCGAGAGCTGAATAGCTCCTATGTTACCTGCTACTTTTACTACAACAGCAATGTTAGGCTGCAAACTAGCGTGAAGACGAGTGTGGAGAGCAGCGCTATTTCCGCTCATGACTCAGAGGGTTATTGCTTTAAATTGAGAAAACTTGAAGTAGTAAAAAAAATGATTGGGGTGGGACTTTAAAAAGATATGGCTAAGAGGCTATCTGAGACGTCAAAGTCATTAAAACAAAAAAAACAGGAACACAACGCTAAAGGTTAAGTCAAAGATAGAACAACACCCAAACGACCTCTGTGAATCAGGAGAGGAACTTTTTTTGTAAGTTTTATCAACATACGATTGACTGCATCCTATAAAAACAGCATTCCTGCAAAACCACAAATCTTCCTCCCCCTGAGACGTATGAATGGGTAAGCGTTCATTCAAGACTTTGCAGATGCTGACCTAACTGTATGTACAGAATGAGTTAATCACTCACAAAAAAATATGCACTCTAAATGAACAGTGTCAAAGAAAATTTATACTCCACTGCAGCTGTTGGCTCAGGGGGGATCTACTCGGGCAAATCCAAAACTCTACATGAAGACTGGTTTTCAAAAGTGAAAATAAACAAAACATAATTGAGCCCACATTAACCAACACTAGAATTAATCTCAGCCAGACACCTCTCTTGGTTTGATGTCGACTTTAAACAGTCAAAAGTGGTAAAAGAGAAGGAGACTGATGAATTGGGCTAATCTGAAACTCTTGGTAGATATAACAGAAACCATCTGAGTTTAAAATCACATTTGGTGCGTGGGAGACACTCACATTCGCCAACCTTTCCAGACTGGGAATATTGATTGCAGCACCAAATGGAGTGTTCCTTTGGTAATTCCTTAAAGCTTGGAGGACATCTGTGAGCGCAGCCTCCAGGTCGTTTTTGACTTTTGTCAGTTCATCCACTGAAAGAAAAGAACGATGAGAATGACACCCATGAGTTTCTATAATACCGTTATCTTATAAACTCTTTGACAAATATTTAGTTAAATCTATGCCGTTGTAAGAGAGACAAAATTCATAGTCCTTGGAGAGCTCATTTGTAGAAATGTCCATATGAGCTGTACTTACATTTGACATGAAACTGGGTTTTGTGAAGTTCCAGCTCTCTGTCTTTTTTGCTCACTTCTTTCTCAAGGTACTCAATCTGAAATGACACGGATATGAACTTGTTGTTACAGATAATCTAAGAGTCATTTATTTTCTGGCTCTAGAGGAAACTGTTTGTCCTTAAAACTCATGCCAGAAATGTCATCATGAGCCAGGAGCTTACTTTCAGTCGTATGTCTTCATCTGTGTGAGCGCTGCTTTGTGTATTTGTGATCTGGGCGTCCTCTTCCAGCAGCAAGCTTGAATGTGGGATTCCTGTAGAAGCAGCTGATTGTTATCAGGGTTGACAAAACAGCACACATTGAGCATTAAACCATAATCAACTTGTCACTAAAAGGACAAAATGGACTGTTTTTTGGCCATGAATAAAATCCCCCTTGTTTCTCCGAGCCGCTCACAGTAGATCTTTGTGTGAGGAGCCGTCTGTGCGATCTCTCTGCTTGTCTCATAAATCTTTTTAAAGGTGAACAAAACAGTCAAACTTAAGTTTCCATTTGTGTGAAAAGGTTGTCTCTTTGCCAATGTTGCTGTTCTTGCTTGTGTTGGATGCATGCTTGGCCTTAAAATAGTATGACATAAAGTTAAGTGTAGATTTGCACTTTTTGTAGTAACTTTTCTTCCAGTTCAGCACTAAAGTAGATTCAGATTAAAATAAAGAAAACTACATCCAACATTTAGAACTGCTTCCTCGTGTCAGTGTGGTAAACACTGATTGGAGATGATTGTTTTAGCCCACACCGTGAGCCTTTACTTCAAGAGGTGCTGATATGAGTGGACAGTTGGTTTAGCAGTTTAAATGCACACTTTATTAAATAGAGAGAGACTACTGGACTTGTTGCAGCAGTTCCTGGTTCTAACCCCCTGGCCTCTACCGTTTAGTGCATATCATCCCCCAACTCATTACTCCCCAAATTCCTGTCCCTCTTCAGCTGTCCCCTCAAATAAAGGCAAAAAGGCTAAAGACCTTCCTCCCTTAAATTATCCGGCTCTAAACTGGTAAACTGGGAGCCTCCTCCGCTGTTGCCATTCAACAAAGTTGTAAACGTTGCATGAACAGGTGTTTCTACACTCAAAATGACAGATTAAGAAATTGTTATCAGATGTTTTGGGCCTCAATTCTGATCCATACGTATTGGAAAAGGGAGCAAGAACGAAGAATGGAACAGAATTTCATTTTCAGGCTTTCTACTCTTCTTCTCACACCGCTGTTGTAGCTTTACCTGATTGACGGATCAAAATCTCTCCAGTAATCTCAGATTGTTGTCTCGGAAAAGGTTTATTTCAGCTACTTGCTATGTTCAGTTATGTAACCTTGCACTCTGGGAGCCTTCTCCACTGTTGCCATGATACAAAGTCATCGTGGGTAGACCAGTGTTTTATTATTTAAAATGCCATTTAATAAAATCATGGCCACACGTTTAGTAAAAGTGATTTTTTTGGCTGAAGGAGGAGACAGGTATGCCCTCAGGTTTGCAGATAGTCTCTGTTATTCAGGGTTTTTGTGAGATATCTGCCTTTAAAACTGATAAAAATGATTATATTCTGCCTTTGTTCCTCAAGAGACATGTAGCTGTTGACTGTTTTCGATCCCTCATCACTGCACTGTAGCATGAACATTTCAAAAAGATAAAAAAGTTTGAACTGAGATAATGCCAGAGATCCAATCATTGAAAACAACCTCTTATCTCTGAGCAGGGGCGGGTTGATACAGTAACTGATGTAACACTGTGAGTTTTGCATCACCTCTGTCTTTCACCATCCGTCTGATTGTTTTCTTCAGATCCAGTCTCTCCTCCTCGAGCCGCTCGATCTTGAAAGAGATCAAACGGTGAAGTGAGAGCTGTCCAAACAAACCAAGTGATTACAGAAGAAGCTTTTATCAATCCTTCTTGTCTGGCTCTACCTCTTTCGTCAAGACCTGATTCTCTGCTTTGTACTGGCGTTGTCTGAGTTCTTTGGCTCGCCTAAACTCTGTCAGATCCACTTCCTGCTTTGGTTCCAGACCTTAAAATAAACGAAAAAAGACAGCGACAAGAACAAATGACGAATTAAAAATTTCCCACATTAGTCATTGGTGTTTGAGTAGACAGAAAATTCAGATCAGATCACTTTTAATAGTCTTTTAAGGTCTGACCTAGTTTCTCTCTGAAGTCCTCATTTTCATCGACGAGCTCGCCGATTCTCATCTCCAGCTGGTTGATCTCTTTGGTCATGGCCTCTGCCTCACAATCCCTCACCTTAATTTGATTTTTGCTCTCTTTGATCTCCAAAATGGCTGCTTCCAGGCCATAAACACCCTGTGATGCATAGACAGAGTGGATATTACTTGTTCATCAGAAGCACTTCCTTGTTATAAGACTGAGAATTTATTAGGGTAAATTTTGGAAATGATTGGTCACAGCCAAAGACAGATGGTTAGTTTGTAGATGTTAAAAAGCCTTTTAATTAGACCGGTCACGCTGACATTTTAAGGTCGCCTAAAAAACTTATGACAGGAACACAAGCACAAGACATTTTTTCTTGGAAATTTGACACGCATTTAGAAATGATTGACAAATGCAAAAAGTAAAAGCACTAACAGGAAACACAGGACGCTTAAACACTCACAGATTCATACTGGCTCAAGCGGTTTAAAGCTTCAATGAGCGCTTTGTCTTTTTCCTCAGCGTGAGCTTCTGCAGACTTCACCATGCGCTCTGCTTCTGCTGCTCTGCTCACGGCAGCTTCTAGTTTACACTTCAGATCTTCGATTTTTCTCTGCTGTGCAGTCGATGGCAGGCCTGGGTGAATATGAGGATAAAAATGATCATAATGAGAATCTAGTTCCTGTAGTCCACCTTGTAACAAGTCCCTGGAATGTCACACCTTCCAACTTGTCCAAAGCAAAACAGTATTAAACAGCAACAAAAGTCATTAGTCAACATTTATTTCATTTTGTGTGTAATGTGAGGCTTTGTTTGCTACGCCCCCCAAAGCTGATACAGTTTGAAAGATGCTCACAGCTGCTTTAACTTATTGAATTTTCAGTAAGGATTGCTTTAGAAATTACATTTATGACTTTAACTTCTTCAGAACTATCCATATTTATACAGCTGTGATTTTCATCTGACATCATACCCATGAAGAAAGTCTGAAATGCTGGCGTCACATTCAGCTTCTTTATTACATACGATAGAATATTAGGGCCACATTAAGAATTTTTTCTTTAAGGACTTCAAGATTAAAGTCCTACATTTGGGAGCATCAAGTCATTATTTATGAGAATCAAGTGGTAAACTTAAGAAAAGAAAGTCATAAAGTAAATAAAGCTGCTTTTGTGGAGGAGGAAATGGCTGGAAGTTATCAGTGGGTGCATCAGGGGGCCATTCAGAGGGCTTTTGTGGTTTCTCAAGAAACAATCCAACTGATAGTCAACATATGCAATCAAAAGGGAGTCGAGGGCCGACAAGCACCAACGCCTTATGGCATATGGATTCAAATAATAAACTAAAGCCCTATGCTGTTGTTATTACCCGCTGCATTGGCGCCTCTGCACAGACATTTTTGGTCATTTCCCCCTCCATCAAAACAACGATTTCCTCCAAGTCTGCCTAGTTCTTTTTGCGAAAATGATTTTTTTTTTGTTTATTCTTTTTAAAGTCAAATGACAAATGTGATGCTGATGTGCCAAAGGATTAAGTATCTCCTTGTTTGTAAAACCTACTGAAGTACAATTAATCTAAATGCTCCACAGCCCTCTATTAACAACTCCCCTCTAAAACAACAGGTTAGAATATTATGACTCTGTTCTCATAAATACTGACTCTATTCTCATAAATACTGACTTTATTCTTGTAAGTTTACAACTTTATTCTCATAATCACTTTATTCTCATAAATATCTTTATTCTCAAAAATAATGGCTTTATTCTCATAAGTTTCACTTCATTCTCACAATTTTCACTTTATTCTCAAAAATAATTACTTCGTTACTCGTAAGTTTACGACTTCATTCTCATCAATAATATATTTTTTTTCATAAGTACTTTATTGTCATAAATACTGCCTTTTTTCTCGTAAGTTTATGACTTTTATTTTGAAGTCTTTAAAATAATTTTTTTAAGACTGACGTAATTACAGGTTTTCAGACTTACAGATTTCGCCTATCTGACTGTCGATGGATGAATAAATAAAAATACATCCGTAATGATATTATTTAACGTATGATTTATTCAAGAACGGCTAAAAAACAATGTAAAGGGAAATTCTGAAGGGACTTTTGACTACGCTTAAGGGAAAATAACATGTTTGATAACCCACAATTTGATGTAACAGCCAACACTATGAACCGTTTGTGTGATGAACTGTGTTACATAGTAAAATAATAAGTTGCTCCCATGCATAATGAAAGAAGAACATGACCTCTGTGTGAATGGTGAGTATTCTTGGGTATTATACTATGCAACTGGTAATCATAACGCACCTTTATCTTTCTTTGTGGATGTCTTCAGCTCCTCAATAAGCTGGGTGTGCTTCTCCATTTCCCCTGTGTACTGTTCCACCTGTTCACTCAGCATCTTGATTTGATTGTCCCTCTCCTGGACGGCCTTCAACATTCATCACGATTTGGAAAAAAGAAAAGTAACTTTAACTTTACATCTTGCGAGCTGTGGCACCCTGAGTCTCCAACATCTTCAACATAAAGATTATTTATGAAATGATGGAAGCTTAGGAGGGACAAGGAAGAGACACATAATGCAACTTACAGTGCATAGTTCATATATGACCTTTGCCCAGGATGGCGATAGCAAGGTGAGAGAGAGGACAGGTTGATGAAACATGATAAGGCAAAGACAGTAGGTGGAAAGTGAGGAAATGGATGGATGAAAAGGTCGGGATTTCAAACATACATACATACAGCATGTGCTCAAGATGAATGGTATCTAATCTTTCCCACACTGTAATAAAGTGTTTGAGCATAGCTCTATAAGGTATAATGGGAATTCTTTAACATGACTGCTCAATTACAACATATGATGCTGCTTTTAACTGGAGTAACTTTATAACCATCAAGCCTCTTTATTTCCCGAGGTGATGAAGTTGGAGCATTAACAAACCACCACTTGATGGAATCAGGCTGAGCTCAAACTCAAACTCGGTATTTTTATGGCAACATATGGAAAGAATGGATTCATGTTGTACTTTTATGTAAACGTCCTCTAAGTTTATGGTGCCTGCAAGCAAAACTGTTTTTTCCCTTCCCTATTCCCCTAACGTGACTACATAGACTATTTGGGATAGTCTTTTATCTGTAGTGATGAATTTTTTATTTTTTTCATATAAGTGATTCTGCACATTAACTCAAAGCCATCCTTAAAACCCTTATGGCCCTACCTGCTGCAAGGCAAGAATGTTGCTTTTATCCAAGTCCAGCTGTGCTGAACGCAGCTTTTCCCTCAGGTCGCGGATCATCTGCTGGTACACCAAAATTTCATCGTCCTTTCCGGAGAGCACTCTCTATGGGAGGAGAAAATGATCATGTTGGGGTAAAGGAAGGCTTATGATGGTTTGGTAGAATGGGTTCAAAATGGACAAAAAAAAACGAATGTAAAGAAGGAGGAACCTATCAAGTAACAAGTATTTTTAATGCATACTTGTTAGTGCTCCCACTCCAACGCTGTGAAGTTAAGGCATGTTTCAGAGCATCAGTTCAGCCTGTTTCCTTAAAAGCTAAGGTCTAAACTTTAAGAGGACTAATGCCAAGTAGGAAAAGTATGCATAGTTTAGTATTTGTGTCAATACACAAAGACACTGGTGATAGAATATCAAGAAAAAGTTGAATATTTTCATCATTTATTTTGGAAAGTGAACATTATATACAATATATTCTAGACTCAAAATGTCCCGAACATTCTTCTATTCTAAATTTGATTGTTCCGGCCTCGGGCTCCAAAATGCGTCTTTTAGGAAAATTTGTATATTTTGTCATTAATTTTGAGTGTCTGTTCAAACATAATAAACCCTAAATACCCCTCGGTGTAGCAGCATGATCATGAGAGAGACTGCTGACTCCACGGTTGTCCAGAAGACTATCATCAAAACCCTCCATAAGGAGGTTGAGATACAGCAGTTTATTGCTGAAAAGGGAGGCTGTTCACGAGTACTTATACTGAAGCACTGGGACGTTGGCTGGTCGGGTAAAGGCGAGGTGGGAAAGGGCGTATGAGCAACAGGATTTGGGGGTTGTCGAGAAAAGCAGATTTAAGAACTTGGGGAAGTTTCACAGGGAGTAGACTGAGGCTGAAGTCAGCACATCAAGAGCCACCATGCCATCTTCTTAAGTCTCTTATTTTGGTCAAGGTGGAAAAAGTACTGGACTGATGCTCAGTGCTCCAAGGTCCTCCATTCAGATTAGAGTATGTTTTGCAGATAATTTGAAAGTAAATTTCCTTGAGTCTGAATGTCTCAGTTCAGGTTAAACTTTTACTTAAGGCAAAGTTGTACATTTGGGTTGATAATATTCCAAGTAATAATACATCCTGACACACAGTTTTTCTTTTTCTTTTACTGCCAGTGCCCATTGGTTTCAAACGTCAGGTGTCGATTCGACAAAGACGGGTTTTAGTATTGGCCCTGAAAAACAAATACACCAGCACTGAAGCAACCTTAGCTCCGAGGGACCTTCGGAGTTGTTTGACCCACACTCACCTTCCACTCTTCAACCTTGGAATTGACAGCTGCCATTATTGGATCATCCTCTGCAGTCATGCTATGAATCTTATCTGTCAGCTCTCTTACCTGCAAATTAAAATCAAACGCACACATGTTGAACTCGCTGCAACCTCTCATACAAAATCGTGCATTTAAAAATCATGAAAACTTCAAAACTGCAATCTGTCTTGAGGATCCTCCAGCTTAAGCATGTAAAAAATATGACATGGTCTTTACTTGAAGCTTTGCATGATCCCTCTCTTTCCTGAGCTGATCCATGATAGAGTCGGTCTGCTGCACGACAATCTTCATCTTGTTGTACTCGTCGGTCATCTTTTCCATCTCTTTCACAGACTCCTCCAGACTCTTCTGCATCTGCTCATTTTGCGTTTTCAAGTACAAGTTTTCGTCCTCGACACGCTGGCGAGAAAAAAGCAAACAACAAAACCATCAGAGAAGCAGTTCACTCAAAATCAGCACGGTCTTTTTTAACAGATACAGTTTTTTTTTTCTTTTGCCAAAAGTGGGATTGTTTTACGTCTCACAAGCAAGCAGTAATAATAACACCAGGCTCACTAAGTAAAGGTCTATTACCCTGTTTTTGAGATGGTTTTACCGACTCATCACAGCCTCCCAAATACCTGTAGCTCTTGGTGGCACTGGTAGAGCTCGCGGTTGGCCATGCTGAGCTTCTTCTGCATCTCTGCGTTCTCATCCCTGGACGGAGCTGGCTGCTTCTGCTCCAGCTCCCCTCTGTAGAAGTCCACATCCTGTTGAAGCTGCTCATTCTGTTATGGTGCAGGATGGACAAAGTAAGTCCCAGAGCAAATACTACATTCACAATCTAGTAATCATACACTAAGCTACCAACAAATCCTTACAGACAACTTATTTTACTTCACTACCTGTATTTCTTACCTTTTTCTTAAGTTTTTTTATCTTAGGGGATGGAATGGAAAGAGATGAAAAGAGATAATGAAATATAAAAAAAGAGCATTCACAAGAGAAACAGAGCCTTCAAGTGTTTTGAGGGAAGAAAATCCAGGTCTCTAGATACGGGAGGTAAATGCCAGGGCCAGCATTAAATCGCATGATAGAAAAAGAACTGTTGAACAGATGTACAAGGATCCTCTCTTTTAAGTCTCTCTGCGCAGATCATTACAACAAAGATGCTGCACAGCATCAAGCTCCCTTTTTGCCCTCTCTGATAAAAACCATCCCTGCCAAGCTCTGTCATTTTCAAATTATTTAGAGCCTGTTTCAGGATGGAGAACACCTGGAAAATGTATGTGTCTTCAATGTATCTGTGAATCTATCTGATTTTCAGAACCTTACAGTCAAAGTTCTGTAATACATGAAGATGAAAAACGTGAACTTTATGATCTGTAAGATAAAGTTCCTGCTGCTGAGTACCTCTCTTTTAAGTTTCTTGGTCTCTTCCTCTGCTGCCTCCACTTGTGCAAGCAGCTGTAAAGAAAAAAGAGAAATACACATAATGAGGTGAACACAATTTGTACGACCTACATGAGTTACATTTACCCTCTGACCCTTTAACAGTCCTCCTCTAGTCTATTTAACGGATGAATAAGAAGTGGATAAGAAGACAGAGTGACTTCAGATTAAGTCCGAGAGCTGCAATATGTCTAAATCTAGTTTAGTTTGTCTAAATGAGTATTTTGAGATTCTCGATTTTTCCAATTTCAAAAAGGTTGGGACGCTGTTTAGAATGTTGACACAAAAATAAATCAATATTAAGGGTAATAAATCATCTATATTCTATTGAAATCAATGCAAAGACAACAAATCAAACTTTAAAATAACAAAAAAAAAGTTATGACAGGGACAGCAAAAAACTCAAAAAGCTGTGTAATCCTTTAAAAAAACACTTGAAGGAATATCTTCTAACCTACAAGTTTAATTTGAACAGCTAAGTAACATGGATTTAGAAAGTGGGAAGAAGTGACTCATTTTTGTGGAAAACTATAAATTAATAGTCTGACAGTTTCCATAACGTCCCTCTGAGTAAAGTTGCAAATAATTTGGGGATTTCGTCAACTACAGTCTAAAACATCACTGAAAGATTCAGAGAATCTGGTGAAAACTCTGTACTAAATAGACAAGGCCAAATATCTTCTGGATGGCTCTGATGTTTGGGCCCCTCAGGTAGCACTACATTCAAAGACTCTGTAGTAGAAATCACTGCATGAGCTCAAATTCACTCCAAAAACTATTGTAGAGGACATCCACACACCCACAGCTGCAGGTGAAAACTGTATCATGCAAAGAAGGAACCAAAAATGAACAGGCCTGCCTCATCTTTGGACACAATCCTATAAGATGGACTGAAGCAAAGTTGAAAACTGAAAAATGTGATGTTACTTTTGGAAATATGGACACTGTGAAGAAAGAGACCATCCGGCTTGTTATGGCACAAATTTGAAAGCCAGGCGTGGCAAAAGAACAAATACGGGCCTGTGACATGAGTATGTTACACATTTTGGAGGCACCGTTAATGCTGAACAGTTACAGTATGCAATAATGAAATAATCAGTCAATGAAATAAAAGGTTTGCATAATATGAAAACCATCAAAATGTGTTTGCATCAGTGTGTTACCCAGCAAACTCTCTTGGAATGGGGTTGCATGGAAGCAGCAGTAATGCTGGTGCATCAAACTATTGCTACCATTTACGTAACAAATACAAAAGGAAATGAAAACACGATTATTGCTCTGAGGACGGACATCATAGTACAGTGTGTACTAACGAGTGACCTAATACCCGGAGGCCATCCGAGGACTCTATCCTGATTCTACCTCAGTATACTACCATGTGTGGGACTTACGGGTAACATTTTCATACCTCCTTGTTGGCTGTCTTCTCCTTGCCCATGTCTTTCTTGCACTGGGTCAACTCCCTGTCCTTCTGCTCTAGCTGGGTCTCAAACTGGCGGAGCTCATCTCTCAGAAAGCGGGTGTCTGGCCCTGTGCCGGTGTGCTGAGCCGTGCGGACCGGAAACAAGACACACAAACACCAAAACAACCCCCACCAGACCTATTAGTCTTTCATCACCTCCATCTGTTCATGACACACATTAACACATGCATTACACGATCATGAACGGGTCTCTAAATAAAGGGGAGCCTTTTCTTTCAGTGGCAGACTGCCATGGTGTAAATTCTAATTACATGAAAACCTTTGGAGAATTCAAACATAATTAACACGGTGGAACTTGAAGTAATAGCTGAGCTTGAGAGGAATTAGCAGTAATCTTCTTAGGTGTTGTCATCTTGTGGTCAATACAACCAATCCCTTTGTAGCTTGGGTTCCCCCCCTATGATTGGCTTAAAGATATGGATGGAAGTTGTTTTTGTTGGCAAGAGGGGTTATTACCAGTCACATTGCAAAAGAAGTGTTTTCTCCTCCAAAAAAAATGGCACAGGCAGAAGTCCAACGGATAAAGAGCCCCCAAAGAATGATACACGAGTAAGTATTTGGACCATGATGACGAATATGACAGGGAGCATTACCTTACTCTCTCGTTCCAGCCTGGACACCTTGTCGAGGAGCTCCTTTTCTTCATTACAAAAGACAAAACCAACAATTTAAACGACTCTGTAGTTTTTCAGTAAGACTCAAAAGGGTGTCGTATTTTGGTTATAAGATCGATCTGTCTGCTGACCTTTTTTTGCATGTTTTACACCGATTTCTTCAATGAAGTTAGAGGTGACAGCAAGTTCCCGATCCTTTAACTAACAGCCAGACATAGAGAAAACAATTGTGTTTGCAGGGACAGACAGGAATGATTGGAAAGACACTTGAAAATAGAAATAAGGTGATCGAACACCTTCAACAGGGTCTGAAACACTCTGAGGACTTGAATGATGTTCTCCGGTGGTTTATCCTTCACCTCCCATTCTTTAGCCTGCAAAGTTAACAAAAACAAACAGTAAGAAAGTAGAAATCTCACATATTATTCAGCTCATCGGCTATTTTGAGGATGTCTTACAGATTACAGGTTATCACAGAATCACTGTTTTCTGCAGTAATCCTTGTTAGGAGCATTATATCAGTTATTAAACACAAGCTATCTTGAGGTTTCTTTTCTTTCCTTATCTGATTTACTTAAAGCTACTATAAGGAACTTTTAGTTTGTGCCCATTTTGGCGCCCCCTGTACAGTCTTTGTTTAACCTGTCCTTTGCGTGACTGAAGAGTGAATTTTGACCAACGATTTCATCCTGCTGACTTTGACCATCAAACGAACCATTTATTGTGAATATGTGTTTTTTTTTTAAGTGGGACTTTAGCTGCTTTGCCAACACTTACCTCCTCACTGCAATTTCAGGCTTTAACAATTCAGGTACCAAAATCGTCAAGCTTGTTGCTGATGGTCTTATTTGCTTTTGGATACCATGAAAAGCCATTAAATAACTCCTTACAGGAGCTTTAAGTTCAGATGACAGAAGTTATTGATTAAAGGTCAACAGTGGTCTCAAAAAGAGAGGGCAGTCAATGAAAAACACTATAACTTGCTGAAAGTGGCAGAAATCTAATACCAGGGGGGTGAAAAGTAGTAAATTACATACTATACTTATGTTGTACTTCACTACAACTTGCATTGCACCAGTTACTGATTAAAATAATGAAGTAAAAGACAAAACAGCTTTCCAATAACTGCCTGACTGCTAATTGACTAGATGACCTACCAGTCAGATAAGCTAACATCAGAACAGAGGAACGCATATACCTTCAATAAAATCACAACAAGACAGGCTTTAGTAAAGTTGAAAATAAACTCACTAATTCAGCCTTTCGCTGGGTCAATAACTCATCAGCCCATCAATGCTTTTGCAAATTGGACAGTTACTTCCAGCCGTAGTGGAGTAGACAGAGAGCAACAGACATTACTGCAAGGTGACCGACTTAGACTGGCCTCTATAAACAGCTGGCCATGCCTCATGTATGCATAGACACTGTCCACCAAGTGTTTGACTGAAGATGCATGATGAAGGATTTTTGCCACTCACTGATGTGCTGATGTTTTCAAACTCAGACAGGCTGACACCATTTAAAAAAAAACTAAAATTAGCTGTTTGTTGTCTGTTTCCAATAATTCAGAATATTCACATAGAGCCATTATACTGAAGCTTGTTGCTGTGGTGTGCAAGCCATCATTGTATGCAGTGCACATCATTAAAGCGTAACCAGCATTAGTATCAGTTCATGTCTGCTAATATCATTGATGTAATGCTGATACCACTGTGCATCTAAATGCAATACAAACCAGAAATTGCTGCAAAATGAGACCACAACTTAACCCTGGTTTTGTGCAGGGTCAATAACATCGCTTCATACATTAAGGGTCTCCTGTTGGCTATATTACAGCAATAAATTAAGGAACATTAGATATGACATGATAAGATGTAATGTGATATGATATGCTACGATGCAAAAGACCTAATCATCCCCTTGTCTGGTATTCAATAACTGCACAGGCCTCCACAATAGTACCAATCAATCATTCAATAAATAAATTAAACAATATTAAAAGCCAAAAAGTAAGGACCTATAACAACAGAGGAACACATACCAAGAAAACCAAGAACAACTCTTGTTGTACATTTCTCAGATTGCACAAGAAGACAGCATGAGGAAGAGGAGGATAAAGGATTAAAATAAAGATGGGAAGATAAGAACATCATGACGTTAATGCACAAGCCAAACCGCCTCAGGAAACATGATATAAAATTTTGGTCAAAGAAGTTTTTAAAGCAGTTCAGTTCTGTGAGGACACTCTGTATTGTCTGCTTGAGGGTAGAGTGGAGGATGTGAGATGAGTCAGATAACACTCATCATGCCTGCATCAGAACAGAATACTCATAAACTGATTGAAAGAAGAGGTTTTCAGTCCTCCCATAACCAGCATGCACTCTGAACTTAACAGGCGAGTCTAGATTTTATCTGTGCAGAATGCTTGCTCTTCTGTGCCGACATCACATACTTGATTATACGTTCCAACACAGCCTGGTGAAATGAAACCATGATCTTATGATCCACTCCATATGCCGGGTCATAACTCACACTTTGACCCCCCTCCCACAAATTTAGATGTACTCAGATGTTCCTTAAAGCCTCTATGATTGGACTGAAACGTAACTGAACTGGCTTCGAACCCAAAAGCAAGCAGAATTATCATGACATGATTGATGATTTTTAAATTGCAATTTACAATGCCTGAAAATGGTGGGAGAGGGTAGGTGGAAGCAAGAGACTGTACATAGTATTGACAATGTGACTCTGCCTCCAATCATTGTACAAATTTGAAGCCGAGTTGCTCTTGGTATTTCCAGAGTTTTCTCCATTTCATAAAACCGAAATTTGCACAGCTGCAGAGTAGTAAGAAGACAGACTGCTTTATTCTTCTGGGGGCTCTAAATTTACACAAACAAAAAGTTCCTCACAGGAGCTTTAAACAGATATTCCGACGTAAAATTAATTTAGGGTCAAACACACCGTAACACCGAGTTAGGCACCCCCTAGAGAGATGAATGTTGCCGACCGCTTGCTTCTCTAGTTATACCAACTTTAGTACCGACCGTGCGATAGCAATACACAGCAGTCTGAGGAGCCATTAACAAACCTCAACCAAAACACCACTCTAACCACAAATAATGCTCAGAACAGCACCTAACTTCATCAACAGGACATATAGGGTCCCAGCCATAGTACTAGCCACCAAACACCTTTTCAGCTTTGCCTGATTTCTTTAGCAAAGAGACCAAACACAACTCACCCACTCTTCTATGCACAAAAATCCATAATTACATATATAGATATATATATATATACATATCTTTGTTTTAGCCATAGTTTTGTTTTGATATTGAAGGCTTTGGGGTCCATCATAAAGAGGTATCAATATGAGTTTTCATGATCGTCAAAAAACTCCTTACAGGAGCTTTAAGATGGAAATGAATGTCTGTATGTATGAGGTGTGGGTGTGGACAGTTACCGTTATGAACATTGCGAAGACTTCATTCAGCTGGTCCTCGTCCTCGTCAGGAAGGCTTGCTGTGTCCAGTCTCATCACTTTATCCCACTCAAAAGCAGCAGGCATCTTGGCCATAGTGTTTTACTACAATATAAAACCGAACATTATCTTCTATCTCATTTTAGCTCGACTTTAACGCAGCATTAAAGCAACTGTGGATGTGCGTTTACATTACATATCAGGCTGAATATCGAGATTTAAAAGTAAAATATTGGAATCACATGTAACGCTTGTACTTTCACATGCCCAATAAAACATTTTAAATACACCAGGTACGAACTGAGGTTGAATTTAAGTCCAAATAACGGTGAGAAACCATCCTGAGGTTTCCATTAGCTGATGCTTTGGCTGCTCGGTTACCAATGACAACCAAAGGTCCAAGTTAGCTTCCGATGCTAGCCCACACGAAATAAAGCACCGAGTTGACACCTAAAGGAAACTTAACCAGACTGGAGTCATTTTACGGATGAAACTATATCACACACTACCTATAAAACGCATTTGCATCGATACGTCGCTTAAGTTTGCCTAAGTTTGCTTCAACACTGACAAGTTTAGCTCTAGCTTCGGTTGAACCTGCGCGGTGACCTCTGCCCCGGATGTGATAGTGATGGTGTGTTCAAGCTAGCTTCCAAAAACCGAGTGATTCTCGCTGAATTGAGCGCTCCGGGTGTTTGCAACCGCTCTCGGTGTATGGTGTCACCTCTGCTGTCAGCGTCTGAACAGGTAAAAAATAAATAAATACAACGAAAGACCAAAACAGACACTCACATCCGCCTTATCCAACTGAAAGACTGGTAATAGCGTAGTTAGCATTAGCCGCTAAATTAGCCCTGTAAACCGACGTTGTGCTGCTGCAGCCGGTAAGAAAGTATGTTGTTGGGTTGTGTACACTTGTTCATTCTTAATGTTGATTTTTAGTCATTTCATGGCAATTTAAAGAGCGTAGCATCTACTAGCAGTGTAACTGTTTGGCTTTTTAGGTCCAGCCTGCAGTCTTTTTGCTCTGGTGTAGCTCAGCTCTGTCTGTATCTGCTGCAAGACTCAGACTCTTCATCCCAGTCTGTAGTTTTAGTTTGGGTCAATTCAGCTGTCAGATTATCATTAAAGATCACAAAGCAGCAAAATAGCAAGGCATGAGACTGTTGAGGTGAATCAAACTGGTTTAATATTGATCTCAAAGATTTCAGACAGTAGGGGAGAGTGGGCTAAGTTGAGCCAAAGGATAAGTTGATCCACCCACTGTTGCTTGGAAATGGTGAAAGAAATTGATCATGTGACCAAATATTTAGGAGATGGACATTAATTCATGGAGTCTGTGATGGTTAGAAGCACATGGGTAAAGGGGTTAGACATTAAACATTCGTTATTCGTATTAAAATGATAAAAGTCCAAACAGGAGAATTATACAAGATGTTAAAATCATAACTAAAGCAAGAATTAAGGTCATTACACACCAGGGCCGATGCAAATATAGAACGGGAAATTACAAAATATTCGGAGGTGAATTTTGACGCGCCTGACTATACACATCAAGCCTGATGCGATTTTGCGACTTTCCAGGGGGAAAAAGACGCATCCAGGGAAAGACTTTTCCTGTGGAAAGTCCCGCCTCCTTCGCCTCTGATTGGCTAGAAAAGCTGGAAACGTCATCACACGCTCAAGCCAAACAGTCAGCACTTATAGTGAGTCGGGGCCAGTACCAGATAAGAACATGAAACTATGGCAACAACCATTAGCTTTCGTTAGCACAGATGAAAGTTAAAACAAAGACATTTAGGAAACTGTTAAAGCACACAAACTATCGTTATATGAGAAATCCGACGCTATGAATCTCCACAGGTTGTCCTTGCGGATGTTTGTGCCTTTATCAAAAAGTACTCTGTAAACAATCAGCCAGTCGACCAGATGTCGCAACAACACGCAATCTGATTGGTCAGAAGTGGACACACAGTATGCAAAACTTTAGAAAAATCGACTGTGATCCGAAAAAATAAATGCTGCAATATTGCAGAACGGGAAAACGTCGCTGATGTGATTGCTCATATTGACAAGACATGGGTTTGGAAAAAAAATATTGACGTCCTAAATAATCGCACGAAAAAAAGCCGTCCCAGTGTGAAAGGTACTTTATGATGACATTACATTTCCAATTACAAAGTACTCCAATAAAAGTCAAGTTAAATGTTCAAGTAATCAAAATCCCCTTTGCATGTATTGTATGTTGTCACAGCCTAGTCTAGGTGTTCTGTTTCTTTTTATTTCTGTAAGTCTGGGTCTTTAGAAATTGGTATACCTTCTTTTTAAACACATGTTTACTGGTTAACCTTGTAATAACAGAAGGAAGGCTAGCCTAGTCCATATTTTCATACCCCTGAACATGACACTATGCTGTACAGAGTTAGTATCGGTGAGTGGAAGTGTGAAATAACCATTTCATGCATGCCTTGTGTTGAAATTATGACCATTACGACTGAACAGCAATTGATTAAACAAAACATTTGGCCTTTCAAACACTAAAATTTGTCTGAAGAAGAAAAGCAGAGACACAGTAATCCTCTCTTTAACTTGATCCATGCCTGACCCTTCCCCTGCAGTGATCAATGACGGCTCTGGTCAGCCATGGCTGTCGTGTCATGGAAAGAGATTTTACTTTTGACTGGACTGGTGGTGGGATGTTACTGGAACAGCCTGTCCTGCGGCTTTGTGTTTGATGATGTTTCGGCTATTCTTGACAACAAGGACCTACGGCCCTCAACCCCTCTTCGCAACCTTTTCCTCAATGACTTCTGGGGAACACCCATGGCTGAGGTGAATCATTGTCACTCAAACTAACCTGCATCCTACATCAATCTGTGAATTGAGAGTAACAACATGTAATCTGACTGTTTGAAATCTACTCTATGTTCATCTTCAGGAGAGGAGCCATAAATCCTACAGACCGTTGACCGTGCTCACCTTCAGATTGAACTACCTCTTAAGTGAGCTGAGTGCAGCTTCTTACCATCTGCTCAATGTTGTTTTACATGCTGTGGTGTGTGTGCTTTTCCTGCGAGTGTGCCGACTGTTCCTGGACAGGACCTCCAGCTTGGTAGCAGCCTTGCTGTTTGCTGTTCATCCCATCCACACTGAAGCTGTAAGTGTACTTTTTTTTTTTTTATAAAGAAAGGTTATTTATTTAATTTGTGTGATTGCAGAGCAAGGCTTTAATGAAAACCCAAAGGGTGAAGATTTTGTAAGTTCACAAAAGAGTGTGACTCCAAGATGCTTTACAAAACAGATGATCTATACCATACTCTATTTACAAACGTAAGATGGGATCAGATTGAGCCCCATCTTGTAAGATCATGCACTCCCATCCCATCCCATCTTCAACCACATGAGTGGAGCACTTTGCAGTATTTGGCAAGTCGCAGTGTAGAGGAAAAACTTCCTTTTAACAGGCAGAAACCTCAAGCGGGACCAGACTCATGTTAGACAGTTATCTTTCGCTACTGCACTGGGTTTAAAGAGGGGAGAGAGGGAGATGAAGAAAGGGAATAGTATGTCTTCCTGCTTGTGTCCATGCGTGCAGTCTGCACAGACACAAAATCAGATTCTTCCAAAAGCTAAAACTAGCAAGATATTTGTACACTAACTACTGAAAAGGTACTAAAACCCGGTAAATTTTATGAAAAACTGACTGTTTTGCTGCAGAGTTAAATGAATGTGTGAGTGTGTGATACTCTGCACCTATCCAGCAGACAATATGGACTGTTTTTTCCATGGTTTCTAACAGTATTGCACTTTATTGATGGTCCCTAACACTCAAACCATGGCTGACTGTATAGAGAGGCTTTTTATCACAAACCAGAAATTCAGTTGGTTTTGATTAGTAAGAGTGGCAGCAGACATAGCAAACCAAACCTCACGAGTTTCTTGAAATGATATACAACATTTATTTTAATCAACTTATGAAACATCTTTTGAAACATGTATTTTTGTCTTTAAGAGACACAGTTAATGCAGAGAAGAAACGCAGCAAAGGGTCATGGCTCGGAGTCTGTACTGAGGACTGCAGCCTCAGCACATGGGGTGCTCTACTAAAACACCAGACCAGCTGTAGCCTGGCTTGAAGTATCTTGAAATAAGGTTATACTTGGACGTGCTGTGTCAACATTGTTTAAATTGAGTAAAACCCGGTATTTTGACTGGAACTGGGACAGATTCACAGGGTAAGATTGAGGTCCTTTGCAAAATCAGGCAAATATGAAACATTTAAACACATAATCACCGCTTAAAAAAGCTTCAGATTACAGAGAAACAACAGCTGGAAAATTAAAACCAATTGAATGTGTGAAATTAGCAGAGTCCCAGCATTAGGTCATAAGTAGATCTGAATGATTCCATTAATTTAGTCCATTAATTTAATGTCTTGCTCTGACATTAAGCTTTATTCTTTCAGCTGCAACCCCTGGGGATAGATGTTAAACAAAATGTTACAAAAAAATTAGCTTGTTAAACACTGACTTTCATATTTAATAGGCACAAAATTCTTAGGCTTTCATGATTTATTAGTCTGTGTGAAGATTAACATCAGAGAGAAGTAAAAGAACATCGGCCTCATAAAACAAAAAAAACAGTGAAGCAAAAATGTTTTGTAGATCCATGACCCCAGTTGCCTTAATTTTCTTGTGTGCAAAAAAGCTCAGGGATCAAGATAATTGATTAGCCGCTATGCTGTGCCGTTATATATCCTGAACTCCTGTTGCGAATATAACCTAGTCCAATATCAGACTAGGTGTGTAGCGATTTTCACAAGCAAGACATGAGCCATCGTCTTAATACTGACATCCATGAGTTAACCTTGCGCTCACCTCTCTTGCTATAGAATAAATATCCCACCACAGGCCATCACAGGCAAGCAGCCACGACTAGCCTCATTTAGAAACAAGCAAACATAAAAGAACAGTGACTGTGTCCAGAAGTTCACCCATTCCCAAATACACAGGACAAAATAACAGAGGACAGAACAGAGGACAGAACTCTGGGGAGCTTTAGACGCCAGAGAAAGCAAACACCTTTTGAGGTCCATAATGTTCATGCAGAGTAAGTGAAAGGAGGCTATAAGCCGTGTGTGTATATATATAACATGTACATGCCCTCATTGAACTATAGAGAGGGGATAGGAAATCACTTGCCTGCTGTTCACAATACTGCAAAAACATAACTGCCTCAGTATTGTTCCAACATGCCCACCAGCTCTGTGTGCAGGGTGGTTCTGTTTGATTTTGATCTGTTTCCCTCCTGACAGGTGTCCCTGTTTATACCCCGATCTATCAGTGTTCATGGTTTTCCTGAGGATTCATTCTAAAAATCTACACCACATGGTTAGCAGTTACAAAAAAAAACCTGTGACGTCACTTTATTTTAACGACTCAAGTAAAGTGAAATTACTTTTGGCGGATCCTGCCCCCATCACCACCATCATTTCAACCCCAACTGTTGAGACACTTAAACTCTGTCTGTTAACAGTCCCTGTGAGAAGAAAAATCATCCTCCTTCCTCTGAATTTGGACATGATTGCCTTCAAAAGTAATCACAATAATAGTTAATCCTAATATTGTTCATCATCTTTTGTCTATTATGCTGATGCGTCATCCAACCCTCCAAATATGAGGTGCATGCTTAGACTGCTGGGCCAGAGGCGCCCCTACTAGTAAATAATGTGCCAGTCTGTCAAGCTCTGTCCGTTGATGATACTTATCTGTAGTTTCACATAGATTTAAAGCTGCAATAATCTGATTTGTTGTAGGTCTGTACAGTTGCCTCCAGATGGACTTTTCCATGTGACCGTTGCTAATGCCCCCTGTAAAGAAACTGAATGAATTAAACCGCTCCAAAACCATTCACAAATGTGAATTGGTCTTGCTGATGACTTAGAGAAGAGGCGTTTTCAACAGGTAGAAAAAGTCAAAAAATTAAAATTGATCGGGGTCAGATTTTTTTTTATCAGATAACGCAACTCACACATGTACAGGACAGGATCAACAAAGAGAGAAGGTACAACTTTGTCCAGGAAGAGTTCTTCACAGGCACTTTAAAATGCTATTTTCCTTGTCCTTGCTTTTCTTTTCCTGCAAAATTAAAGGGGCTGACGTTAAATGTTCCAAACAATTTCTTGCAGATTTATATCTTTCGAGAAGAGTTATTGTGCTTTTCTGTATTTACAATAAAAATGCAAAGTTACACGGTTTGGGGTCCAGACGATAGGTATGCAAATTTTGAAATTGCGATGTTAAACACATGTCGTAATTATCCTAGAACATACATATAAACTGCTCATATCAGTCCATTGGAAAATCACATGAGAATCTCTCCGAGCCGTCTGTGAAATTCTGAACTCCTGAAGTCATTGCATAAGGCTTTTCTAACTGGTTTATCCGTGTTTCCGGCACAGCGGAGCGGCCTGCCTCAGCAACGTGTGAGATAATACGGGTTACTGCGCTGCTCCGATTGCCTAACACGACCACAAATAGAATTTGTGGCCATGTTAAGCGAGCGCTGTCCTCGAGTGCTGTCCTCAGCCGGCTTCCGTCGAACCTTTGGGGGGATTGCAGCTAAAATGAAGCGTTTCAGTCAGAGGCTGAAATTAGTTTTTTTTTTTACAACACCAGAAACACGAGGTTTTATTAAAATCTGTAAACCATGCAAAGAGGTTTTCAGAAAGGAAGCGTAGTTCCTGAAAAAGATGCATAACACCCCCTCTTTGAATTTAACTCTCTAGAATCTGATCAGAACCGCAGATCATCTGATCAGAAACAGGTGTCCCACAAAGCTGGGAAATAGGACAACTGATTTTAAATGTCACAGCTCTACTTTAAAGCCAAATTCAGTTGTGTAGACACGTATTGTGAATGTTATCAGGAGCACTGTGTTTACTGAACTTTATCAGAAACCCCAAACCTCCAGATTATCACTTGAACTCGATCTTGTTCCATATAGAGCTTGTCGGAAAAGAATCTTCCCCAATTAGGACATGTAACTCACCCTATTCAAAGCAGCTGAACTGATGACCAGACAGGCCTTGACCAGAGCAGAAAAACAAAGAAAACATTCTGCTTCTTGTGGTGGAGTGCTACTGTTACACAGCATGCCCCACTGCGCCAGTCTTCCTCGTGGTGTTCTGTAATCTATGCAGAGTCTCTCAGACTTCTTGAATGGAAACAATTTGCCTCACAAATGAGCCCATAGAGTTAGTCCAGCGAATGCCCTTCATGTTATCGTCGTCTGGAATCTCTCTCTGAACGGATCATTTGTTTTTGAGTCATGCTCCAAGCACTGAAGGTCCCTTCATGATAAGTCTGCACAAAGGCTTCCTGTGTCCCCCCCATATCTTTCTCTGTGGGTTTTTCAGTTATCTGTCATTGAATGGGCGCTTCTTTCTTTTCCAGCTCAAAGTATTTTCAAATACAAATTATTTAGTGTCAGCAAGAGTAAAGAGGGGGATTATGGGGGTAATAACTCATTGCGAAGCTGTGCCCCGGTCCTGTACAGACAGACACACAGAATATGTGGTTTGTGGTCAGTGTAATTAGACAAAAATCAGGAAGAACATGTCGGGGACATCTTTCCTGGGAGGGATTCAGCTATAACAGAGTGAGGGAGCTTTGAGCACATGCACTGCATAGTTTTTAGATTTAATTCAGTACATCTCGCCATGAATATCAATATACCCACTTCCTGTTTCTTATAAAGGCGTCAGCTTGATCACGATCGTGACAGAACCATGCTGTCATGTGTACAGAATGTGGTTTGGCACATCATGCTAACATGTTCAAGGGCTTCCATAAAAAAGGCATTAACTGGACGGCAGCGTATGTTTTTCCAAAATCTGTCTGTGTTGTGTATTGCTCTTAATTTTGATTAATCAGACCGCAGGGCAGTTCTTCACTTTGTTAAATGGGCCCCGAGAAGTCGCCTGTGTCTCTGGATCATGTTTACACATGGTTTTCTTTTTGCATTGTACAGTTTTATCCTTAATTCAACACATTTTGATCCCAGACAGCGGTTTTTGAAGTGATTTTGAGCCAATTCAGTGATCCCCACTCTGGAGTCAAGTCTGTTTTTAATGCAGTGTTGCCTCAGGGCCCAAAGATCACAGCCATCTAGTGTACGCCCCTTTTGTACGGATATTTTTCCATATTTTCTGAATCCTACATGGTATTATACGCTGATAAAAACACTAAATCCTTTTCTGTTTCATACAGAAGAACATAATTCTGAGCTTGTTTAACATCCCGCAGAAATGTGTTTGAAACCATTTCCATGAAGTCCTCATTCTGACTTTGCCCTCGGGGGATGCACAGTAGACACTACAGATTTTTTTGTCGTGTAGTGTGCGATGTGGAGTAGCTGTTGTTTTAGGGTTTATCTACAGGTCTTTGGTCACGGTACAAGGGAGACTGTTGTTCCTTCCACACGAGGGCACTCATCATTTACAGAAATGACAGACGTTTCTGTCAGGGAACTTGATTTATATCTCTGTGCCGTTTGCTGTGATGGTTTACCTGAACAGACCTGTTTTTGCAGCTGGATTCAAGGGCCTCTGCAGACTGCCAGTTGCGGACACGTGTGCTGCTCTGAAAGTGTGTAAAAAAAAAAGAAAGTGTCGCTTTGTTATTTTTTGATTTTCCTTTGGACTCGAGGTGTATCCGGAGAAATATCCTGTTGCGGGATTCTTGACAGCTTCATGCAGGTTAAAGATTTATGGATGGTTTTTGTTGACCCCTGGAGGTGAATGGTCTGGTGTTGGTGGGAGGCTTTAAATACTTAAAGAGTCCATGACAAATAAAGCGTTGAATTCATAGATTTCCGTTTGACATGGAGGGCAATGTTCTTACTCTTTTGAACATTTATTATTTTAACTGAAGTTTACATTATTTCTCTATTTGCACCACATGAGGTGAAATATGAAACTAATCCGTATGAATGACTGCTTTCACTTTTTCTCTCCTGTAGGTCACAGGTGTGGTCGGCAGAGCTGAACTTCTTTCGTCAATATTCCTCCTGGCTGCTTTTCTGGCCTACACTAAATCAACAAGTGCAGACCACTCCATAGGTAAGCCTCATGTGCCTCTTTAATTTTTGCTCTACAAAAGAGGAGTAGGGCCACTTAAGGAGAAAAAAAAAACAATTATTGGAAGGAGATTAAAGTCGAAACTTTGAGATCAAAGTCGAAATTTCCGGATTAAAAAAATCAAAATTATGTCAATTAAATCAAAATTTGGAGATTTAAAATTTCAAACAAAGGAAGCACTTCGCACATCTATAAAACAAGACAGGTGCGTTGGAGAAAAAAGACCAAAATGTAGCAAAGGGATTCCCGCACACTGTCCAACTTGCAATCAATCATTTATTTGCAACGTTTCAGCACTAGACCTTCATCAGGCAAACACTTTTTTGTTCAAGAGAAGCCGTCTTAAAGAGGGAGTGGTCGTTTCTCCATGACCAATCCCATTCTCACGCGTAAACACAGAGGGACAAAACCATCATTGGGTAATTTAACCAAAGAGATAGCAAATAAACAACAAAACACTTTGTGTGACATCAGTCTGAAAAAATACCCACATGTCCAGAGGAGAAATCCATAACATAGTGAATCGATTATAAATAAATCAGTATTTTAAAATATATATTTTTTAGAAGTTTACATTGTAAGTTAAAAACAGACATATTTAATGAACATATCTCCATATCTTGAACAAAAGGGCACATCTATCATCAAAATATACATCTAATAACAATGATCCGAAGTTCATTTTGTGTATTTTGAACTACACACACTTCACTGACAGTGAATGACAACAACAGAAAAAGTCATTCAGATACCGACAACTAGATAGATACTAGATGTTGTCGGTATCTGGATGACTTTTTCTGTTGTTGTCATTCAACAAAATTAAAAATTGAAATTTCAGGATTAAAGTCGAAATTTCGAGGTTAAAGTCAACATGAATTTCGACTTTTTAAAATTTCGGCTTTAATCTCGAAATTTCGACTTCAATCTCAAAATGGAAATTAAAAAAAATCTCCCTCCTCTAATTATTTTTTCTCTTTTTGGGGCCCTGATCCTCTTACATATGAGTCATTAAAGCTTAATGAGTGAAAAAAAAACTTTCTTCTTTATCAATTCATGCCTGTTTTTCCACCAGGATAACATTCATATAATTTTAAACTCATATGGTATCATACTGACTTCATCTCAAGAGCTTTGACTTAATTTGATGATGTCAATCATAAAATAACACACCACACCTTCACTTGTGGTAATGTTATTGATAACTATAGCTGTTCTACCAGTTACATTTTGTCACAGGCTGTGATCTAACTTATTATATAGCTTATTCATACTCTTGTCTTCATAACATCAAAAATTAAAGGCTTGTATTTGGTTATGACGTGGACTGATGTCACTGTTTAGTCTCTTTATCATCATGCACTACTCTGTCCCTTGGCTTTTCAGTCGCGCACACACACCCCTCCTTCCTCCTGCTTCTCTCCCTGCTCTCTTTTCTCCACCTGTTGCCCCATGAAAGTTTCCACAGCTGCAGCACAACATGTTGAAAAGAAAACCATCTACCTTTTAAATTTATTGGCATCTGCAGCTTCCTGGCATAGCTACGCATAGATCTGAGCTAATAATGGTGAAAAGCTATTTGACAAGGTGTGATGTGAAGGCAGAGAGTAAGGGTGTGTTCATTCGCCTTCATAGAATAAAATGAATGCAACCTGTCAAATGGCACAGCTATTGTTTATGATTATCATACTTTTATTATAATGGGAATCCATAATTGAAATTGTAATTTAAATTCCATGACCTGCCTTGTAGACAGGTATTTGACTGAGCTTTGAGTTCTGTCATGTTGTTGTTACCTTCATTTTGTGTGAGGTTGTGTCAGTTGAATGTTTGTCTCAGTCTGTGACATGAGAGGTTGGGATCAAACCCAGAGCCCGAGGGAAAACTGTCAGTGCAGGGTTTCCTCCAGGATTTTCTAAAACTGCAGGGGAGGGCTCTGCAGGTCTGTCTATACCTACATACAAAAACAATTAAAAGTGAGGAGTGTCATACTAATGTAGAAAAGCGCTTGAACCTCTACTACAGATGATACAGTAATGATGGTGGTGGTAACCTAGGAGACCAGGGAGGGTCACAGGTCATGCTCATGCGCAATATTGGTCTTCTTCAATGTTGCTTTTGAACCGTCCTCCATCTCCTCACCTGTCTTTTCCTCTTAGATATGGACAGCCCTATCATTAACGTTAAACATTACTGTTGCGAAAGTTGCATTATTAACATTGACATTAGGGTCAATACCTGTCTCTCACTCTTTTCTCTATTTCTCTATCCGCCACTCTCGAGAAGAACCGGACAGGAAGTTGAGATTCGGGTGTTTGTTTTTCAGAATTAAGTCATTCACAGAGACGTGTCAAATTTCATGAGTACAATTCCACACTCTTATTATGACCAGAAATTTGTGCAAACATAGACTTTATGTTTATATGGATCCATTCATAATATATAATTACATTTGAAACATCTGGGGAAAAAAGAGATTATAAATCTGAAGGCATGGTGGCTTTTATTTTGGCGTGGCAGTGCACCATGATCATTAACATGGAGCGGAAACCTTATAGTGTTTAGAAGCCAAGGGCTGACATATTCCTGGAGGGAGCTTGTTCATTCTAATTAAATGTTATTTAGCTTAATGCCAAGAAGTTCTTAAATGTCTGCTGTATTTTCTTGATTCAAGTTGTGTGACTTTGCAGAACATTTGATTTCGGTTGCTATAACTTTGTTTGACTTGTTGTGATTGAGTGTCACTTTTGTTCTAGTCCTAATTTGCCTTGTTCTGTATGGTTGTGGTTAGTAGTTCCTCTGTGTCCCTGCATGGATGGGAAACTGTCACACAGTCAAAGTTTGAGGCTTGTTAATTGCAACCCAAGAAAAGTTTCTGTGGTTCAAGACACTGTGACCATCTGTGATAAGATACTCCCAAACTTTTAATTGGGTTTTTTATAGTTTGGGTTTTTTTTTTTTTTTTTTTTTTTTTAGTTCTTTGTTCTATTCGAACTTCACAAACTTACAAAAGCCGTCTAAAGATGTCTTTGCAAACTCATGCTTGCATACTCCAAACGTGGTTGGGTGTCTCAACTGCTGCCCACTTCTGACTTATTTTTTCAGGACTTGTTTTTAGCTGAAAAAAGAAAGCAAGACCACCAAGAACGAGACTGACAACGTCTATATTGAAACTTTAAACGCTGTTTGTTCAGGTTCAGTCTGATTTATATTTGTGTTAGCAGAGCTAGCACCACCGGCTTTTAGTCCTCCCTGTAGGTTTATGTCCACATGCTCTGTTAAGAGGTTATGCGCTTGATAAACCAGACACAGGCAAATACTACCAAACCACATGCCAACTATCATGTGCTTGTTTAACATTTGAGTAGCAGAGTGATGTATTTACATTTTAGAGGTTGTTACCATTGACTCTGTATACTATGGACAACTTGGCTCTGCCTTCCGTCGTTTAACGAATTTGAAGCTGAATTGCTCTCGGTATTTTCTCTACTTCCTGGAACCATCACTTGCTCAGTAGTATTGTTTGCATTTGGGGGAGAGTCACCAAGAGTAGCTGTGATGACGCTCTGCTCAAAAGCAAAACCCCCCGGGTTAGCTATGTAAACTTCTGTATCTGGCTGTATCAAGTGTCAATCATAGAAAACATGAACCCCCTAATAACTTTTAAAAATGGAGCTGTACAGAAAAAATAGGACTTGAGCACAAACCAGTCTTACAGTAACTACATGTTGACATCACAACCACGAGGGAGAAAAGTTTATATTCTGTGTATTAAATTTCTAGTTTGGCCACAGCTCCATAGGGATTGCTGGAGGAGGTGGGATTTATGACCTATACAGCAACAGAGGGCGCTGTTATCGGGGTGGCTTCAGCCAGCAAAGAGGCAGACGCTGTCCATTGTAAATATAGTCTATTGTTGTTACCAAGTAGTAACTCTGGTTCTGACAGCAAGGAAAACGACATTTAATCCTTTAGTCCTCTAAATGTGCACGTCTCTCATCTGTGTCTCGTCACAGGCCTCAACAATAACAGTAATGATTCCCATCCTCTGGTCTGTAGGCAGTTTATGAGTGCAGATCAAGTTGCAACATTTCAGTCAAGTTTTCTCCAAATTCATCTGATCATTTGCGGAGCCTTGACAAAGCTCAGGACAGATGCATCAGAACTGTGCTGCACACCTGATTTTTTTGACACAGTGATTTCTGACCTTCACAGACACACCAGTATAAACACTGATAACGCCAAAGCCCCTTTTATTTACTGGACTGATTTCCCAAATACCTTAATGCATTTTTAAGGCATTACTCTCTCCTTCATGTCATAAATTCACCAACTAATTGCTTTGATACTGTTCTGTGTTTTGGCCACAGTCTACAAAGTGGTATCAACAGTGAGCTGTAGCCGCCCAGTGATAATGATCGTGATAGCGCCTGCAAGGCTCTCGCCCTAATGTGTTTCCATCGAAAGCGTATCGATCATTCTACAGCACGGCTTTTCTTTTTGCGGGTTTGTTGTCTTGGACTCTCCTGCCAAGTTTCTGTCAGCACTGTTTCCTCAGACACCTGGCAGCTCCTCCACTTTGTGTTCCAAATCTGAAGCTTCAAAAGACCCGATGGTTGAACTCACTGCTCCTCTCTGATGAAATGATTCATTCGATCTGTTCTCGTTAATTTAGACAGTTGAAGGTATCAAAGTTTACAACTAAAATGTCGAGTCCCATCGCCAACGAAGAATGAAAATGCTTAGAGCTTAGAGAAAATAATGTTTACAGGACAGGCTTTGATGGCGTTGTAAAACTTGATGGATGGATGACAAATTATGTGCTTGGCTAGTGTGAGATACATCCCACAACTGTCTTGACCCCACAGTGATTTATGATGCCCATGCTGCCAATAACACAATTCAAGCTTCCACTCTTTTCACACTACATAATTTAACAATGTGAAGCTTTTTCACAGTGTTAAAACCACTTGTTTTTTAAAAAACAATGAAACATTTATTTCAGTGTTTATTATCTGCTTTGTTTTATGTGATGTTTTTTATTGTTTTTATGTCTGAGTTGTTTTTGTCTTTTTATGTACAGCACTTTCTTTCAGATGTGGTTGTTTTAACCCTCAGGCACTCCTTTTAAAAAAAAAAAAAAAAAAAAAAAAAATCACATTGGTGGCTTAGCAGAAACTTTTGTTCATAAATCTTTTGACATAAAGACACACATTTAAAAAAAAAAAAGGAAAGATTTTTTGATTTTTTTGGGGGGGTTTGGTACTTAACTCTTGTCCTCTTAATGTTTTAGGGGTTAAATTACAAAAATGATGTCATATTTTTTATAATTTAACCCCTTAAATGCCAGTCAAAATATAACAATATTAAAAGACAAAATATTAGATATTTTCTATTTGAAAAATGCAAATTGTTGGAGGGGTGGAGGGATAATCAGTTCGGGATCCGTCAAAGATTATTAACAACTATCATTTTGATGGACAATATATACTTTTTTAAAGTTAAAAAAAATACAAAAAAAAACACATTAGTGCACAAAAAAATACAGTTTGTATTTGTATATATTGACATATTAAAAACATAAGGAAATTGTTCCTTTTTTTTTAGTCCTTACAGTGCTTTATAAATAAAGATGAGTTAATTTAAGTTGAAAGTTAATATAATGAAAATGTTATATTGTCTGTACACCCCACTAGAACATATATATATATATATATATATATATATATGTGTGTGTGTGTGTGTGTGTGTGTGTGTTTGTTTTGTTTTTCCGGTAGAAAGATGCTTGAACGACTGCATTGTTTTGACACATTTTTCTCCTTTGTTTCAGTTTGGACTCCCATTGCTCTGACAGTCATCCTAGTGGCTGCAGCGACACTTTGTAAGGAGCAGGGAATCACTGTCGTCGGCATCTGCTGTGTCCATGAAGTCTTTGTCGCTCAAGGGGTGAGGCTCTTAAATCTGGCCGCTCTTCATTCCCATAGGTTGTCGAAACATGTTGGCATTTCCCTGCAGAGTTCATCCAAAACACAAATGCTAATAAAAGTGTGAAAAACGTCAAGATTATTCTATTTGGGTATTTTTACTCTTCTCAGTTCACCCTGCCCATGCTGCTGGAGACGCTCCGGCAAGTGGTGCTGGGCAAAGACGGCTTTCCCTACGCTGTGCTGCAAACTCTGCTGAAACTCATCGTCCTCGTCATCAGCACCCTGCTGTTGGTCATCGTCAGGGTCCAGGTCATCCAGTCCCAGCTCCCTGTCTTTACCAGGTAGGGATGGGTTTTTAAGAGTATGAATGAGAATCTCAAAGATTCTCATTCATACTCTAATGAGTATCACTCTCCTCTCTGTTATTCTTGTCATTCATTCAAAAAATAGGCATGGCAGGGAAAAAAAGGGTAGTTTTTGTGTTGTTTGCCAGAAGATGTGCTCCTGCATGACTGATGCAAGAGAAGGGATTAGGCACTGTAAATGGAGGTGATTTAAGCTAATGCAGTCATTGTGCAAAGAGTAGAGCAGGAGTATCAGCATTAAGAGTGTACAGGAGAGACTAATCTTCCAGTTGTGTAAACAGAGATTTTACATCCTGACTCACCACCTGGTCTGAAGGTTTGAAAACACTCAGAAGACACTCACACCTGAGCACGATCATCGATTTTGACATTGACATCGACAAACATGGGATCGCTAAGTCTGCAGGGAATCAGGGTTTTTCGTGGTGTCAGTTTAGTCCACATCCCTGATCAGGATGGTCTCTAACTGACAGCTAATCTCCAATAAAAGAAGGAGTTAATACAAAAAAGAGGGGGAGGAAGATGTAGGATGATCATGTGAGGCAGAGCTCAGGTGATTGAGATAAATCAGAATTTTAAACGCATCAGATTGCAACAGATTTTAAAACTCGACCGGTTTAAAAGTGACTTTTTCTCTGAATAGTTTCCTGAAAAAAATACGAAGAGATTACTTTCAGGGACTTTCTATTACCTTGTTGGTGCATCAGATTGAAATCCGCCTTTAAAGGCCCAGCTTTATCGCTGCTGTATATTGTGTCGAGCCACGGGGCTGTGGAAAATATTCAGTCATGATACAAATGTAAATGGATTATAGAGTTATATAAAAACATTATTCTAGTCTGACGTTTTGGTTTTAGATTATATAATAGTTTATATAATGTATTTATTTATTTGATTGAAGAGGAAAATCTTCCCATGGCCTCTGACTTCCTTCAGCTGACTGACGCGACTAACAGGCCCACGTCGATTTGTGGGGCGCAGAGCTCAGCATCCAAATCAATTTCAGCTCCACTCGGATTGTTGTTCTTACTCAGTGTAGCTTGTCATTGTTAATCTCAAATGTAAACAGTTCGCACATCCAATCAGATCAAACCTGATTACATCGTTTTAATCCTCTTACATGACCATGAACTTGAGAACCGAAAAAGCTGCCGGGTTTGGTTTGATGTTCCCCCCTTTTGTTCCTTAAATGCTCTCAGATAAGTTGGTAGCATCCTAGAAAGACACCGGGCAACACTAATATTTGATACTACACCTGTTGGGCTGACGTATGCTATTGTGTGATAACTATTGTGTCAGTGGGGGTAAAGGAGAGATTGTTATCACTGTAGAGGAATTTTAGGATTAACATGATATCTGCAAAGAGCTCAGTATGAACTTTCCAGAGGCTGTGAATGACGTCTGTGCAGCGCATGACACTTCACAGTTAAGGCGTGTCTACTTGCTTGAAATAAAAAAACTAACCTAGTTTAATTAGGCAACAAGGCATTCAAACTCTTAATAATCCATTATACCAGCATATTCAGCCGCTTGAAGTGGCTTGCCACATGATCCAACAGAGGGTGCACTTATGATAACCTAGCCAATCCACACACCTCTGACTAGTGTTGGGTACCGTGAATAGGTTCCTTTTTTTGAACCAGTTCCTAATGTTTGGTTCCGGAATCATTATGCAGGTTTTTTAATCTCCTTTTTTTTTTTTTTTTTTTCGGTTCCAATTGCCCGCACTAGTTTGTGTATTACTCTGCTCGGCGTTCTCTGTGCGTCCATTAGCAAGAACATCACTTGTCTGAACATGGACTGTAGAAAATGCTCGAAAGTCTAACTTCACTTCAATTTTAAAAGAGGAGGACGGAGTTGCACAGTGCAACATCTGCAAAAAACTAGCCCATGTTCTAGACGTTAGCCCATGTTCTAGATTGACAAAGATTGATATTTGTATATTGGTTGAAAATAGCCCTGTGTGAAATTAATAGTAAAGTTCATAAAAAGTTTATATCATTTATAAATGCATGGAGAAGTTCAGACACTTCACCCAAAAAGAACTCTGGTTAGCGCCCTCATTTAAACCATGCTTTTTTCATTTATTTATTTTTTTAATCCTGCCTTATAAAAGAATTGAAGTAGTTAGGAATTCGAATCAAACCGAATCGCACCGAATAGACGTTCACGACACCAAAATATCTGAGAAGTGCTGTGTGATAGTATTCTTGGTGTTATACCATAGATGTAAAACTAAAAGACAAAGATCGGGACGTACAGTATACTGCCTTTTTACAAAGCAGCTATCGTACTCGTCAACATCATGTGAAGCGGTGACAGAGAAGGCATCATTTATGAACAACACAACAGCAACTGCTAAAGAGACGGCAGCTTAGAGAACGTGCTTCAGACGGAGGCTGAAATAATGGTTCTTTAATACACCAGTGTGAGAAACTTCCGGCTTTTTTTTGATCGGAACATCATGTGAAAGAAAGAGAAAAGCCTAAAACAAAAATAAGACCTTTTTCAATGAAAATAACTATTTTCAAATCAGACAATAATTAATCTAATTTAGATGTAATACTGTATGACTAAAGATATATAATAAGTCGGCATGGTGCACCTAACAGCGTGTGCTCTTTTGCACCCTAAAGTAAAACACAACACAAACAGAGCTGGTGAAGGACCACCGCCTACAGAAAACTGCAGCTTTATTTAAACTGGAAAACAGCAGAACTGGCACATGTCTTACATTGAGCCAATCTCTACTAAATGAGCACAAATCAGCAGAGCAAAGAGCAGAAAATCAATGTCTATATGTCTGTAAATTTAATTTGGTGCACAGCATGTCTTTGTAACAGAGGACAGTGAAAGCTGGAACACACCAGGAGACAGTCCGGAGGCAATGGAGGAATAGATGTTTTATTATTTAGATAAAGATTTGGATTAACTGAATAATAAGTCAGAAGCAGTGTTCTCTTTATTGGATAATGTGATGATTGAGCACAAACTATTTTGGCTGTACAGGGATCCACGCAGACTCAACCCAACGGGATTTGATTATGAAGATAAAATTCCAGACAATTAGCCCTAGATGTGCTAATCCTCCAGCCATAATCCTGGAGACGTCTCCAGATTGTCTGAGAGAATTTCTGCGTTCGAGCCATAACAATATAGCATTTGCAGATTATCGACATACCGGTAGTGATTAAATTTCACAGAAGTCATCATTTGAAACAAGTTTGGTCTACCCAACTGTGCAAGAAGGCATTAAGATTCAAAGGACTAGATATGTAAGAGATCAGTTTGCGCAAAGAGCAGCAGTTTCTCCATATTTGTTGACAGTACATGAAATATTCACACGTAATAGGGCTTTTTTTTTTCTTCTCTCCTTCCAAGAAATAGTGAACGCTTTACGCTTGTAAAGCACTTGAATAGGGTTCTCAGTTTGAAGCTTTGAAGACACATTCCTTTTGTCCTTTTGTAGGTCAGCACCAAACTCAGCATTCAAGAGTGTCTTGTTTTACCTGCAAGACTCATTTTTATGATTTCCAAGTAAAACCAAACATCTGCCCTACATCCCTATCTTGCACGACATCAAGGAAAGTCCTTGTTTTCCTACAGCACAAGGTAATAGAATAAAGCATTTTAGTCAACCGACGCCTAGTTATCACTTGGTTTTATCACTTGCAGCAGCTGAGCCCACAGCCGTTAAAACCCGACAAAACATGATGGTTCTACCTCTTTAAGCTTGTTCAGTCTTGATCAGAAGGTCTACTTGTAGTTATTTGTAGTTAACTGTGAACACTGAGAGGAGGGCCCTGACTCAAAAGTAAACTTGACAACCCACCCTTAAGCTAGCTGCAGCTCAGTTAGCTAGTGATGGGAATTACAGCTCTTTTTAGTGAGCCGGATCATTTGGCTCAGCTCACTCTTTCGGCTCCCTAACGGCTCTTCATTTGACCACTTGTACATTTTCTAATTAAGCCAAATTTAGCGTTGTTTGGCTTATGATATGTATGTATGTGTACACATACCTCTTAAATAATTCAATACATCCTTTGTACTGAAGTATTCACAAGTAAAAATAATGTTTTCTAATACCAGTAAATTGCTGTAGCCAATTGTTTTCATTGTATTTACAGACCCTTGTAACTCTCTGAAACCGCCCAATGAATGCTCTGGCTTGCTTGTAAAACCACTCTGCTACACAAGGCAGATCCCTTCATTCTGCTTTGTAGTTTCCTTTTCTATGGTCTGTGGGGGCAAAAAAGAGAGAAAAAAAGAAAAAAAATGTCTCACAGACGGGAGCTGGCACCCATCGTTCACGTTAAAGAGCCAACTGTTTGAACCGGTTCATTCACGACTGACACATCACTACAGTTGGTGGCCTCCTGACTTTCTTTTCTTTTCTTTTGTCAAAGAAAAATGCAGTTTTTTTGCTATTAGAGATGGAACATTCATGAACGAGTCAGTTCTTTGAACAGCTCTTTTAAGTGAATGATGAGAAACGGTTCACAGTGACGAGCCGTTTGTTGGCTAGCTGTTCATATATTCAAAAATATTCATGCTGCCTTCATGTGTCACGTGTGTGCCCCAGACACAAGGTAAGGTAGTACAATTCTGCATTCACATTTCTGTCACATCTTAATTTTATCAGTTATCTATCAGCCGGCGTAGTTTTTATTGTGCCACGTGTTTTAGGTGAGGGAAAATTTCAAAGTAGTGAACTCGCTGTCAAAGCATGGGGATAAAAACAAAACAAAAACACAAACGAAATGAAATTTTAATCAATATTTCTGAATAATTCCTACCCATATGCACCCCTGGTTGACTTCTAAAAAAATAAATCAATATAACGCTGAGCCAGTCTTTTGAACGGCTCTTTGAAAGGAACTACTCCTCGAGATCCAGCTCCCTTCAAAGAGCCATAAATCCCATCTCTAGTTGCTATGGTTCTGCTTGATTTAGTGTTTAACGGAGCAGTTTAAACACAAAAAGTAATGATGCTTGTGTGTCCAAATGTGGGTGACCTTTGGGGTTTCATTGATTTACGAGTTAAATTAGCAGCTCTAGTACGTTTTTACTCAGCCTGTAAGAATGGAAGTGTAAATACTGACATGTGGTTTAGATAAACATAATCACATCCTTTTGCTGTCTCTTTTGGCACACCGTAGTTAAGCCACCACAGGGTCTTCCCGCTTCCTGCTGCTTCCATTACAGGGAATAATAACACCACTGTGCTTTGACATAGCACATTTCACTTTGAGAAAACTCCTAAACGGCTCAGTTTACAAGTCAAAACAAATATGCACTTGTGTCAAAATCAAAATATCACTTTTGAATTCAAGCTACCACCTACAAGCTGAGCATATAGAAGGAGCTAGTTGGATGGATGCCAGCAGGCAACTGCATCACAAAGACCAAAAGATAATGTTTAAGCAAATCCCCACAGACTTGTGAACAAAAACAAAATGAAGACGCTCAGTACAGCACCCACGGATATAATGGATGGCTGTCTTGTACCTCTAAGGTGTTGTTCTGGACCACTGTGGTGAGGCAGTCCAGCATTTATTTAAATAACATATCTGAAACTGAAGACCATAAAGTGCATTTCATTGATTCCCAAGTGAAGACACTGCTGAGAATTTTTTAAGACTGTTTCTGTGGGCTTGGAAGTGGCTCGAAATGCAAATCAGCGGAAAAGTGAATGTTATAAATTGATTAGATATTAAAGGATTAGATATTAAAATTCTGTTACGAATCACAATTTCAGAAATTCATCTTTGAAAGCCAAGAGGAGTTTTTCGATCTACTTTCATTATTTAAGTTTCTTTTAAAGCTGTTTGATTGGGACAAATAACATCCAGTGCAAACTTTAAAAATATTTCCACACTTGAAGTTAGTGGTGTCCTTATATGATATTGGTATCAGATATCGGTGCTATATCAGCAAAAAAAACAAATATCAGATTATATCGGCCTCCATCAAAAATATCCGATATCGGCACTCCGATACAAGCAGCCCATTCCAGACTCCGCTCTGGCACCTCTATCAAGCAGCACCTGGATCCAGCATGCAGAGCCCACAAAATCACAACAACAGCGTGTACTAAGGTACTAACAAAGTAGTAAGGAGTAGGAGTGATGTCGGCCCTGTGGCAGTATTTTCATTAAAGTCCGGAAAAGATGTTGCAGCTGGGTGCAAAACTTGTTATGCACAAATTTGTGCCAACATGGGATCAATATCGTTATCGGCTGAAACTGAAGGCTACAATATTGGTATCGTATCAGAAGTCAAAAAGTTGTATCGGGACACCCCTACTTGAAGTCTCAACGTACATTTCTAAATGCATTTTTTTACGATGTGGACTCAGCCATTGCTGGCTTGTTACAGCATGTTTTCCCCACAGCCTCTCCTTCCTCATGCTCACTCTGCTCCTCTGCTTTACTACCGCACACCTACTCCTCTCCCTGCTCTGCTCTCTCCATCTGTGGCTGCATAATGGTTCATACCGCTGTAGCGAAATATGTAGGAGATACAGCGACCTTCACTTTACACCCTGTAGGGCTGGTTATATTTACGATGTTTGAGTATAGATTTTTACAGATGCATTGATCCACTGGTTCCAGCCCTGGGCATGGATCCTTCTCCTCCTGTCTCTCTCAGTAACTTTTAAAGCTCAGTTATTTAGTTTTCATGATCATATGAGGACAAAATCGCAACTGAGATTGAAAATGTATGAATTGCCTAACTCGTGTGTCTGTGTAGAAGATTTATATCTGCTATCTGTCATTTTTGGGGTCAAAGAATAGCAGTAGTGATGACTCAGTAATTGGATCTTCTTCCTTCTGACTCTTAAGATGTCCTATTTGGCAATTTGTTGTATGATTAAGAGTCACAGAAAGAAAATATGTTCAAACTGATTTTCATGAAAAAGTTGAATTGGAAAGTTGCCAAACACACACTCAAGACGATAAGTCCTTCACATTTAACCGCAGTTTGAACTTTCCTTATCAAACAGTAACTTCCACACAAAGCATCTTATTTACAGAAAGATCTAAAAGAAGTTGAGAAAGTTTGCTCCAGTTTCTGAAGGAATGTAGACCATTTTTAACCATGATGGCCTTTTCTTGGTTTCTAAAATAATCTCAAACTATTTCCAGGGTTCAAAAAAAGTCTCATAGTAAGATCTCATCCACCAACTTTACAGTTGTTATGGTGAGTTTAGGGTTGTTATCTTAATAACAGATTAAGATTAATAACAGGGATAATTTCTACCAGACTGGATATAAAAAGAGTGAAAAAGTAAATCCAAACATTATTATGTTGAACTTAGCGTGAACATATTTAAATGTAACGTGCAGGCTCCATCACATGCCATCCCTCCTTGCTTTTCCTGATTTATTACATGCTTTGGACTGATAAAGAACAAGATACAAAAGCAGGTATGTTGACAGGTTTTAAATACTGCCGCAGAGTCCAAGCTAAACAAAAATCAGTAGACGATTTGATAGATACTTGGCCTCAGTGCTTATTATAGTGTATCCATCTCAGTTAAAGAGATGGCTAAGATGGCACCTCGGCAAGCTTTGAAGAAAGAGGACACTGTTATCAACAAATACATAAAACCAAACATGTACTATTTAATGGCATATCTTTAATTGTGATAGATAACTATGGAAGCCTCAGGCCAAAGACAGATACTATCAACAAATACAAATAAATGTTATCATATAGACAGTTGTAAAAAGATTACAAACCACACAGACATTCCAATTGAATCCTAAGCCTTTTCACATACAGTAATATCCTCAGTTTTTCATTTGGCATGGATCATAAATTTGGAGATAAAGCTTCTAATTTATTATCCCAAATGTGAGGCCAATCTAGATTCGAGGATAAATGTGGGCGAGAAAAAAAAAGGAGTAAAAACAGATTCTGCTTGTCCCTTTTCTTTGACCGGTTAACCGTTTTTTGCCAAAATCATGTTATTTGTGTCATTTTCAAGGGCTTTTCTTCTGCAGAGCTACAGTAGATCATTATCAATTCGCCTCTGAGTCGTGGGCGGAGACAGCGCTGTTCTGATCCCTCCTCTTCATGCTAGCTTGCAGTCTAACAGTGCCGGTGTAGTAGAAGTAGCAGGTAACTTAGGAGCTATTTAGCTCTTGGACACTAATGTCTTTGGGGGCATGATAAAAGTTAATATCATAATTAGCTTTCGTACAAGCTTTGCAATCCACTAATGCACACGCTTGTTCCACGATCTTCCTCTCTACTTCTTCGAGTCTGGCCTCTAAAGCGGGGCTCCGGGGGGCGGAGTTTGCAGTTGTGACCTAGGAAATCTCACCGTGTCTGAGCCTGAGATTCACAGCAATTTGAATGCAGAAATACTCATGATACTTTCCTCATTATATGTCCTGTAGCAGCAGAAAAAAAGCCATATGAACATTTAGACAACAAGAAAAACATGATTTTCATCAGAGTGGGTCTTTAACCTTTAATCACCCAAATCCAATCAATAAGAGAAAAAGCAACAAGCAGGTTTTTATTTAGTGCCTAGAAAGAACTAATTGAATTTTGCTGACCTGCATGATTTCCTGTTTTCGCCCTATATTTCCTACCTTGGAGCTAAAAGTTAGTTAAAATTGGGCCAGCTGTTCTGGATTGATTTCATGATGATTATTATCTTTTTCTCTTTAGCATCCCCTCACAGTGTGATCACAGCTTTGATCTTTATTTGACCAGAAAATGAGTTTTATTGGAGTTAAGGTCTATTATCTCCTGCTGACAATATTCAAAGATTTACGTAAAAAAAAAAAAAAAAACTTTCCAATCATCAAAAAACAGAAACAGAGTCATTCAACATTTGGTCAAAGACTCGGCTTCATAATCGGTTTTATAATAAACTGATGAACAAGAGTGGGACCCTGTTAGTGAGATTTGGCCGTTATAGTTTATAATCACAGTTTCAAGCATGGTTAGGTTAAGAGACGATGTTCTTAGCCAGCCTCGACATGTTTAATTATAAGTCGATCCACAGTCTCTGAAGTGGCTGCCCCACAGTCCCTGAAGATATTTTATCTGGTGGAGGTTTTAGTGGCCCTGAAGCGCTTGGCAAATACATGTGCTATGCTGTGTGACAGACTCTTGAAAAGGTCAGAATCACAAGAGTAAAAAAAAAAAAAAACAAACCAAAATGTGTTTGCATGCCTATCCAAGATCTAAGTTAGCAGGGAAAAAACCTTCCCAATTATGTCTTAATGCAGACAAACTCACCGTGTTCTTCTTGTTTCTCTTAATATGCTTTATCTCTTTCTGATCGCTGTCTCTCCTGTGTGACTTAGGTTAAATCAAATCATCCAAACATGGATTTAATTGGCTGGGCAGCATCATGTGCAAAGCCTGCAGCTGATCTGCGTGTTTCCCACCAATACTTAATCGAAACTCTACGTCTGTTTGTCATACCCTATAAAGTTATTCAGACATTAAAATCATTTCCATTTCATCATGTAAAATAAAAGAAAAGACTTTTACTCTTTCTGCTTTTCTCGAGCTTTATCGGTTTCCTATCTTTGTCCTCTTTTAAAGGTTCGATAACCCAGCAGCAGTCAGCCCCACTCCGGCCAGACAACTGACTTTCAACTACCTTCTTCCTGTGAACGCATGGCTGCTGTTAAATCCCTCTGAGCTCTGCTGTGACTGGACCATGGGCACCATCCCTCTGGTGGAGTCACTCCTGGACCTTCGTAACCTGGCCACCCTGGCGTTCTACACCTTCATGGGCCTGCTAGCTTACCACAGCCTGCGCTATAGACACAGCTCTGCCAAGACTGTCATCATGGTGAGTGGAGGTGTTGAGAGATTATCAAAATGCTCTCTAAAACTCTGGGGCTGTATTTTAACTTTGTATCATACTCAGTAAGAGGAAAAATCTGTCCTGTTTTTCTGTGTACGGTCTAAAGTATGATTTAATACACAATCCATGCATCCACATGGGCCTGGAGTGGTTCAATGTAGTCTGTAATAATTCATTATGGAGAGTAAACAGAGGCTTCACTGTGTGGATGTGTGTGTTTATCAGACAGAATATATTGTCTGCTCTTTGGGCTGTAATCAGAGACTTGAATCTGAACTTAAACTCTTAATGAAGAGGAACCGCCATGCTTATGAGCAGTTTTATTTCACTCGGTCTCTGTACTCAATAATTGACCTCCGCTCTGCTGCTCATGCACATGATCCCTGTAGGGCTGCACGATTTGGCCAAAAATAAAATCCCGATTTTCTTCTCTAAAAACTCGATTTCTAACTTTTTATCAGTGACAACTTCACCAAACTCTAAAAAAGTTTTTCTATCATCTCTCAAAACAAAACCACTGAAAACAATGCAGTGCATATGCCAGGCCAGTAAGTGGCGCTGTAATGCACAAAAGACAGAAGAAGAGTACAAAGCATGTGTATAAAGGTTGTTTTGGCCGGACACGCGCAGGCGCCATAAAAGAGTTACGCTGTGTGTCACATGATCGTTTCTAGAGATGCAGATAGACATCCACACTGAGATGAAATGGTAGTCGTTTACAGATTGATTAGCTCTTTGACCCATTTTCAACAAGTACTGTTTACAGTCACCGAAACACCAAAAAAAATGTGCGTTTCCTCCTGAATTCGTTTCCGTGTGGACGGGTTGATATCGCCTTCAGACAGACTTTGCAGTTGGGAGTGGTTTACTCTTCATCCAAAAACTGCGAAGTCGTACCAATTCCTCATGACTGACTTTCTCTTGTCATATTTAGCCAGGAAATTATCGCCTTCTTTTGCAAACGCCATGTTTGGTCACACTGGTGTGTGTGGGAAGTGGGGAGCACTCCCACAGGAAGGGCCTGGAGACACACGACACGATAGAGAGGAAAATCGATTTGACGATTTAAAATTTTCTTAATATCCTCTTAATCAAATAATCTGATTCCAATTTAAAACCGATTTATCTTGCAGCCCTAGACCCCAGCTTTCTCTCTCTCTCCCTGCGCACAACTGAATCTTTTCCCTGCGTTTCTTAAGGACTGATGGAAGTGAAAGAAGAGACAGTCAGAGGAGGAGAGAGAGCAGCAAGACTTTGTTTTATAAATGTTTGTGCTGTAAAAGTCTGCCCTTATTTTCACTACACAGTATTCAAGTGACCAGGATGGCAGAGATAGATGGTTAGATGGTTATTTAGCAGAATTCACTGTTTTAAGTTACACCGTTTAGAGATTTGACTGCTGCATTGGTGAGAATACTGTGGTTGAGTTCTAGTTGTTCTGTTAGAGAATCAGTAACCACTGTTCCAGTCGTTTATGGGAAGACTTGAGGTGAAACACTTAAACCCAAAAAGAACCTGTGAGCATTCACTTGAAAGTGTTGAGCTGTTTATTACTCAACAGTCTGGGTTTTCTCAGGCATGTTTCCTCCTTGAGTGTCAAATATAATCTTTCCTTATAAAGTACTTCCATTTTTACTTTTATAAGTTCTCAGACTGTAGGGCCTCTCTTCCCTCGGTTACTAAACATGTGTTAAATCACCTCGGACCGCTTAGACTTACATGAATAGTTTCATGGGATAAAAAAGGTTCACAAATGAAAGACTTTCTTTTGTGCTTATTTTTTCAGCCTCAAAATAAAGACGTCGAACTGCACATTACTTAAGAGTTTCTTGGAGATCAAAGCCACATCAAAAGTTTCACAGGAACTCGGGATAATGAGACTTAATTCCGCTCCGCCCGGGGTCAGAACAATTTAGCCAGTCTTTCATTTTTCTATTTCTTTGGATGTGATTCATCGACTGTAGTGGACATGTCTTTTCCAGACTCTCCACTTTATTCTGTGTTAGTTTACCGTCGATAACACTTGTTTTGGTCCTACTTTAGCAACTTAACACGGCCGAATGAATGTGTGAATATCTGAATAAACTGGCAACAGAAACGAACTGTAGATAGAGAGAGGAATAGATAGATGGATGGATGGAGAGAACAACTGATGGATGGAAAATAGAGTTGAATTCAACCAATCAATCTTTATTTTTATAGCACTTTTCATAAGCGGCACAAATTGTTTTACAAAAAAGAAGAGAAAAAAAAAAAGAAGAAAAGAATAGCCGACTCTCCTCCCACCCTATCCCCGTCCTCATCCCTTCATCCCCACCCCACAATCCAAGCACAACAGAAGTGAGTTTTAAAATGCATTCACTTAAAAAAACAAGTTTTAAAATAAGTTAAAAAGAGCTCGATTTAGAAAAAAACAGGCATACGCACACTGAGGAAACGCCGTCTTAAAATTCAAGATGAGGAACCACTGGAGGTCGGGTTAAAATCGTGAGAAAAAGTAACACAAAATGAAATTTAAGAACAAGGATGTTACTACCATTTTGGATACAAAGCTGACAGATTGGTGATAAAATGATAGATTTTCCAGACAGTTGCGTGCACACCAACAACATCAGTGCTTCCTGGAGTGATTGATACCCTGTTGTGTTGTATGACCATGCTTTTTTTTGTTTTCAGTAAGAACAGGTATGCAGGAAACCGAGCAGTCTGACATTTTCTTCTTGTTGCAGCATGTTCTCATTTAGTCATTTGAGATGCACTCTATGACTACATGCCAGCAGATATTATTTCAATGAGTCTGCTCTGCATGTTTATATTCGGCATGTTAAACAAGTTTTACATCTCCGTACCGTCTGTAGCTCCGCAAAACTTTTAGCCACGCCACGCACATTTATATTGTAGATTTTTTCCAAGAAAGAGATTTACAGATAGAAAGATGGAAAGATAGATGACGGATATAGTGGTGAACAGAGGAGAAGAGGGACAGCTACATGAATAGATAGATGTTATACAAAGATTTACAGACACAGAGAAATAACAGCCGGAGAAATAAAACACAAGCCCTCACTTGAGCTCTTTGGATATGAACGAGTGGTGACTCTTCATAGCGGCAAAAAGAAACAAATTAAAATCTGTTGTGCAACCGTCTCGCTCACTTTAAGGTCAGTAAACTTCCTCAGAGTGCTGCCCTTCACTTCAGCTTAGAAAAGGGCACCACATATCAACACAAAAAATAAAAATAAGATATGACCTCTGCTGTGTTTACTCTGGTTTGCTGGGAGTGTTTTGCAAGATGTTGTGTAACAATATGATACCACATCAACCTACTTAGCTTCTTCTTAAGGCTGCCGCTCTCTAACGGGAGACAAGAGATGCATTAAGCTATTTCACACACTGCGGGGGTTTGATCCAAAGTGCTTTTTTACCTGTAGTGATTGCTTTCTGCAGAGGGTAGAATTTGACTTTTGTTTTTCTCCCTTCTTTTATAATCGGGTCACTGCCACGCTTAAGCTGAAAATTACAATTAGGACTTCCTGCAGCCAAAGTTGGAGGCTTCATATTTGGTGCATTTCATGCTACCTTTGACTAACACAGTTAAATCAACCAAATTTTTCATTTGAAACTCTACCCAGTGCTGTTAGCGGATAAAGAAAACCACCACATTTGAAGCAAGAGGCCCTGAGGTGTCTGTTTATCTCAGCTGTTAAAAGGTGCACCCCACTCATAAAGTCTACTGTCTTCAATGCAGGAAGCCCGGGCTCAAATCCAACACAGACCTACTATCAATGAGACCTGAAAAGCTCAAAGTAATCTTAGAGGATGTTGCAGGAGTCTTAATGCTTGATCCTAGGAATAAATTTAAGGAAATGTACTTATCCACCAGCCTCCTTTTTTCAAACTGTAAGAAAATGCCTTTCAAATAAACACAAGTGTGGCTTTAAGAAAAGGTTGCAACTCAGAGCTGGGCGATAAAACGATAACGATATCAAAAATTAATTTCCCTGAATATCGATATGAAACATGGTCAGTATGCTTTTCGATAGCCGGCATTCTGCCATGTTTTGGTAGACCATACGAATAGCCAATAAAAAGAGGATTTGCTCTGGGCCCGCTTCACGCTGAACCGGTCATGTGTTGAATTAGAACCAAACAACTGCGTAGTAGCAGGCTGCAGCAACACGCCCCCTAGCATTTTAAGAAAATAAAAAAAGAGTTCCACCCCCGGCAGAAACGCAGATGAATGCTCAACAGATGACGACATTGTCACGAAAACATCAGTGGTGTGCTGCAAATTATGTCAAGTACATGTTACCGTAAAGTCGGGGAATACCTCAAATCTTTTTCACCACCTGAAGCCAAACGGCAGAGCACGTGCAATGCAAAAGTTTACAAACCAAGAACAGAGCAAGTGTGAAGCAGCCCACGGCGCCTTTGCGGTTAGGAACAGGGAACATTTAAGATTGACAGGTGATTTTCTTATATTGTGATATATAACGATATCAACTGGTATGAAAAAAATATATCCTGATAAACTTTTCCCATATCGCCCAGCCCTACTTCAACTAGAAGTCTGAACCATACAGTTGCACTAAGGTCTGTCATCTATAAAGGAAAACAGCTTAAAATTCTCACGATAAAAATTTTTTGATGTTTGTAAAAAATAAAAAATGACATGAAAATCCTGGAACGTTTATTGATGTATTTACTTCGATTTTTTTTTTTTTTTCCTGCATGTTTTCAGAAAAGAGTATCTGTACGTCTGACTGTTGGTGCTCTCACTTTCTCTCTCCAGGCGCTGTCTTTGATCGTCCTGCCTTTCGTACCTGCATCCAACCTCTTCTTCCCTGTGGGTTTCGTCGTGGCAGAGAGGGTCCTTTACGTGCCCAGTATGGGTTTCTGCGTCCTTGTTGCGCATGGATTTAAAATTATCTCACAGAAAGGGTAAGTACTATCTTAAAAAATGTTGTCACTGCCTTGAGTGTATTTAATGTTACATCTGATATATTTTGAAAAATGCATCGCGACAACGATGAAAAGTTCAAACTTTGTTTACCTTTGCAGAAACCTGAAGAAGATTTCCTGGTTGATAATCGGAGTCCTTTTAACCACACACGCGTTAAAAACTTTCAACAGAAATTGGGATTGGGAGTCAGAATACACTCTCTTCACCTCAGCCCTGAAGGTAAGCAGCAGAGATGATTTAGGCAGCGTCAGTGTTTCTTGGCTGTTCGCCACTGTCGGACTGCAAAATCTTGGGTTTGATCACAAGGTGATAAAAGATTTGTTCAAACATGTGACTCAGCTTTTATCAAATGATAATGATGGATTACTCTGAAACCTAACCGAGTGTTTCACTGACATGTTCTTAAATTGTCTGATACTTCAGGTCAACAAGAACAATGCCAAGCTGTGGAATAACGTCGGCCACGCTCTAGAGAACCAAAATAATTACGCAAGGGCCCTGCGGTATTTTCTCCAAGCCACTCGTGTACAGCCAGGTAAGGAACACAAACACGGTTTTTAATACATAAACGGATTATTTTGACATCCAAAAATGTGACTATTCTATCTCATGTACCCATACTTATTAATAAAGGTGCTATTTCTCTTCTAAATATAAACTTATTTTCAAGCAATTCATACATAATGTCCACTGTGGTTGAACTAGGGCTGCACGAATTTGGCAAAAAAAAAAAACGAATTCAGATTTTTTTCTCTGAAAACTCGATTTTAGATTTCGATTTTTTTATTCAGTGACAACTTAACCAAATATTACTTTAATAATAAGTTTTTGTATCATCTCAGAAGAAGAGTACAGAGCATGCCTGTAAAGGTTATTTTGGTCGGGCACGCCCAGGCACTGAAGAGTTACACTGTGTGTCACATCATCGTTTCCAGAGATGCAGATAGACATCCATACGGAGATGAAATGGTCTTTGTTTACAGATTTATGCACTCTCGTTTTCAAAAAGTAACGTTAACAGTCACATGAAACGCCATTTCCGTGTGAATGAAACGCTGATACGACAAAGAACTTTTGCATTTACTCCTGAATTCATTTCCGTGTTGACGGATTGACACCTATTTAGCCACGAAATTATCACCTGCTTTTGCAAACGCCATGTTTGTTTACACTGGTGTGTGTGGGAACTGGGGAGCCTACGGTGGCCTGGAGGTGCGAGACATGATAGAGAGGACAATCGATTTGACGGTTAAATTTTTTTAACATCATCATAATGAAACAATCCAATAACGATTTAAAATTAATTAATCGTGCAGCCCTTGGTCGAACTAAAATATTTACAGTCATTTTGTCACATTCTCATAATTTTTTTTAAATTGTGATCATTCGTTATCAGAAGCACAAAATGTTACATAAACTCTAAGATTATTCCTTTTTTTTATATAATATTCTAAACCATAAAATGTTGTAGATTAAACAACTTTAGAAAAAAAACAGTCTTCAGTTTAGATAAGAATTTTAAAAAGTACATTTTGTTTTCTTTGTGTACATTTTATGGAATACAAAAACCATCCATTATTTAGAAATGGGGTAATATAATAAAGAATAAAATAAGACTGTTCCAGTAATGAACAGTGAAAAACCTGACTCAACACGACATGTTGGTGATGCTACTGCCTTCCACATCAAGTAAAACTCAATGAGTTCATGTGTCTGAGATTCGGGGGTCTTATGTAGGATAACTTTACAAAATAAACTTACATGCACTCAAAGTAGAACTTCATCTTGTCCCAAAATAACAAACCATCCCCAGAACATCTAATTAGATAACGAGTCAAGGGGACTGTGTGTCCCTTTAATTTGTTCTGGATTTTAATTACTTGTTCCAGAGACTTGTTGCTATTCTTAGTGACTATTATAAGTAATTCATGTGCTCTCCAAAAAACTTGTTTCAACATGCACCGAACAAACTACACTCACCTTATGCGTAAGTGTTATGCTATTTTGTACATTAAAGGTGAATCAAGAGTGAGACAAGCATGTCCTAGAAACCTGCTTTGCTTTATGGTTTAGTTTTCAGGAAGTTTGGCCTCAGCTCTAAAATCAACACTTCTGTCGGTTCACCACCCAAGAGTGTTTCCCTAAGATTACCAACATAAACAAGTAACCCTTTGAGGATTTCCTGCAAAGCCAATAATCAGCATCAGTTCAGCGTGTCCAGGCTGACCCTTTTTCAATGCGTCTTCTTTATCAGAGTGTTCCCAGGGACTTTAACAGTGCCTCACGTCTGCTTAAAACAAAAGGTGGATTTTACTTTAATGACATCATGATCGTCGTATTTATTGTTACTCATGCTAACCAGTAGTTCAGCAAACTTCTGTGGTGAAACAAAACAAAATAGGAAGAATGTGTTGAAGTAGAACTGAGAGATTTAAACATAATCCAGTTTGGAGTTGACTTTTTCCCTGTTTCTCGTTTTGACTCCATACTTTATTCCTGCAGACGACATCGGTGCTCATATGAATGTTGGAAGAACCTACAAGAACCTGAACAGGTCCAAAGAGGCAGAAGAGGCCTACCTGGTTGCCAAATCCCTCATGCCGCAGGTATCATCATGAATACACAGTCAGTCTGGAGATGTTTGACAAGTTTCATGAAGCTGAGAAAAAGTTTAAAAACATTCAGTGTTTGTTGCTTCACTCAAACCCTCATAATTGTGTTACTGTATTGTGAGAGAGAGTGAAAGAGGAGAGTGTTTCACAGATGCAGAGGCTGAAGTTGGGATATGGTGCACATAAGACACTTGTTTCTCTACAACTATAAGTTTATTCGGTCGAACATCGGTATCAGCAAGTATCAGCGAGTGTGTCACACATTGAAGTCAGTAGTCGATGTTTGTCTGTCGTATCATCACATTAATGTAAATCTGGAAAGCTATCACACCTTTTGCCAATCCAGAGGAGTTTTTTAATTGAGCAGAAGAAGCCCTCCTCCTAAAATAAGACTGAGTTAAATATTCAACGATGAGAGAAAATGTGTGCAGTGTGGGAGTACTCAGAAAACATGAGGAAGTTTTAGGAAGATAATATCAGAAAGCTATGCGTCAGTTTTCTGACATTTCCCCTTGTCATTTTTCTCGAGAAACTCTCATCTGTCAGCTAAGGTGTTGTTGCATTTTTGTGAGTGTGTAGGTGTGTTGTTATTCTTTGCCACCAAGTTAAGACAGGTCATTTGGTGCATGATAGGTCTCATCATGATTAGATTCTAGCAAGGGATTCCACCTCACCAGTGGTTCTCATGCTCGGTGGAATGTAAATCAGCCTTTTAGACAAAACTTGGGACAACTTCACTCTAGGGCTGGACGATTATGGCAAAATAAAATAATCACGATTATTTTGACTAATATTGAAATCATTTCAAAACCTGAGTAAACCTGACTTTAAATAATACTTAAAAGAACAGCTAGGAAAAAACTGGTAACAAGTAAAAAAATAAAAACAATAATAGTAAATTTAAACAATGATAGCAATAAAAACAATAAATATTAATTAATGACTGCAATGATGTGAATAAATACATGCAGTCCTGCAAAACTTGCAACATGCAAAAAACACAAACAAAGAAAAGAAAAAAAATGAGGACAAAAAGGATTGTCAACAAAGTGCTTTACTTCCTCAGCTGTGTGATCATCGATAACTTAATGATGCGTATACTCTGCGTGTTTACTCCGCAGTGCAGCGCCCATGTGCACATGCATATACAGCACGAGTTAGAGACACATAAATTAAAAGAAAAAAGAAAAAACTCATTTTTAAGGTGTTGCGGCGCGCCACGGACAGTTGCACATCAGGGAAACCTTGAAAACAATTTCCTTTTGCTCGACTTCTGCCAACTCGAAGCTAAAATGTTTCCAGGTAACTGAAGTCGTCCTACTTTTCTTCTCAACCAAAGGCTGCCTTTCTGCCATGTTTTCAATCACTCGCTCCTCATATTATTGATCCACACACATCACACGCTTGCTGCAGCTACACATCACAGGGGTGCATTCAGGGTGTTTCTCCAGCACAGGAGAAAGCATTTAACGTCTTGTTTTTGTAATCGTGCAAAGCCAAATCTGAAATCATGATTAAAATTTGATTAATCGTCCAGCACTACTTAACTCCTCTGAGTTACTTTCCTCTTCATCTGTCCACTGACAGATGTGTCACTCCTGTGGATTTTGTCTCATCATGACTGACAAACAGCCGTAAAATGTTGTGGTGGTTGGACCCTCTAATCTGTCACCCAGGCTGTAAAAACGGTGACTTTTGTGTTAACAGGTTATTCCGGGTAAGAAGTATGCAACGCGTGTGGCGCCCAACCATCTGAATGTTTACATAAATCTGGCCAATCTGATCCGAGCAAACGAGTCGCGGCTGGAGGAGGCTGACCAGCTCTATCGACAGGCAATTAGCATGAGGCCGGACTTCAAACAAGCTTACATCAGCAGGCAAGATCTTTTTATTCTATTCTTTCATGTTTGCGGCATTAAGATTTCACTCTTTGGTGATGACTTATCAGATTTAACCCTCCGTGTTGCGGTGAGGTGTAACTGAGTTGAAACACAACATTTAGCACTGATAGAAGGTCTAACAGTTAACAGATAAAAAAAAAGAAACTGATAAAAAAAATATGTCTGTCTGTACTACAGTAGGTTACAGTAAATTCCCTCTCTGCTAAGGTTGGGCTCCTTCAGTCTATTGTGTCTCTGCCAAAATAATCAACAAACAAGTTAGCAAGAGGCTTACTGGCTGTATGTCAAACAGTCACAAGATGGAGAACTTCACAGTTTTGTACCTTCACCGTGCACATCGTAAGCTAGCTTCATCTTGTTTACCTAGCTTCCAGGGGTGGGAATCACGATACGATGTAATCACGATGTAATCACGATACTTGGGCCACAGTACGATATTATTGTGATTTTTTAACATTTTGCAATAGATTGAATATTGCAATGAAATTTGTTGCGATTTATACAATTTGTTCAACTGTTTAGCTGATTTAGCGTTTGTCTTTCTTTTATGTTTGTCTCATTTAAACTATTTTATTTTCATGTAGCACATCTTGCAAATCTTACATGTATTTGTTGTACTAACTTTCCTTTGCTCTATGAAGTCAACTCTGCCAACCTCACTGGACAAACAGTTGATTTTATTTTTCATTATCATAGATTTGACTTTCTATTAGCAATTAATTAAAAAAAAATTGATTCTTGGTAAATGAGACGAGATAATATATCACCAGACAAAATATCGCGATACAATTCTATATTGATTTTTTTCTCCCACTTCTACTAACTTCTTTCTATCGATTTACGCTGTTGGACTTCCAGGTCAAAACCCGGTTTGTAAACTGCGTTCATGTCATGAAGCGAGGAGTTGACACATGCAAAAAAAAATTTGAAAACATCTCTTGTTTACAGTTTCTTACTTTACTATGTTCTCGCTGAAATGTAACCAAAATTCCACCAGTAATGAAAAGAGCAGTGACACACAGTAACCCGGTCTAATTTCATTCATATTAAACTGTTTCTATCATTAAATAACATTATTCCAGTACAGAGAGATAACGTTCAGAAATACCAAGTAATAAGACACAAACTCTGGGAACCACACAAGATCTAAAACCCTGATCTTCTGCACGGCAGGTTGAGTTTCAATAATGGTTAAAAAAAACAACTTAATTCATTCAAACTTCTAAGTCTTATCTTTTGTCTGCCCTTCTCACTGCCATGGCATGACAAATATTTGACTACTTGATTAGCTACTTTTGCATTTCAGTGGAAACAGACTTTAAATACCAGAGAAAAAAGATAAGGGAAAAAAAATGTTTTAATTCTAGTAAGAGTCTAATTGTTCTTGCTTTTGCTTTGTGATTTTGTTTTTACTTGTGTGGATTTCTTTCTGACTCAAGAGGGGAGTTGCTGCTGAAGATGAACAAGCTCACAGATGCCCGGGACGCCTACCTCCGAGCGCTGGAGCTGGACCGTACCAACGCTGACCTGTGGTACAACCTGGCGATCGTCAACATCGAGATGAAGGACCCCACGGAGGCCCTGAAAAACTTCAACCACGCCCTGGAGCTCAACCCTCGCCACAAGCTGGCACTCTTCAACTCGGCACTTCTCATGCAGGAGTCTGGTGAGTGAGGCCTGCCAGGTCTGTCACGAGGAAGAGAAATGTACCACCACCTCCAGCTGGAGTGAAAAGCTCAACCCCCGCTGTAGGAAAGCATTACTTGACATTTATCTGCACCCTTCTTTCACGCTAACTCCTCTGAACAAAGGAAATAAACTGATATTACCTTTAGGGTGTAACCAGGTTCTTAAGAGCGGCCCTTATGTTGCAATGAACCCTACGTGCACCGGCACAGAATACGGGGCCAAGTTTCTGTCGGGTCATGCTTCATCAACTCGGTGACAAAAACAAACAGTTACATTTACAGCAGGTTTGACTGGAGGTTTACAGGAGCCTTTTGCTCCCATAAATCTCGGCAAATGCACTTTTTACTATCAGGACAGTTCCGCTACATGTTAATGCACATAAAGATTAACATATATCACCTTGTATGTTCTCCATGTCACATCTATTGTTAAGTGATTCAAACTGTCAACAAAGAGGTGACTCATTGTGGTAGCAATATTTCTCACTAATACCATGTTGTCCTTTTCCAGTATTCTCACGTCAGCGTGACTTTGACCGGTCAACCTTTTGATATGATGCCAGCGCAGGTGTAAATATTTCCCCTCGCTGCTGCATCAATCAGGTTTTACACAGCTCAAATGAAAAAAAAATGACATATCCTTTGAAATCGATTCATAATAAGATTTTAAAAAACACTATAGGTGTAAAATTACGCAACACGCTTCACGTTTGCTTCCTGCTCCTCAAACTGCAGATTTGATCTGTTTAACTTTGCTCTATTTCGCTCTTCATATTTTTAGTTTTAGTGTTTTTTTTTCTTTCTTCTTCTTTCTAAATAGATTTTTCTTCCACAGAACGGAGACATTTAACGTCACAGTGAAATTGTTCCCCGTTTGAAGTTTTGTAGAAATTAAACAGATTAGATTTAACTTTATTTTAGCAACTTGGTTAAACATAAATGTAACCATGTGATGCATTGTTCCAGTTTTAGGTCAAAGCTAATCTACCATGGCAGATCACAATTCAAACCATTACGTAGTTATGAAACAGCAATTAAATAAACTAAACTACAACACAAGACACACACGCACACTGGCAACGAGATTATGTGGAGTTAAAGAATTAAAATGCAGAATAGAAACACTTTTAGAAAGGCATGTTACGTTATTGTTCGCCCTTCCATTTCAAATACTTAAGTTCACCAACAGCTTTGTTCAGGGCATAGTTTGGTGTCAGCACTCTCTCAAATGACAAAGTTCAACAAAGGGTCACTTCATGGTATTCTGCAGCAACGCACACACTGATGGAGACGTCAAGCTCTCTCTCAGAGAAATGCTTCATGGAAACTTTAAAAGCTTAGGAAGCTAGGATCCAAGTCACCCATTTTTTTTTTTTTTTTTTTTTTTGTTTTTGCCGCAGGTAACCAGGTGTGAAAGTGGGCTAAATGTCAGCAATGCTGCGAATTCTCTTCTTTAAATTCCTCACATTCCTGCGCTGGCTACTGTCTGTGTTCAATTTGCTAGATTGCACTGATGCCTCGAGCGGTTGCAGAGGTGGTCTGATGGAGATAAATTTGAGGACAAAAACTGGCTGGACAGAGAGGAAGACACTGTCCAGACCTACTATTTACTTTTCAGGTGGCTGAGCTGATAATTGGGCTCTACAAAACCTTTTATGAACCTTATTTGGTTAACCTTCCTCCTGTGTTAGCTTGTACTACACACCCACTATGTTAACGGATCGGTTTTGTCCTTAATCAGCTGCAAATAACACTAAAAATAATTCTCTATCATTCAATTTTGTTCTCATTTCTAGGTTATTTTGTTCGGCTTCATTATCCATGAAAATATTGTTTATACTTTTTTTTGTTGTGGACCTCTGAGCCTTTCTTTGTCATGATACACCTCACACAGACATCTATACTGAATTGATCTCACATGTCTGGACATGCTCGTCATTGTTTTGTGCAGAACCAGGAAATATGAGAATTTGCTAAATTTCACATGATTGGAAGAGGATCTTAGTGATGGGCACGGCAGTTATTTTAGATGTACTAAATCACTAGAATCAGTTCACTAAAAAGATTTGTTCTGCGACCCCGACCTTCTTAACTGACACACAGCTGAACGTTTCAGGATTCAGTTCAATTCATAGTTTCTGGGACCAGGAGATGAGTGTGTGGCTGTGTTGCTCAGGCAAACAGGTTTGTAAAAATGAACTTGTTTATCAGTCATGATGTGTACTGTCCTAGGGTATGCTATTTACCAGGTCTGCTCGGTAAATTGGGGTCAGTAAGTGATTCGTTCACTGAATGTTTAGAAGGATTCAAACTGAACATGTACCGTTCCCTTTCAAACCGCTGCAATGATGGGATGCTGCAGGTTTAATGCACTACTTGTTACATGCTTTGTCCTATTGTATGCAAGTTATTGTGTTGGCAATTTAGCAGTGAAAAAAAAGGTAGCTTTGTCTGGCAAAAACGATTCCAGAGAGTGTAGTTCAATGCGTGATTCGTTCACCAAATGATTCACGTGTCGGTGCATACGGTCCCTTGTTCGCTGGCTGCTGGCCTGGCAATGCTGTTTCTCACTTCAGCTCAACTGAAGTGAGAACCGAACGAATCACTCGAGAAAGTGATTCAGTTCAGTACGTTTACCTAAAAGATTCGGTTCTTTTGAACGAATCGTTTGTGAAAAACACAACACTAATCTGACTGTCAGTGTGGGGCCTGGCAGTGCAGATATGATTTTAGTTTTTGCTCTAATTATCAGATATTAATCTAACCGGGTCAACAGCGACCCTAACGCGACAAGTGCCATAATTTTAATAAGAGCATTTTATAATTGAGTAAATTTTTTATTTTTATTTTGTTGAAATGGAGGTCCCTGACAAAGTCAAAAAGTCTTTAAAGCTAATTTGGTTCTTTTAAGCATTTAAAAACAAAAATGGGTCAGTGCAGACCCTAACACAGGAGGAGGGTTAAGCCTCATGCTAAACTCCTACAAAAGGTCTGATGTTTTATCCGTTATGCACAGAGTGAGGAGTCATAACATTTTCAGCAGTTTCTTTTGTTTTCTTGACGTCCCCAGGTACGCTTAAGTCAACAGCTGCTCTCGAAAAGCAAAGAGAAACGCTTCTATTTACACAAAACTGCTTCATTGGGTGTCTTCCCAGTTTCAGTAAGCGAGTTTGTTTCGTTTGAGAGGAGACTTATGTGGAGAATTCAGCCGCTATAAAGAAAAAAACAAAAAAGCAAAGGATAAACGCCGAAGGCTTATTTTAAGACTTGTTTTGTGAAGTTCACAGGCTACTGTGCTGTTGCTGTTTTGATAGTGTGTGTTTGCAATGAAGCTTAAGAGTTCCTGATTTTTTGTTTTGATAACTTCTCCGGGGTAATTGTTTTCAGAGACTCTGCGCAAACATTAAGGATTTCAGCTACTTGGGAGTCTTCTTCATCTTGTTTTTGTTTTATTATTCGCCAAATGTTCTCAATGGGTGACAAGCCAGGACTGCAGACGGGCCAGTTTAGCACCCAGACTTGTCTACCTTGGAGCCACGCCGTTGTAATACCTGCAGAATGCGGTTTGGCGTTGTGTTGTTGAAACACGCGAGGTCCTCCTAAGGCTATTTTCAGTTTTAGATGTTTGTGAAGTGTTTTCTCTTTTCACGGCTCAGTTTTAACCTGAACTAGTGGATGCAGGGACAGACTACATTCTCAGACAGGGGTTTTCATCATGAGTTTGAGCCCATGCATTGACTTCCACTGCAGAGTCTGTTTTGTTTGTGTTTTTTTTGTGTGTGTTGCTTGAAGATCACAGCCACACAGTGATTTGTCCAGATTCTGATGGTATTGTCTTTGTGATTAAAAGCTGAAGAGCAAATTTCTAAAATTCTTGAACAGTTTTCTTGTGTTAACCCTCTTGCAGTCTTTACTTCTGAGTCACACAGCCTCTCTGGAACGCTCTTTTACTCCAGGTGATGTGGCTAACCGGTCGCAATTTAACTTAATCAGTATGGAGATGTTCCTTCAGGGTTTTTGAGGCATCACAAAACCATTTTTAGTGTTTTGAGATCCCTGTGATTGCTTATCTAAAAGCTGTTGCTTCAGATTTAAGGTGGACTTAAATTACTTGAAAACAGTCAAATTCTGTTTTTACAACATTTTATACACTTTTCTAGGGCTGGGCGATACGGCCTCAATTCACTGTCACAATATATTGATCAGTTCACCTCGATAATGATAAATAGACGATAACTACTCCACAAGCTGCTCACCCCCTCCCACATTAACTTCGTCTACTTCAGCCGCTACAACTTTTGAACTGTCCTCCATCTCCTCACCTGTCTTTCCCTCTTTGTTACAGACTGGATGGGGTGGAGTCATGTCCCTGACGTAGGACAGCGTCTTAAAGGGACATGAGACCGTAGCCTACCCACACACATCCAAAACCAACTTTGATTTATTTATTTTTTTGACACCACAGGGCTCGACAGTGCGACCGTTTATGGCTAAAAATAGATGTGTGCCAATTGTTGAATGTATTTAGGGCACATGTGCGCATAAAAATATCAGCCGAGGCAACAAATGTTTTTTCAAGTAAATACCGCGTTGAAGTTAGTTTTAAGGTTGGTTATTCAACAGACATTCACTTCATATCTATCAGTGTCTTCTCACTCTTCATAACCAGCAATGGCAACAGCAGCTCGGTTAAATCTACTCGGCATCCTCGCTGTCAACTTCGGATGTTGAATAAGGGACCATCAGTAAATTACCGGTTGATGTTCTCAAAAAAGGCTGTTTTCCTTCAATAGCCTCAGTGTCATGAGACCAAAAGACCTAAAATTGATTTCAAATAATAGCACTTATGTTGACCAATTAGAAAAACATTATTTGATCAATTTTCATTGTGCACCTCAAGTTCTTTATGTGCTTCTTACTTTTTCAACTTAGAAGCACATGTGCTCCTTGTAAAAAAAGTTAGTGTCAAGCCCTGCACCAAATATATTGACATGGGCAAAACGCAGTTGGTTATTGTCTTAAATTCTTTGTATCTGTAAATTTTCGGTTTATCACCCAGCCCTACTCTTTCCTACCTGTTTTGGGATCAGGATTGTGGTTTTATTTCAGTGTCTGTTTGCAAACTCGACTGACATTTTCTTGTCTGCTTTGTGTCAGGTGAGCCAAAGTTCTGGCCTGAGGCTAACCGTCGTTTCCTGATCTATGTGGAGGAAGAGCCTCAAGATGCAAACGGCTACTTCAACCTGGGCATGCTAGCCATGGACGCGAATGAAAACGCAGCGGCTGAGCGCTGGATGCGTAAAGCCATCACTTTGCAGGCTGGCTTCCGCAGCGCCCTGTTCAACTTGGCGTTGCTTTACTCGCAGTCTAAACGCGAGATCGATGCTCTGCCTGTGCTGGACGAGCTGCTGCGACACCACCCGGAGCACATCAAAGGCCTGATCCTGAAGGGGGACATCCTCATGAATCACAAAAAGGACACGCAGGGCGCTAAAGAGTGCTTTGAGCGTATCTTACGCATGGACCCCACTAATGTTCAAGGCAAGCACAATCTGTGCGTGGTCTACTTTGAGGAACGTGACCTCCCGCGGGCCGAGCGCTGCCTGGAGGAGACCCTGGCCCTGGCACCGAACGAGGAGTACGTGCGTCGTCACTTGAGTATCGTACGGGGAAAAATGGCTGCCATGAGCGCAGCAGGGCATCCTATCACTCCGACAGAAGGAGCCAGTGTGTTAGCTGAGGAGGAAAAGCCAGAGAGAGTTGAGGAGGTGGCTGAGGAGGGGGCTGTGGAGGGAGGGGAGGAAGGGAGGGGTGCTGATGATGATGTTGGAAAGGGGGGTGGGGATGAAAAGAATGCACGGAAATCCTCTGCAGAAAGCCCGGGAGGCGTGGGCGTGGACCAATCGGAGGCGCTGGACAGCAGCCAGCCTGACAAGCGGACTAAGGGTAAGTCCACTAAAGAGATTAACGATATAGAAGAAAAACGAGCAGCTGCCTTGAAAAGACTAGAGGAGATTGAGCGCATATTAAGTGGTGATTGACACTGTCGTAACTTAAAGCTGGACTTCTTTTATACTTGCCTCTGACGCTCCAGGATAAGACCGCATCCCCTCTTAGAAACCTGTATGCTTAATCAATTGTCGTGTTAATTTTGTTTTGATTTCACAGGCCTCTCTGTTTGGCTCTGCTGTTTTCACACTAATCATGTAAAGAAGGGAAATGTACGTACAAAGAAACGACAAGCACAAAAGCCAATTTGGGAAAAACCTATTTAAAGCTCGCGGCGAGACGCGGATGCCAATGTGTGTGCTTCATCTGAATGTGATTTCACATATCTTAGATCTGCGGTAGTTATAAATATGTTTTGTTTTCACATGTGTAGTCATTGTTTATCACTGGATATTTTTTTCACTATGATGTGACTCACTCCTGAGTGTTATTGTTTTTAAAAACAGAATGATTGTATCAGACAATTAAAGGAAATGACGTGTCCCCCAGATTTCCTCCAGGCAGGATGATTTCTGCGCCTGAGTTTGCACCTCAAAATAAACCTCACACAGAGGAGGAGGAGGAGGAGGAGGAGGGGAAAACCTTCACACAACAACATCACCAGGCCTTTGCTCTCTTCCAGAAATGTCCTCTAATCTTTATTGATCTCACTCGACTCTTCCTGCCTCCACATCATCAGCCCCAGCGCTCCCAGCTGCTTCCACCTCCAAATTTCATTGTGATCCCATCTGAAGACGATTACCTCACTCTCTCTGTCACATTACCCGCCTGCATCTCCAGCCCGTTCCTCATTCTTTCACACACATTAAACACATTAGAGATGAATGTTTTTTCCTCTTTTTGTGGTAGGTTGACTCCTCAGCACCCACTTTAGGGCGGCTCTGACACCATTTAGTCTGCAAGTCACATAAGGCATTCACTCATTGTCAGGCAGCATCCTATGTTCTCTTTATTCTGGGTCTCAAAGCAACATGAGGTAAAAACAGATCAACTCCTTCATCTTTCTCGAGAGTTATTCGGGTGTTCTAGCTGTTCCCCATGTGAAGTTTCTGTTGTGGCCTTTGTTTTCACTTTCTTTAACAGCTGAGATCAATCCGAAGCAAAACTCCCCAGCTATGTCTGGAGTAACCACTGCCGTAAATCACATGTGAGAGATTTTTGGAGTCATGGGAGTCCCGTGACGAAGGATGAAATCTGTGAGAGATAAATGTAGATATGTGGTAATGTGAGAGGTTAAAACAGGAGTAACTTGAAGAGACATTAATAGGAAACAAATTCTCATATCAAAAGACAAATACGGTGTTGAATTAGGATCATGAGCAAACTCATTTATTCTCATATTTGTTTCTATTTACTATTTTATTCAACCCTGTTTTATTTTACATACAGTTTTGAAAAAGGGAAATTCTGTGGTTGAAATTCCTAACACTAAGTAAAAGTAAAGGTTAATTCCCAGATATTTTGGATTAGGGATAATTCAGTCATTTTCCTCTTGAAATATTATATGACAAAGCAGTGACTTAAGCCTCTTTAGCTGACAATTACCCATGCCATTCAATGTCTGAATGAATGAATGATTACTTAAAATTAATTGAAAAATGAAATGACAAAAACCAAATGGATTAATGCAAAATATGAATACTTTTAAACAGTGGCACATGAAACAACAAATAAATATGACAATGTGTATTGTAATTGCACATTTATTACCACATTTACTGTACTTTCAAAACGTTTGTAATGGTACTTGGATAACGCCAAACTGATGTGAAAACTTGAAAAGAATCTAGAAAAGCTTAAATCGCTCCTGTTCCTGATGCTTTTACCACCCGGTGACTGATTGGCTGCTTTTCCAAATAATATTAATAATAATATAGGCGGATGATCATCGACTTAACACTTGTTAAACTTTGAGTGGTTAACAACCTTCAAGTGAAGCTGTAGTCATTCAAAATGAGCAGAGTCTGAATTCACTGAATCATTCTTCCTTGAAAACCCTCGATGTTGTCGTCGTCCTCCTCACAGCTCCCATGATGCTCCTGTGTTGGCTTCACAGTGCAATAATTAGTTTCAGTACCATGACTCTACTTAGTGCAATTCTTGATGGTGGATTAAAAGAGTAGAAGTGTGACTGCTGTAAGTTAGGAGCAGTGTGGTGGTACTATGGAGCCTTGCTATGCATTGACTGTGTTCAGCCCTGAAATTATGTGTACATATATTAACAGTGTGCTTGTATCCAGTGTTATTTATTTCTACATGCACTACAAATGCTGTTGATGTTTATTATTTTTTTTCTTTACCACTAGCAGTATGTATGGAGGAGGATTAGAGCCACTGGAAAAAAGGTATGATATGTTTTTTATTATAATTCTGGGAAAGAAAAAAAAAAGAATTCTGACTTTTATCTCAGAATTTACTTTAATCTTGGATTTCTGACTTAAAACTCAGAATTCTGAGATTAAAAATCTGAATTTACTTTAATTTCAGAATCCTGAGATCAAAGTAAGAATTCTGAGATGAAAGCCAGAATTCTAAATTGTTAGACTGAAGAAAATTCTGGGTTTAAAGTCAAGATTCTGATTTTTAAGTCAGAAATCTGACTTCAAAGTCATTAAACTCAGAATTCTGACTTCAATCCCAGAACTCTAACTATAAGCCCAGAATTTTGATTTAAGAGTCAGAATTTTTTTTGTCTCAGAATAATTATAAAAAATTATATTTGACTTTTTTTTTTTTTTTTCTTTTTCCCAGTGGCCCTTATCCTCTTCCGTAAGTATGCTTTAAACTCATGGTGTATTATTTTGTCACTAATAATTTTGGATATGTGTTTTTAAACGTGTCATAGATTTTTTTACTCTCTGACAACAGAGTCTCCCATGTCAGTGTTAAAACATGTCTGAAACATTCAATCAAACACTTTGGAAACTAAAAGGTACATCTTTGAATGAGAAGCATCCAATTGCATTGTATTTTCTGTTACGCCTCATTTTACCGAGCGAATGATTTTTGTACGATTTTAAGATTATTTTTATGCAATTGCCCTTGGTGGTGGGGGTCTAGGTTATTAAATAAATTTAAATAAAATTAAATGGCTTTGTTCTGTTTTAATTTTTCACGTTGAATTCAGGAAAAGTCTCTATATAAATAATATAATATTAATATAAATTAAGAGATTCTCAGACACCCTAATCATGTAAATTTTTGTAGACTAAAAGAAAACAATATGCAGACCATTACTGAGAGATCACAGCACCTGTTTAAAACGTCTGCAGTAAAGCCAGTGCCTTTTGTTTCTCTGTCCCGATACAAAACCAATGTGGGACATGCATCCTGTATTTAAGTGTGATTTGTCCCAGAGGCATGTCCCTGCCATGTCTTGCAGGATGTTACGCCCAGAGCCAATCGAATTTGAAATCCCAAATCAAAATCTTATGTTCCAAAAATATGCTGCCGTTACTCTTTCTGGCTGATCTGTTAGATTTTCCATATAACTCCATTTGTCATGATTTGACCTCCTGCACTGATGCCCAGAAAATGTCCAGAAAGTTGTCATGGTGGTTTTATTTGACTTGCCTGGTATTTGACAGCTGTTGAGCAAAACAAACAAAACCTCCCCCGCCTTTTTTAGAACAACTCCATCGTAATGGAGACCGGCTTTGTATGGTTTACGTTTTCCATCACATTATCATTACATTGAGTTTTATAGGAAGAACATTTATATGACTGGAATGGATAATCAATTCATTTCCATGAAGACATTGATTACGCTCATGTTTATGTACTGCAGCTACGCTTACATGCAACTGTCATGTAATAATATCTTAAATGTCAGGAGTTTGAAGGTATGGGGGTTTGACGAGGGATGCATATTTTCACAAATTTTCTTTAAAAAGAAAAAAAAAAGGTGTTCAAGGGTGAATTTTATTGTTTGAAATATGTAATCACAATGTTGCAATAACAAAACCCGCCAGTGTTCAAATAATTAGTTCAAATAACTCGACAGTCGTTGTGGCATCCAAGCAAGTAGCAGGTGACACCTCTAAAAGAAAACAAACATGTTTACTCTTTAAGTAAACATGTTTGTTCAGGGATCAATAAAGTTCTTCTTGTTTTTCTTGTTCTTCTTCTTCGAGGTGGATGCATAGAAACATTAAAACTTAAGGGGATATTTTAGCATAAATTTACTTTAGGGTCAAGTTAGACACCCCCTTGAGAGATGAATGTTGCTGACCGTTTGCTTCTCGAGTTATACCAACTTTAGTAACGACCGCAGGATAGCAATACACAGCGGGGTGACGCAGCTTAAGGAAGAACATTTATGATCATTACTTTATCGTTTCCTTGAAGTAATAATCATCATATTAATCATTTTGTACTGCAGACGCAGTAGTTCTTCTGCCTTAGCATCTTGGTCTGATTGCATTTCCATAAAGAAATGATTATAAATGTTCTTCGTTGAGCTGCGTCCCCCCGCTGTAGTCCGTAATGGACTGGCCTGAGGTCTCGCTCGCTACAAACAAGTGGCTGCTGGAAGAGAGTGGGTGAGTTGTGTTTAGTCTCTTTGCTAAAGAAATTAGTCAAAGTTAAAAAGCTGTTTGATGGTTAGTACTACGGCTGGGACCCTATATGTACTGTTGATGAAGTTAGGTGCTGTTCTGAGCATTATTTGGGCCTTTAGAGTGGTGTTAGAGTGGTTGAGGTTTGTTTATGGCTCCTCAGATCGCTGTGTATTGCTATCATGCGGTCGTTACCAAAGACAATATAACTAGAGAAGCAAGCAGTCAGAAACATTCATCTCTCGAGGGGGTGTCTAACTCTGTGTTACTGTGTGTTTGACCCTAAATTAATTTTTCGCCAGAATATCCCTTTAACGTTCATTTCCTCTTCCTTCAGCTCTTCCTGCTACTTGTTTATAATCTACACAGCTATATCTGTATAGATTACAAACTGGCAAATAAAAAGGGAAATATTTGATCCTCATAATTACGCTTTGGTCAGCTATGAAACAGAGCAAGAATTAATCATCAATACTATGGTGAAATTGATGTCCAAATATGATACAATATGAAATAATATCTAGCTAGTTTTTATATGTGTTCCAGAGGGCATTACAGCCTGAACTTGAAAATATCCTCTTTGATCAGATCCTCGGATCAGATTAGCTAAGTACCGCCAGAACAATTTCTTCTTCTGCAAGAGACATCTGCTACAAAACATGAAGACAGCTGTGGGCTTTGGCATGTGGTGTCTCCGTAACAACAGTCACTGACGATGAGCAGAAGCATTTTCAATGTTGTCATTCCCGCATTGTGTTGTGTTTGTGAAGCAGAAAATCTACAAACCACAAAAACAATATATCATCATGTAACACAAAAAAAGGGAGTAGTTTAAAAATACCACTGACGAATTTGATTTTCTTTCACATCTGTCCAAAAAAGAAGAAGAAGAAGAAGCAATCATCTGGTGGATGGAGGGACTTCTTGTGTATTCTCCACCACATCTTGTTTTGGTGAAGAAATAATCCTACAATGGATGTCCATCAACTGCAAATATGGATGTTACGACTCTGAATAAGGTGACACATGCAGGCCAGGAAAGACAATTGACCACCTCTGTACATGGCTCCAAGAAAATATCGTTTATGTTCCTGCCTTTCCTCCTTTGCCCTATGTTGCTTTGCGTTATTGAAGTAATTGTTGACAAGGGGAATCTGTTGTGCTTGGTGAAAGTGGGGGGAAAAAATGAACAGCCAATATAAACACAGCTATTGAATCATCATAATTTGTGCTTCAGGATTGTATTGCACTCTAGTTTCTGTGAATTACTTGTTTTGAACCAGTGTAGGAGTGAGGAATCACAGGAAATCAAAGAGAG